AAGAAAAGGAATTGTCGTATCATCATCGTGCCTCCTCCTGATCTTGTCTTGCTTTACAAGTTGATCAAGTCCACCTCTGAAAAGTCTGGCGGAGCTCTGCCGTAAACGACACGGACCTTGCTGTCGAGAGCCGTGCCCTCGTTGCTGATCCAAATGTGCTCGCTGTATGCCTGTGTTCGACGGATCTCGTCATCGCTAATGCCGAGATCATCGTGGGGAATCCAGACAGTGGGTCGACGGGCCCGAAGAGCTTCGTGCTGGAACGCGTGCCTAACAAGCGCATCTCTCTCTTCGGGTGTAAGATCCTCGATCTCGTCATGAATACCGCCAAAGAGAGCTTCACCAATGGCAAGCTGAGCTTCCACGTCCTTCTGGCGGTGCTTTCTTCGGTACTCCGAGGCTCTTCTGCTCTTGTCCTTATCCCTGTTGACACCGGCCAACTTGCGAAGCTGGTTACCACCATCCTTTGCCCATGTTCCGACCTGCTTCACAGGGCGTCTAATGCTACCAAACTTTCGCATCTCAATACCTTGGCCATTTTGGGGTTGTTGATCCTTCTCCTGATAATCGGAGCTATCGCGTTCTTCTGCAAGCTCGTCGTTGTCTAAAAGGCCAAGGCGGCGGTCCTGGGCTCGCTGAAACGCCTGATCACGCAACACCGCCTCATCTTCGAAAGTAATCGGGAGGTAGCGAAAGAGTGGCCCGAACGAGTAGTTGAGAAGGATTTGATATATGATGGTGAGGATAAGAACGACGATCATGATAATGCCGTGAGGTGTGCAGACGTTCTTGCCGTGCTCATCTTGAACGAGGAAAAACAAACCAGCCATGCAAAGCTCCATGAAGTAGATACCGGTAAAGGTCTGGTTGATGGCTCGAGGGTACAGGACACCACCTGTATCGTGCTCGAACCGGGTGACGTAGAGCATAGCATAGCGTTGAGCAAACCACAAGAGCGTAAAGGTGAGAATGGCGAAGATGGAAATCAGTGGTGCAATGACACAGTAGACGATTCCGATACACGCGAAGTTGGTGTAGATTGGGAAGAATGCGCCCCATTTCACCTGGCGCAGATTGGTGTTCCGCGACCATTTGTTTCGTGCAGTGCTGTCAAGGATCTTGGCAATAACATACCACATGACCAGAGCCCCAAGCTGGAGGAGAGTTGCAGAACTTGTAGACATGGCTTGCAGAATCATGTAAGAGAAGAAGTAGTTAGCAGCACTGGGCAAATTATATGCCAGCAGATCCAGGACGTCCCGAACGGTCTGGAGTTTCTGAACGTTGTGCACCAGCTCGTCGAGCGAGGCTGCGAAGAACGACGCAATAGAGACAATCAGGAAAACTTGAATGAACAGGAAGGCGAAGTAGAAGACCTGGACGAACTCAGCTCTCTGGGAACCTGTCTTCGCACCTCTAAAGCGAGCAAGTAAATCCAGAATGATAGGAATCAGGACCAGCAGCAGACCGAGGACGACTGCTGGCAAGACACCAGCCACGGCCTTCGCGATGTTGTGGACTGTGTTGTTGTCTTTAAGGAAAGACAGCCATGCATTGGATCGAATAAGATTGTCAAGCTGGCTCAACGCGGCCGTCCAAGCAACGGGGATAGCCCAGAGGAAGATCATGGCAACAACGATAACAAAGACAATTCCTGATCGTAGCCACTCTTGCCACCAACTGAAAGCCATGTTATCCCAGTCAACATCCTTTGGTGAGATTTCGTTCATTCTCGGAGCCATCTGTCTAGGCACATGGTGAATGACGCTCTGGCAAGCCATATGAGCCGCAACTTGGTGGTTGAACTGGATAAAGGCTGAGTTCGCGAGCGGGAATCGTTCGGGGTGTTGTTGGTCTATTTCAATTTCTAGGTTGAGGCGGGCCAGTTCTTCGCGACACCAGTAGATAGTGTCAACCTTCTTCGTAACAAACGGGATTGGGAACAGCCATGTCTTTCCGAACATGGGGAGCCGGTGAGTTGGGCGATCCTTCTTCTTAAGATATTGCTCCCAGGCTGCAGGCTCGGCATCCTCCTTGTACTCGGTGTTGTAGGCTGTAGGATACTCCATAGGCTCTCCTTCATCCTCCGGGCTCATAAATGGGAGAGCGTACTTGATCCTTTGCCACAAAGGCTTGCTTTCGTTCGTCTTCTTCTGCCTGAATGCTGCTGAAACACCTCCTTGGGGAACAGGTGAAGCATAAGCACCAGGAGGTGGCTTCCAGAATTGCCACCACTTGGCATCCTCCTTGCTGTAAATCTCGTCAATGTTGTCAAGTTTGCGGACAGTATTACCCGCATTGCCAAAGTGTTCACGGTTTGGATTGGGGTTGATAGCAGCTGTGCTGTCAGCAGAGGCCCTGCCGTTTCGTGACTGATTGTTCAGAACCCGGAGAGTATCTGAAGGAGAGTTGAGCTCATCCTCGTCCACTGAAGCCCGCTCACGAACTCGATCAGAGTTGCGAGACGTAGTTCGAGGCTCGGTTGATTGGGAGAGACCCATGAAGCCATTTGTTGTCTCCAAGGTGTCATCTACGTTGTTGCCAGCCTTAGAAACAACACCCAGAATTCCATGGCCGACTTTAGCGAGTGGATCACCTAGAAGAGGTACCCTGAACCCCTTCTTTTTGTTGTGATCCTCATGGTCATCCTCAAGGTCATGATTGTACGTCTCATATTGAGACTCACGAACACCGGCATCCACGCTGTGGGGAACATTATGTTGATCACCGGCCGCCGTACCTGAAGCACTTTGTGCCATTCGCTGGGCTGCCGCGTCGTCTCTAGCATTTCGGTCGGCTCTTTCTCGTTTTGTTTCAGCTCCAAGCTTCAATTGTTTGCGACGTTTCTTCTCTTCTGCCTTTTGCTGCTTAAGCTGTGCTTTCTTGGCATCTTTGATCAGATCCGTCTCTGCTTGTTCAAGTGCCAGGTGAATCTTATTTCGCTCTTTGACCTTGTCCAACAGTGTTGATAAATCTCGGTTGAGCCAGATATTTCTTATGCCTCCAGGGAAAACATCGAAGAGACCCATCAGAGCGTCTTCGCTCAGCCATTTGGCAGGAATAGAGTTGACAAGGACAGTAGTGGCCGAAGCTCTGAGTCGGTGCTCAGCGCTTGTAAGGTAATCTTGTCGAACCTTAATGTATACCCGGAGCTCGAAAAAGAAGACCGTGCAAACCCAGATAACCACCAGAATTGCCATCAATAAATGCGCTGCGTATCGACTCGAGTTCTTGGGGCTGACGTTTCCCCATGAGAGTGTATCGAGACCAGTAGGTGTCCCTGCATCTTTTTCGTCGTCATCATCCTTGACATCAACCTTTTGTCCAAGACCACCAACGTAGTTCATGGGGATCAGAATTGGCATAACAATGGCGCCAATGGGAAGAAAAATAATCAGAAGCGTCTTAAGGTAGCGGAGGAAGAAATAGGCGTCTAGACCACATTTTTCGATAACTTCACGATCTCCATAATGCCATAATGTCTTTAGCATAGCAAGGGGTTTGTTCGGTGGTGATTCGGTTCGTTCTCGTTCGGGTACCAGGTAGGTCTTGGGTTTGCTAGAAAGAGTCAGTGATGTCGGAGTCAGGGACAGCGATCGGCATCAACCTACAAGATACGAGCCAGCTTATTGCGTAGAATTAGGAAAAGCAGAATCTGGACTGCAAAAATTGCCACAGCGACAGCCACGGCAGTTAGGAAACTGACGATGCCAATTCCCTTGTCCTTGTCGGCAGCGCTGGTGGACTCTGGAGTGAGTCCAATACCGCCTCCTGAAGATGTTCTTGTTGGCTCATCGGACGAGGTTCCAGATGCACTTAGTGTTTCGGAGGCGGAGATCGCTGAGGACAGGAGGGAGCTCACGATAGAGCTGGTAACTGAAGCTGCTGTCCCTGTGGCGGAATCTGTCGCGGACGCCGAAACGTCTGAATCTGTTGACGACATGTTGAAATTGAAGCCTTCGACAGTCTGGAACTTTTGAACGGGAGGAGAGAGGAGAGAGGGAGCCCCAAACGGGGAGAATGTTGAAAGGTCCTGTTCTCAAAGATTATTGTAAGGGATTGGAGCACAATCTGAAACGTGGTAAGTGATATAGTATGACAGTTGACGGCGTGAGCGATATACCATTAGCCAAACTGTTTGTAAAAAGGAAAACAAGTAACAGATATGTCGAGATGAAGATGTAACGAAAAAGAGGGTTGATGGTACTAGGTTGAGTTTCCAAGATATTCGGTGTTTGGACTTGCACCTATCGGTCGCGTCATGACTGGCGACCCCTGTCTTCCCATGGGCGGCAACCAATTCCAAAAAGAGAACAGAGCGGTGTATGATTGGACACATGTGCACTAATCTTGACAACAGGGGGCTTCACTGGATCTTGCGCTGCAGCGGCTGCTTAGCCGACAGGAAAAATTCCCCCACCTAGCGAAGTTAAGCAGCGAAAACTGGGCACTCTGGGGGGCTCATGACATCAGAGGCTTGATTGGTAGCTAGCCCTCTACGCTGAAACAAGCCCCCCTTTGTGTCTGGAGCGGCATTGGTCGAATGGGATTTGTTGGCTGTGACTCAATGAGGACTTCAACTCTCGTGGACGGGAAACGGGTACTAGAAATAGAAACTTGCGAGCCGCGCGCTTCAAAGCCAAACGATAGTATCTAACGTTGCCCCAGACGCCTGGTTTTCCCTTTGTTAGCTTTTGCTATCTGTAATTTTCGCAAACCTAAAATGGCGTCTCCTTTGTCTATCGGTCTTTCATTTACAGGCGCCACATCGGTGGTAACGCGCGTGGGGTACAATGTAACTCTTTAATGAAGGTTAACTTGAATACGCGGACACAGCCGAAATAAATCCATTCATTCTTACATGACGCTTCAACTAACAAGAGATAATCTAGATCGTGCGTAGTACAAGGTTATTTACATCCCTCAAATGTGCGCTCCAAAAACAAACATAAACCAGTAACTAAACGCGTGAATAAGTGACAACAAATCCAAATCTCCCATTAATCATCTTGGCAGTGACTTCCGCCAGGGCAGTAAGCGTAGGTGTCGCCGCCAATACCGAACCATCCGCGGCAGTCGGACTCCTTGTGTACGATACCAATGGTCTTCGTCTCTATTAGCATCCATATCTTAGGTGAATCAGTGCAAGTGATACTCACATCTCCTTTGAACTTGTAGTAGTAATGACGAGACTTGGTCACGCAAAGTGCATTGCTAACATCGCAGTTGGGCAGAGAATATCGGAACAGCATGTCAAGCATCGCCGACATGCCCTCTTTATCCTCAATCTTGCGAGTGGTTCCTTCGAACCGGGCCTTGAAAACTCCCTTTTCAGTCGTTTTACCGCCGCCTTCTTTGAAGATCTGTTCTTGACCTGCCGAGACGATCTCGTCGACGTATGAGTCTGGCCACCAGCCGTCTTTGGGACAAACCCATGACGACGATGTCATCCTCTTACGGGCCATGATACAGGCATATACATCTTCGCCTGAGTAGACAGGGAGAAACCAGTAGCTTGCCTGGCCAAGACCTTGAACCCAACAATTGTCAGGGGGCGTTGCGACTTGACGCTTTGTCGTGGTGGTGTTTCCACCCTCGACAAAGGTCGGCTCGCCGAATCTCACGTTCTCAGGGTATCCGCTGATGGCCAATGCTGGAATGCAAGAGGGGAATAGAGCAAGTAGAGAGGAAGTGAGAAAGAGTGAAGACTTCATGATGAAACTTAAAAGAATGAAGTAATTGATGCAATTAACGAACGAATGAACGAAAAGGGAACCCGAAACCTGTCGGGGTGTGTTTGCTCTGATGAATGTGTCTACAGAACCTCAAAACCAAGCTGATACTTCAGCTCTTTATACAAGTTCAAGACCATATCAAGGTTCGCGTTGCTATAGAGAACTCTTCATCTCATATCATGAACTAGCATGATCCAAGAGCAGCAAGACCCAGGACGGCGGCAAACGAGCTGACTGCAGCAGGAAATGAAGATGTTCTCACCAATGGACTGAACTTGATGCCCTCCCAATTCCAGGCGAAGCACTATTTTGGTGTTCCTGCATGTTCATCATGTCTGCTCCCCATTTTGGACAGTTTTCATGTCATCTGTATGGAAGAAGGAGAATAAGCTGTTGGCGCTAGACAGTACTAATGTCAGAGACTTGGTCTCGAGGGCAGGTTATATTTCCTCACCGTATTATCAACACCGCTATCTTGACTTAAGGCTGAGTTGTGGTCCGACTGAATGGTAGCGATACGTTACCGTTCTGCTGGATCAGCTCCCAACTGGCTGGGCGTCCCACTTGACATAACCGAGCTCCCAGGCGCTTAGCAGAACATGCCTTCCAGATACTCGGTACCCAATTGAAGATTGACAGCTGGACATAGGGGATGAAAAATACTGCTATCTTCGGTCGAGTCTTCCGCAAGCGCTGTGGCTTATTTTTGAACTGAAACGCCAGTATTTTCGTCCATATTCGTTGAAGTGCATTAGGTTGAAGATGGTGACATGAACGATGATATGATAAGAGTGCTGACACAACAGTTCGCATGATGAAGAACTTGACTGCATACACAGACAGTAACTCCAATAAGGCGTAACGGTCATGTTGCAGTAGGACAAGAAATGTCGTCCGAAGTGACCCAACTGACAGGCTGGAGATACGACGATAGCGTTGTAAACAGAGCGACGATCATGGCCAGCGAATGGCCTGACTCCACTGAATACCTTCCACAAATGGAAAATACAGGCCTTGGAACGGGTTACAGCCAAATCTGATTGGGACACGTCAGATTTCACATTTTCCTGAAACATCCCTCGACGTTGCATCGCCAGGGTCGGTGTTGATCACGTTACCCTACGTCACTGCGGAAGCCCATGCGGAATTCATTCCCAACAAAAGATACCATGGCTTTGAGTGTTGGTTGAGAATAATAATTCAAAGATTCTTCATTTCCGTGAATTTAAAGTTGAGTTATTATTAGAATTTAGTTAACAAGGTTCTATACTCAATTGGGTTGGCGTAAACTTGACAAGCGTCTACAAGACCTGTGAGAATAACAAAGGACATTGTTGGGTCTAGCAACACCCAGACAGGACCTTGAGGAACACAGCAAGCAAAGTTTTGTTCCTGAAAGCCCTATTGCTCAGATTGTGTACTTGTGTTGTCCATTGAGTCCTTTGGAACTTTGATAGGCATGTCTACATCGTCGTGAAGCGTTCTTTGTAGTATCTGTTGACAATGAATTGTCCCCTAACGCTCACAATACTGTGTTTATCTGAACCCTCATCATGTTCATTACATACAAACGAGGGTAAGGATGTGTTATCCAAGACAGTTTGTATAAATTCATAAAATTCAGCCGTGAGAACGAAGGTCCAAGCAAGCAAGCCTGCCTTTGTACGCCTGCAAACTTGGCATTACCAGCTTCTTTCTCCTTACCAACAGGGCAGCCACATCAACTACTAATTCTGTCGACAGTTCCTTCGAACACACCGCTAAGATGTCTATCACTGAGACCTTCTTCCCCGCCCTCATGCAAGCTTGCAGCGAGGATCCCAACGGCATTCAGGACCTCAAACTGAAGTGTGGAATCTGTCATGAGAACATGACAGTTGAAGAAGAGGATAGTATCGACAATTCCGATGATGAAGCTAGTATTAATCGTCGTGCGTTTATCGTTCCTTGCATGCACATCTTTTGCAACGAATGCGCTGTCGTCTTTGTGAAGTACAATACAGTCTCTAGTTAATACCGGACTAAGGCTGACTGTGCTGAGGGATAGGACTAATGTTCTCCATGGCGACACTAAGGGAAGGCATCTCCCAGTGCAAGAAGCAGAGTGACATTCATGATTTCGAAGAATACAGATAGTCATGGCATTAGCCTAAAACGACTTCATTGTTCGAGGCTGTATAGTTATGTATCATCAACTGTTCCGCGAGGTCAATGCACCATACCCTTTTGATGTACCGTAGAAGCAGTGCCTTTATCCGTACACCGGCCATGTTCAGTGACAGCGGTATAACCTACGCCTCGAATACAAAGTATATAAACACAAGCTCCCCCCTGAAACCTTTGTAGCAAGGAACTTCTTCCAACCACAGCCATCAACTACCAGCAAGACTACTACTAACATACCATCTCCTAGCTAACAGTGACCAACCTCTCAATATGTCTCACCCCGGAGATCCTGTCACAGCGACCTACTATCCCGAGCTTGCGAATATTATCAACAATGATCCCACGGCTATCGAGCGCCTAGAGCTCGACTGCCTTATGTGTAAGGACAAGATGACCAACCCAGAAGACAGGACTTGTGGTGCTTTCATCCTTCCTTGCGGCCATATGTTCTGTCCCTCTTGTGTCAAAAATCTTAGAACGCATAACCAAACCAAGCGTAACCCACACAGATGTCCTGTCTGTCGCTTTGATCTTAGACGCAAAATCTGCGGATGTCCGATCGATAACGGTACATTGTTCAAGCCTACACAGCAGCAAGATGAGAACCTTTTGGCTAATCTACAGGAGGAAGTCTCCAGCCTCAGAGGCTGTTGCGTCACGTGTCATCTGAATACTTTAATCCGCGGTTTAAGACAAATCGCTCTCTACCTACATGATCCCTCACAGATGATCAAGGACGGACATTTTCTGAGAATCTCCGTTGAGAAACGTGACACGAAGCTTCGATTTGAAACTGATTATAAAAATGAAGAGGTCAAACGGTTGCCAGTATCGTCGGATCTTCTGGAACTTTTTGCAATGGCGGGAAACAGCTTCTACGCGGCAAACAACGGGTCCCCTGTCCCAGATGGATCGTCCGTGTACAAGTTTGAACTGACTCTTTGCAAGCGATGTCCTGAGAACCAGAGGGACCGCTATCGGTATCGACGAAGAGAAATGGAGTACGTGGAGAAGAAGCTACAGGCTCCAGGATGTGACAGACTTGCACTGGCTCGTGAGGTGGCGGTCAAGGTGGCCAAGTCGTTTACTAGTGATGAAGCCTTCAAGGAGCATATGGCCGAGACTAAAAAACTACGGTTTGAGGAACTTGCTTTGGTCGAAGCTGTAGAGCTGAACGAGCATCACCAGGATCACGAGAGTTCTAGACTCTACGCCTTGGCTGCTATCCCAGTTGCTGTTGGGCTTTTGGCTGGTGGAATTCAATTAGGTACGTTTATAGCTAGACGCGGTTAGTCTTGTGGAAGGTAGTGAAAGGCGAAGTTGGAAGGTATTTTGCGACGGAAGCTTGCGAAATGGACACGAAGATGATCTGGTATCGTCTACGTCTGGGGATAGTTGGGATATGTTGATTGTACTGGGGGCATTGGGAAATGGATGGCGTTCTTTGATATTAGCGCAGGTAGATACCTACAAGGGAATGACTTTACTACTTGGATAGGTACCAAGAAATGGGGTCTTTGAAATATGTGAAACTGAGTGACTGTCTATTTTCTCCTGTCTTATGACCAAGACAAGTTAACACCTTGTTGTCAAGCTGGGTAGAGATGGCATAGGACTTTATTACTCTATCTTGTGACCACAAGATCTCTGAGTAAGGGGCAACATAAGGTGAAATATAAAAGATCCCCAATAAAAGAGATGTTTGCAGTACTATATAAGACACCTATCTCACTATCATCAAGGGGCGGTTTAGATTCTCGCAAAGGGAAACTTAGCAACAGTATATGGGAATCGCATTGCGGAGTCTCAGTCACTTGTACTTTAGGCATTGACAAAGGACGCTAAAATAAACTTATTAAAGAGTCTATTAAGCTTATGATAATTTACTTAATCCTTTTTGTTACTGAGGATCGAGATCCTAAGTTTTCTTGCCTCCCCTAGCCGGGCAGGCGATCGCTTTGAGGGAAATACTCGTCCAAAACCTGGTCCCGCTCTGCCTGGCCTAGGAACCAACCTCTTCCAAGATCTCGCGTCTCTTCGTCTTCGAGAGACTCTTTGCCTTAATGACCATCACGTCTCGTCTTGGGGGACAGTCCCTTCCTCTGCGGGAGAGTCTTGCCCCTGTGATAGAAGCTCAGGCTTGAAGTGAAGTACCCGAATCTTCATGGCACTGTATTCCACTTCGATCCAAACCTCATTCTCTTGCCTTCCTTCGATCGCGAAGTCGACCATGCCATTGATCAACTCCTTGACGGCGGTTGGAGGTTCAATCTCCAAAACAGGTCCAATTACAGCGCGCGAACAAAATTCATAGCTCGAGAACTTGAGGCCGATACCCAGGTACTCCCCCTTGAGCTCCTCTGGAATATCTGGGTCTCTGTCCAACAACCGGTTGAACATTGCTACCAGACCAGTGATGCAACAGCGGCTGCATCCGTTTGGCATACCTCCGCCTTGTGACAGGAGGGGAGGCAGCTTGTCCAACCGCTTTAAGGGCATGATCATGCCAATGTGAGCGTGGCCGCAGTTGTGCATGAGTTCCGTGCGACATATTGGGCAGCGAGATTGACCTGTCTCATAATATGCGAGTAGACATCTATAGCACAGAATGTGGCCGCATGGGAGGACACGAGGACGGCGGGGTATTCCGACATCGTCATCGTCTCGACTTCGGTACTGAAAGGGCTTGGTGCAAATGATACACTCTAGGTCGAGAGTTTTCAGACTGACGACCCCGTTGTTCTCGCCAAGGGCCTTCAGGCTGGGCCAGAAACCCTCCTGGATAGGCATGCTGCTAGGAGGGTTCGGGATCGATGGTAGGTGCCGGAATATGGAGATTCTTTTTTTAGAAAGCTTTCTAAGATAGGTCGACAGTGGTTTGTGGTTTAGGCAAATTGCATTCTGTCACTGAATAGGTGTTATGTTAGTGGGTTATGAAGATGATGGGAATGGGTGGAAGAAGGATGCAGTTGCAAGTCAAATTTACCTCGATGAGCAGAAGACTTGGCGAATATCTAAGGTTGCAGAACAAATAGCCTCAAAGTGCTTGGTGAAATGTGAAGGGAAGATTTGAGCATGCTTTGCACTTCTTGCTTTATAAACAGAATACAAACTTGAACTAGCACTCTCGACCATAATATAATCCCTTCGATATTGCCAGCGCCAGTGCAGTGATAGTGTTAATATCCAGATGAAGGAAACACCGAAGCTGGCACTGGCCGAGCTGCAGATGCGCATACAGCACTGGCTTCTTATCACTGGTAACATTGCGTAAAAAGGTTCCAATTAAGCCAAATACTGGGCCTGCGGTCCCAAGTCATGGACCCTTACCTGGCACCCGAGGAGTCTGATCGCAGAATTTAGGTATGTATTTATATAGTGTTGCAAAGCTCATGATGGTTTCGGCAAGTGATGGATCAAATAGTATAATAGGACTTGTACTCATTTAGACTGGGATGAGAGCGACTGTGTCTCAGCATATTGGTGGGCACAAATATTAATCCCTGATCACATATGAAGTATTATATATCACGAGATGAAGATGGAAAGGCAAGCTTATACGAAAGAAGTACCAGAAAATGGTCGTTGGGTTCTTATTTATACCTTGGTAGGTATCAAGTATTCAGAAATGTGTATCTGTCAGAAACACAAATACAAAATAAAGGAAAAAGATAAAAGTCGATAAACTTAACTAAAGTCCAGACTCCGGACTCCAAACAAATATCCACTCTTGAACAAAGAAAAGTTCAGTCAGACTGGTTTTTGTCTGTTCCTGTAAATCTTGTATGTCCTTGCTCTATAATATTTTCCTTCCCAAACAAAGACAAACTCAGCCAGGTGATATAAGCTATATCTTGACATGACTCTCGTGAACAAAAAGGTAAGCTTGGAATGGTACCCAAAGTTAGACGCCTTTTTGTCGTTGGAGTTGTAGCTTAGCCAGGCGAGGGCTGGAGTTTTATCATTGGCAACCTTGCGTAGGAAGGTTCCAATCAGGCCATGAATTCTGCTGTAGTTGTCGGACTGTAACTCTGCCATGCTAGGGCTTGAGTCTTGTTGTTGACAACCTTACGTAAAAGGGACTGATTATGTCGGTACGGGGCCTATGTCGTTGGATTGTGACTCTGCCAGGCGAGGGCTTGAGCCTTCTCACTGATTACCTTGCGTAAAAAGGTTTCAGTTAGGCCATTTACTGGGCCTGAGGTCCCAGGTCACGAATCCTTACCGCGGTGCCAGCATGGCAACGCGTGATCCAGAGCTTCGTGCTGCCCTCATACTTGTCCAAGCGTCGGTCATATCGAGCGACGAAGCTTCTGAAAGTTGCTGGAGCACGCGCTTCCTGGCAATCCTCCATCCAGGGCTGGGGAAAGGTCTCACCCCCTTTCGTCAGAGACACAACAAATCGCCCCCTGGACTCCTCGGTGAGGATCTTGTGGAGCTCTTCGTTGAGATCCTCCAAGGTCTTTTTGACGCCGCACTGGTAGCAGTAGTCGGCAAGGACACCTCCATTGTTGAGGGTGGGAGGAATGAGGCCCATGTCTGATTTGTTTGAGGGCATCAAGAGCCCAAAAAAGAAGTGGTCGCACTTGGGGTGGACGAACGCACCCCGGCAAGTTGGGCAGCGGATCATGGTATCAGTGTCAATAGAGGCCTGGGCACTTTTGCTAATGCAAGAAGCTCCGAAGATATGTCCGCATGGGAGTATCACTCCCTGGTGGGTTTCTTCATTGTTGTCCTCGACGTGTTCATGAGGAAAGACAGTGATATCCTCAAGACACATGCTGCAGTTCAGAGCAAGGTCCTTGAACTCAACCGCGTCGTTGTCGATATGGGAGGCGAGCTGAGGCCAGTATGTCTCCTTGGACTTGTCTGTGACCTTCTTGGGGCCGTTGAAGTCGATGGGGGTGGTGAAGTTGGGGTAGCTGCACATTGTGGATGTTGTGAGGTCGGCGGAGATATATGTGTTTGGGATAAAGGATATGGTTCAAGACCAGAGAGTATACGTTGGTAGTGTGATATGTGTCAAAGACCAAAGAGCCTGACTTGATAATGTGTATGGGTCTGAGAGAGAAGAGTATGAAGTGTAAGAGGGAGAGAGAAGAGAAAAGAGAGAGAGTATGTGTATGTGTGTGTGGGTGATAGATGACCAGAGATGGGAGATAATGAAGGATGAAGAAGTCGGTTGTCTGAGACAGAGAGGGAGACCGACTTATATACTCAGTGGAGTGATTAAGTTCTGCTCTTAATAGTCAGATCCAAGATCTTTGCAGGGGAACTTGGATCAACTCATTCCACGAGGGTTTCAGTCCAAACTGATTTTTCAAGTCATATGATGATACAGTGGTTCCCCTATAGAGCTGACGACAGAGATTGATCGTCATGTGTGTTGAAGAAAGTGAACAAAAGTCTATGTAGACTTTCAAAGTTATGCAAAGGACCAATCAAGGAGTCTTCCTGGAACAGAAACTGACTCACAGGGATATACGTGAACAACATACTCTTCCTTTAGTATGAGTGTTCCCAAGATACTATTTCGTAGTGTCCACCTATTGGTTGAGCCCTTCGATCGAATTACTTGTGTAGTCTATTTAGGCGTGCATTGTGGCTGTGTGATCACTTACACCCGTGTAAGGTTTCGAAAAGCTCAGAACAGGAAGGTTTACTAACATCAACGTGACAGACTGCTTTTTTATTGGATGACTGAAGATTATATCACAGTCATTTAACTTCTAAAACATCGCGAATTACAATTGGGCTGTGACAGGACAACCAAAGTATAATCCCAGGGTTCTCGGCTTTCACCCTCAAGATAGCCCTTTAGCCCACGTATACGCGTGTAAGTTTCGAATAACTCGAAACAACAAGGCTTGGTAACATTACTGTGGCATATTATCTTCTTGTTGGAAGCGTGAAGCTGATATTAAGTTTATGCATAAACTTCTATGATGGTGTGAACCACAACTCGAGGCCTATTCGCTGCCATGTCCGGGGAAACAAAAGTCTATATCATAGTTTTCAACTGCAACCTTAAAACACCGATAAGTCACGAGTAAATCACCTCAGCCAGTGATACCCTCAGATTATTGGCTTGCGTGAATATTGCTTGGGCTCGACTTCAGGCTCGAGTTGTAGGAGACTCTTGGTTAGATGTCTGTTTGAACAAGCTTCAGCTCTCAAGCAAATGATATCTTGACAACGCTGTAGGGAGGCGCCTAGCACTTATAGGCAGCCACATGGTGACTGCAGTATTGGTGTCGGTGCAGGAGTGCCTTTCCTGTGTAGAACCATGCGATCCCGCACCAAGTGCTGCATACCACCAGATCCAACCAGAAGCGTCAAGAATTTATGAGAGCCAATATTGAATTCTCTTGTCTATTCATGCCTGGTGTATTTCTGTCCATTAGAAGTTACGCGTAGATTTGGTCCTTATAGCAGATAGTTCGGGGGGCCAATTAGCACAGGAATGAAGATCTCAATATGAAAATGAACATCTATCAAGCTAATAATAAAGCATTGATATTGTAATAGAGCTCTCTGCCTCTTGCTTTATTATTAGTGGCCGTATTATCAGTGACTGCGCTCATCAAGAACAAATCTTCGGAAGAGCAGCACAGGAAGTGGAGAGGCTTAGGCAGCTTTTATCTAGAAATTGTCACTGGCAATGGCACTGGCGGCGAGGTGATTGCATTCTTAGGTCGGTTTCCAGTGAAACCTCGTTTTCTACACCTGTAGACTAAGCTCAAGGCATTGTGCGAACACCTTCGATCTGATTATTAAGAGCAGAACTTAATCACTCCCTCGGCTATACAAGTTCCCTCCTCCTGTTTATTCCTGATTTCTGATTCTCAGTATCTTCCTCTTTAATCATCACTCTTCTCATTACGTCCCGACTTTCGTCACCTCTACTCTATCCCATCCCTTCAGTCCACTCCCAAGACACAATGTGCGTCGAGATCCCTACGGCCGACCTTGGTTCATCATCCCCAACGATGTACCAAACGTAACAGAGGAGTCAAAGGACACCTACTGGCCCAACCTAGTAGCCAGTATCAACAACAACGACATCGAGTTCAAGGACATTGCAGTCGAATGCGTGGTCTGCCGAACCAACGTAACCATCTACCCAAAAGATCACGTCGTCGATGAGGAAGTCGGCGAGAGCCATCGGGCTGTTATCCTCCCCTGTGGACATATCTTTGGCGCCTCCTGTGTCAAGAAATTCTTCGATATAAAGCAACGCGAGGGAGCTCGTGCCTCCTGTATCAAGTGTCGAGCCGCCTGTTACCACCCCCACCCAACCTGTGGACATCCTTCTACGGAGAATCTATGCCCACTCACAAGCCAGGCATGGCCTTTACTCCCCATGTCGTGGGCAAAGGTGGCCAGATCGACGATTGCTGCAAGATGTGCAGCATCAAGCGTGCCATCGCAGACGTTACCACAGAGCTCAATAGAACGTCAAACCTCCCCGAACCCCTCAGGGAGTTCTTCGGCGTCGTTATATCGTTCGGTGGTAAAAACTACACCACTTGTCGAGTTGAGATGGAGCGCCTACAGGAGATATATTTTCCTGAACCTGTCGGCTCCCTCCTCGATGAGTATCTGGAGCGCAGGGAGAAGAAGGAGGACTCGCAGGGCTACTGGATGAGTGGACTTCTCAGCCACTGCAACGTGAAATTATATGTGCTTGCACCTCAGAACTAGGGCATAATGCCCAGAGAATAATGAGAGATTGGAAGTTGCATTGGCTTTTTTATTCTTTTTTATATACTGGTTGGGAAATACAACTGGTTTGCATACTGTTTCTTTAATCTGTCGTGAGTTCAAAGAATACTGTCTCCTTTTCTTGTTGGAAATAGAATGGCGCAAAACATATCCTTTACTGCATCGACAACCTGAGATTGTACTACCACTGATCGTTTTTAAAACATTACTTGGGACTGTCCTGCTAGAAATTACCATCCAGTAACATATCCTTCAATCAAGATTGACTAATATGCTCTGCAATGAAATAACATGAAGAGAAAAGTAATGCCATAGCCACAAATAAAGTAACACAATAAGAGTGTTTTATCAACAACACAATAAAAGGCATCATACACTACGCCAAAAAAAAAAAAACTAGCCTTGATATAAAGTCAACAGATCACACAGCTGCTGCCTTAAACCTCAAGATCCAACTGAACATCCGCCGGCTAGTAATAAATTGTATCAGGTCACAAGACAAAGCAGTGAAATAAACACAGTATGATGACACTCGAGATGAAATAACATATCAATCTTCATAAGTGCTAAACCGAAAATCTCATCCAAAGGACGATCCGTAACCATAACATACATACATAAGAATCCTTAAAACCATCATAATCATTTTGCTGATTCCCAGACCAGCACAATAACGCTATCCTTAACATCACCTCCCTCCTCACCCCATCTCTTCTTCAAAGCCGGCTCATCAATAACGCCCCTCTTCACATAAGCCTGCCACACATCCCCTTCAGCAGTAGTGACAGCGTCCATCAACTTCCAGACATTTCGTCGTCCTGTCCAGAATAGCATCTTGCGATCTATCTCTCGTTCCTTGAGCTTCACGGGACCGATGACGGAGCGGCGAGAAGAACTGGCTTTTCCGGCGGTGGAGAGGGGCATGTCGGAGAGATGGATTCCATCGGGGTATTCGGTTATGGTGTAGCCGTTTACGAGGACCCAGTTGTCGCGGAAGCGGTAGCGTTGGAGGAAGCATGCTTCGCCGCAGACGTCGGTGACGAGATGGGCTTGGCTTGGGGTGAGGTGATGGCGCTGCTCATAGTCGTGGAGGGCCAGGGGTTGAATGCCTGTTTCGTAGCTATCCAGATGTGAAGAGTAATCGTCGTTGTCCTTTGGTGAGTAGAAGCTTGGAATGATATGCATCTTCATTTTGGTATGCTTCGCCAAACAATCCTGAAGAATACCATCCCATCGTTTCTTACTCGTAGGACTATCTTCGACACCATCGAAGCATGGTAAATGCGTAACTTTGGATATAGCAGGTCGTGTAAGAAAGATGGCTCCACCTCCATACGTCGTCATGAATCCTTCGCCGATAGCCCAGTCCCCTCTCTCACTCGGTAATCCAACGTACAATTCCTTCTCAGAGTTATATGCGAATAGTCGTTCCTGGAGATACGACAGGTTGGGAAGAAAGATCTCCTCGTCCAAGATGCCGTACCACTTCTTCATCTGTCCTTTCTGAGCGAGTGTAGCGCTATACTTCTTGACCGACTCCATCATGTTGAAGTACCTCTTCGCCGTAGAGATCTGACCCTCAGAGATCGTAACATGAGCATCAATACCAAGAGAAACCAACACCTCAGTCAACTTCTTAACCTGCTGGTAATGCCCCTGATCCAGAACAAGCAGAAAACTCGCCCCATTCCCATGTTGATTCCCACCAGTCATCCACCGCGCCCAATCCTTCGCAACAGCGTAATCATCCCTAACAACACGATCGAAAGTCGTCGAGATAGCAAACACAAAGTCCGAAGCGTCAATCTGTCCTGGTTTCGGTCCTCCTACAATCGGAAGGCTGAGTTCCTGTCGTGCAACAAGATTTCTCCTCTCGGGAGTCTTGGTATCGATAATTCGGGGTTGGTTTGAATGAAAGTCTGTATCAATGTTCGTGACTGAAGTATACTCAGAGTCCTGCTCTGAAACACGGACTTTCCATGCAGTCCATGAAGTTTGGTCCGAAAGTCCAATTTTCTGCCTTAGTCGTTCGAGGTACTGTTCTTCCGGCACAGGTCCTTTGATGGCAATTTCAGTATCGTCGTTTGTTCGAGGCCAATGCAACCATCTTGTCTGAAAGAAGAGAACAACGACAACAACGAGAACAAGCAGCTGAACAACCCTGCGGGGAATAGTAGGCGGGCTAGAAATCATAACCATGATGAATAGACGATCCAATCCAGTAAAAAAGAGTGACTTGGGTAGGTATAACCTGGATAAATGAGTGTGTTGCTTGACTATAACAAAGGCATGATCACGCTGTGAGAGGCGGGTAAAGACTGACTACGGTGAAAGAGAAGAAACGAAAAGGCTTCGACTCCCGAGTCGTGAGGCACAGCGAGAGATTTAAGTAAGTTAGACTCAAATGGTGTAGAGTGACAGACTGTCACAATGCCCTTGTCTAGTGTAAGTGGTAAATGGCCGCAGTGGGGGGAGACCATCCTTCGAAGCATCATGAAACTAGCCGCCCCAGACCATAATCCCTGGTCGCACCACGTCAATAACGGTTAAAGAGGGGAAGGCCAAGGCAAGCAATTAAACTGTGACGGGGTCCGTGGTTCGTTTCATGGTTGATCAGTGGAGGTCTCAGGTCACGATATGTCCAAATGCAGTAATGAAAAACAATTGGAACGAGTGTCAGAATTGAAGATCTTTTAACTCCTATTCTGATAGCGTCCATCCAAAGTCCCAATTAATGCATAAAGAATGCTGATGTTGAATCCTGGTGGATGAGAGGCTATGACGGAACGAGAACTAGGTTGGGTGGTAATTTAATCTCTTGCCAATAATCAGACTAATGCAGGTACAATAACAGCCCTAGTCGCAAAATAAGTCGATTTCGGTAGGTAATTTATCTGATAAGCGGCAAGCTAGGAAATGACCGCATCCCGTTGCAGATTCCTAACCGGGCTCTAGGCTTGCATCATTCGCTAGGCTTGCTGGTTGGACCCTTTTCTTCTTGGGCTGCTTCAGTATTTAGTGACTTCTTCCTAGGCGGTGTGATAGGTTCTGTTGCTGCCCTCGTGTGTGTTGGTGTTGATGCCACTGTCGTCGGTGCTCGCGCTGGTATCGGCATTGGCATCGGCATCGGTGGTAGTGGCTGCTGTTGAGGTTGGGATCCGCGTCGTGAAGGTGGCGTCGATTGACTTGGGGCATATGCTGCTGGCATATTGGCTTCAATAGTTCGTTTGGCGTTGTCGAAACGATCGTAGCACTTAGCAAGAGCCTCTTGGACCGACTGGTCCGCACGTACAATACCCGTGGCGAGAACTTCTCTAATGTGATCTTCGACCTTTTCAAACTCGGACTTGTCGTATCTATATCGATCAGGAATACCGCTATTGTGTAACAAAGCTAACAGTCCCGCAATAACTGTGTTGGACGCAGCGAGAATAGTGATAGCCGTGTCGTCGAACCCTCCGGAGCTGAGAGCTGTGATACTAGCGCCAATCATCAACTGCAAGACAAAAAGAATTGCGCGAACGAAGCCGATGAAGTGAAACGAGTAAGATGAAATGGTACGACGATAGACGCAGTCGCGATAGAGACCTTGAGGAAGGCCTTTCGGAGGCCAGAAGCTACTGGTCGGATGAACAGGCTTGTTGTGCTCTGTATCTTTAATCCCCCCAACTCCACGGGCTAAGATGGTCCATTCTGTAGGCGATAGGAAGCGATATCTAACATTCTTATGTTTTTTCTGTCCTGGATCTTTTTCTGTGCTGCTCTGATCTGCTCCATTGGTGTAGTATCCGAAATTTGGAGTAGGGTCTATCGATGCCTGTGGGATGGTTGAATCAACTTCCGCCATCAAGCTCTCCAGCTTGTATCTGCCGTTTTTCGTGACGTGAAATGCAAATATTAAAGGAAATGAAGCATGCTGGTGAAGCAAAAGCCAGCTTATGAAGAGAGAGCCGATAAGGAACAATGGCGATGCTTGAAGAAGCTGGCTAGGGTCAATAAAATGATACTGAAAAAGAAATGAATGTTACAGAAGAAGAAGGCTGGGATATTCTGGTGATGTAAAAGACAATTCATATTGGCAAGCTGAGTTCGTTGCTCGGCCTTTCCCGTCGCCATGTTATCTTGTCTCAGCTGAAGGCGGAATCTCATGCCCATTGCGGCTTCCACCGCGTTAGTCATATCGAATCTCATTATGGCAGCAAGCCCGATAAGGGTGCCTTTAATCGATTCCTCATAATGTAGCAACTCGAAAGGAAACGATATCTCATTGAGCCAGAAATTACTCCCCAGTAAGTGCACAAGCTCATCCTCAAGAGTGACATCGCGATATCTAATGCACTTCACTTACACGAGCAGGTGGTCAGTGCCACCAACGAGGGACCCTGCCAAGCTGCAACAGGCAATTTTTACGATGAAATCTTCATCGACACTGCAGGTCTCAGCCTCAAAATGTCCATATCGAGACCAGGAATGTTCAGTGTCTCGAACACAACCAAACCACAACTCGTCATACAAAACAATGAGCTAACAAAGCTCTCTCAAAGAACAGCTGTATTCATAAATAGATATCATTTCTATGTTCATTTTCATGTATATGACCCATCCTTCCACTCAGCAAGGTACAGCCCCAATCACTCATGACTCTAAATCACTTCTTATTCCCTCCTGATCCGAGTAAACCATGTAGAACCACCTAAGTCATACAAACGCCACAGTACATATATACCATCCTCGCTAAATATTTCATCTTTTCAAAATCAAGAGTCCTGCACAAGATGGGGAATGTCGTCCACCTTGGCCTTGCCGTTAAGAATGGCATTCACCGCCGTGAACAGCGGATACTCCGACTCCAGACCGCGAGCCTTGAGGAAACTGTTCACCTCCTCTGCAGTGGTAGTACCCTGGATCTTCTGTCCGTTGAGATCCTGCTTCTCGACCTCTTGCACGGAGATTCCCTTCTCGACAGCCTTCTTGGCACAGCGGAAGTTACGGCCGCCGGAGCAGGATGTGATGAGATCGGCGACACCGGCGGAGGATTCGGTGAAGGTAGCTGTGTGGACGGTCTCGCCGAAGAATTCTTTGCCGAACTTGACCATTTCCATGAGACCGACGCGCATGATGGCTGCCTTTGCGTTATCACCCCAACCGCGACCGTCGACGAAACCAGCTGCGAGAGCAACCACGTTCTTCAAGGCACCACTCAAAGACACACCAGCAACGTCGGAGACCATCTGGACGTGGAAGTAAGGTCGGTGGAAGAGTGTTCGGAAGCAATCCTGGTCCAGAGGGGGATAATCGGCTGGCATAGCGGTGAGCTTGGTCTTGGAAGTTCGGCCTCGAACGTCCTTGTGCTGCATCTCGGGAAGCTCGCCAATTGTAGGATTGGGGCTACCGGTTCGTGGCGTGGGAGCTCTGCTGTTATCGAGAGCAGGGGGGTCGTAAGCGATAGTCGTCTCCGACCACTTCTCCTCAGCAATTTCACGAGCCAAGTTAGCACCACTGAGAGCACCGCAGTAAATGCCTAGCCCATCACCAATCCACTCGCTGAACAGGCTGATGCCATCATCAGTGACATTGACACCCTTGATACAGCTGATTCCTCGAGCATAAGGAAGAATATGTCCGTTGACCTGCTTGCAGACGTTTGCGATAAACTGGTGGGGCAAGTTGAAGACGAGGATGGTGGAGTCCTTGACAGCGTCACGGATGTCGGGGTTGGCGATGATGTTTGAGGGCAGAGGAATGCCAGGCAGGTACTTTACGTTCTCGTGGTGCTTGTTGATGACTTCTGTGAGCTTCTGGGGCTTGTCGCCGGTGGCTTCGTCATATAATTTGGAGTCCTTGGTAATCGTCACGTCCTCCTCGTAGACCCACATCTGGACATCTTCCTCGAAGAGATCTTTGTTGGCGCGGGTGTTTTCAGCGACGATCTTGGCAATTGTTGAGCCCCTAGCAGCGTCTGTTAGTCAATGGCTCAAGCTGCGATAGAGACAGATTTGGAGGAGCGGAAGACATACCAGTTACCAGATCCCACAATGGTCACCTTGTGCTTCTTTGAATGTCCACCCAAGCTCGCCATGTTGCCGAATGTCGCAGAAGAATAAGTGCGAATATGAGTACAAGACAATGATCTCAACGATTTAGTAAAGACAAAAGAAGAGCGCACTACAAGTGATCGAAACATACGGGGGGAAACGAGAATTGAGAGTGTGTAAGGGCGAAAAAAGAGCTTTATGAGGGGTACTGAAGCTGAATAGTCCGAGGGACCTGCTCCAGCTTTCCAGGTTGTTGAACCCTGGAGCAAGCCACAATGACGCATGGCAGAATGAGATAAGTGACACCGCCTGCTCCAAGGGGGAAAGCGTCCCATCAAAACCCCATTGATATCCGTGATAATGGAGCTGGAGAAATCTCTCGACCTTGATGAGGCCGAGGGGCAGGTTTTCACATGCAAGGAGTTATTGATTGCTATGGCTGTGTATGTCAATTGGAAGCCATTTTTCTAGAAGAAGCTCAGGTTTCACTGTCTCATTAGCTATGACTATATGAAGGGACGCTTGAAGAACAATTTGACTTTTCAACGATAGCTTCAATTACATGGAAACAACATAAAAATTCCAATTCAACTTTTTAAGTGGGATTTCACATGTAAACCAAAACCTCAAAACAAGGATCTCTGCAAAGTCTAGGATTCTCCGGGAGACAAGGGGGCAAAGATGCATAATCCAGGAACAGTTACAGCACCGAGCCCCGTTCCGTAATCCGCGGGCCGATCCCCTTGTCGCGTGACGAGCACATGTTAAAGAACCAAAAGAAATCATGAGCTTAGATCAAATGATATAGATTGAGGTTATCACTACTAAGAGTCGCATCATGTCACGATATGAACCACTGCCGAGGATGTATCGTTGCATTGTAATGGGTTCAAGGGCGCTAGAGCTCAACTGCATGTTGACGTTGCCAAGTTTACCCCAACGAAGTCATCTCACTCCCATCCCTTTTATCCGTGTAAAGGTCCAGTGCATTTAACAGAGATACGAATGCCTGCATTTGGATATCTGAAGTATTTTCCTTGAAGTTATACCACTCTTCAGTCTGAACTGTTGCTAAACATGCGTACTGACCAGAGCCCCGATAACAGATATGTCTCATCACTCAGCGATCAAGAACAGCGAACGATTCCACGACTAAATTTACTGCGTTGCCCTCTCAATTATACTCGACCAATAATTCCACTTTCTCCTCATCTGCCGATGGAAAGTGATTAAGCATCGCCGACAAAGAACGTTTTCGCCCGTGTGTTTTCCTCTCATCCTTCTCTTCAGTTCTTTCACCATTTCCAAAAACAGGCTTGAAAACATTATCGTAAACCATCCAGGCCACAGTGAACATAACTGTCATGGTGACAGCCAACCATTGGGGCACTTTGCCGCGCTTGTCGGCTAAAAACTTAGACAGGAGAATGACCGTTCCGAAGAAAAAGACAGTGAAGAAGAGGAAAAAGAATGCCCCTATTCTCTGTCTCAACGTTGTTATTGTGTATGGCTGTAATGAGTGCAGGTAACGCTGATATCCATCGGGAAGTTCGTGTTCCTTGGCACCGTCTTTGATGAGATTCAGATACCGAGCACTAGCTTGGGCGTAGCCAGGTTCACGCTGAGGACCGATCAGAAAGCGATACCACCACTTGTGCTTGCGGGGGTCATCGGGCAAATCCTTGTCAGGAATCTGTGGTGCAAAAAGCGTTCTCGACATAAAAGGTCGAGGGATATCGGGGAATGGCTTCTCAGGGATCGACATCCTGGGAGGTAATGGTATGCAAGGCACAATAATCTCTTTGTAACCCGCTCCACCACCTTCAGTACGGATGATGGTGCGATAATCCTCCTCTGTTACTTCGTATACCACGCCCATAAGACCCTCATCCCACCTGATCTCCTCAGAGTGTGGTGGTTGTGGAGGATCAAAGGGTGGAACCGGCACCTTTGGAGGCAGTTTTGGCTTCTCAGGAAGCTTTCTATAATCGACGTTCGCAAAGCATGGCTCACGATAAGGAATTCCAGGAAGGTTGAACTTGAGCTCCAACGTTGGCACTGAGACATTCACCTGGGACAGCGGTCTAATGCCACGAACGCCCAGAAATGTCTCAGCGGCGAGGTTAGAGCCATAAGCGAGATATAGGTATGTCTTTGGCGCAGGATGGTCGCGATCGATGATATGATCTTCAGCAGCTTGAGCTAAGCGTGCAGCTGATGTGCGAGGAATAGAAGAGATCGGTGGGTACTTCTTCGGTTCGGGCCGCTGCGCAAGAACACTGAACTTGCGCAGAACGACAGAGAGCGAACATTTACTGGCTGCGTCGCGGTTGGCGCTGGCGTGCATTGGGTTTGACATGACGTCGAGTGAGAAGCTTAGACGTAAGCTTACAACCGAGTGATAGGCTGTTGCACAGGTGTCGCTATATCTGTGTTCCCGTCAGGTGGCGGAGATGGGATATATAAAGCGCCCACAGATAAATATCAACAATAAATGTTCAAATCATGGGTTTCCGGGGAGATAAACGTGTTGTTCGTCATGAAACGGGTCATAGATTCGGGCGGAGCGGAGATAGTGGGCGTCCCTTGCTGCTGAATAATGCGCCGCGCGGGTAAGGCATGGGAATAGTTGCACCGACCGATGGTCCGCATTCAAAGTCCGCTTCGCTATGATGAATCCCGGACTATCGGGTTTTGCCAAGATTATCTGACGAATTGGCTTGCTCAAAGATTACCAAGCGATGGCCCGTTGCGATGAGTTGCAGATCAACTTTAATTAATTCCTCCATTGCATCAAACCCTCCGGCTGTGCAGGGTAGGCTGGGCCAATTCAACCGCCTCAACTAACGTCGCCTACTACGACCAGTACTTCATCGACTCAGTGAAGGCGTATTCTTCATCTTTGTATGGGGACATCCAGAACGGGTTGGCGTGGATCGGGCGCGCCAATTGTACCTCAAGTTGGCTTGTTAATGTTGCGAGTTGGAATTGTAGAGGCTCAGCTAGACCTTTGATAATGAACGATGCTATTAGTGCGATGGATGCTTGCAGCACTCCTATTTACTCTAGATACCTCGGGGAATTTTAAAAAGAACTTTCACACGCAGTTGCCAAAGTCGTTCGTCCCATATTGAGTGAGCGTGTGCTATTACAATGAAACAAGCAAGAGGTTGTCAGGCTCTCGAGGGTACCCGCTCCTTCCATCTTGCCAGCTGCTTCCACCATCTCCTCCTATCCATCTCGACTCAACGTGACACCCTTGCCAAATCCAAAAACCTTCTCGAATCAACTCTACGTTATCAAACACCATACGATCTCGCTTGTGATATCGGCATCATTTTATTTCTCTGGCCCACTTGCAGCGGCAGGTGATAGCCTGAATCACATCGTCCAATCGTCTGGAGGAACTGTAAGTCAGATCCCCTACAACGTTCGTTGTGTACCCCTCCAACCGAGTTTCATCCACTAACGGTCTTGCAAAGTGTGCACCAATGCCGCGAAGAGGTGGGAAATCTGGCCCACGCCCAAAGGGTAAGCGGCATTCAGCGAGGATTGGGGCCATTGGGCAACTCGACACTACTCCAAACCGTCACGATCAGTCTCCTCGTGCAGTTCAGCCTCAGGATCCAACACCGGCATTACCAAATCAGGACGCAAATTCCGAGCTTCCAGACCCTGAGATACCGTCGACATACGAATTTGACGATGACCTCAACGAGGATGATCTAATGCGGCTGGTTGCAGCTGAAGCCGCTCCATCCGCTCAACCTCCTCCTGATTTCTCATGGTCTGAAATCGGCTCAACACGCCGAAGCACGCCTCTACGGGAAGACGAACCAAATTTGTTTGATAACCAAGATTCGCTTCTCGACGAATTTTCCAGTCCAGTGTCCGGCCTAGGCAAGCTTCCCAATACTCAGCCACTGCCATCAAAGCCTGATCAAGAAAGCAAAGAAACTCATTTTGTTGACTTTTCTGAGACAGCCTCTACTGTACGACGAAGTTCACCTTATTATTCGTTGGCTGCCTCTCAGATCGGCGATGACGAGGCGCTGAATATCGTGGAAAACAACCCTTTGGCACCACTCCCAAGTACCTTCCCCGATTCAATACAGGCTCTTGGATTACCTCCTTTTCCGGGATTAGAAGCCATGGATCACTTGCCGGAAGACGAGCTATATGATGTCACGCCTCCTAAGTCAACGGCTGATCTTGAAGCTGAGACCTCGCGACAAGAGGAGGAAGCAGCTCAAGCTGCCCCAAAAAGGTCACAGCGTACTAAAAAACCAAATTCGTCACAGAACCCAAAGACAAAAAGCAGGCCGGGGAAGGTATCAAAAAGCCTTGATGCCCTTACGAGACTGTTAGAGGAGGAACTGGATCCATCAGGAGAAGACGAAGGAGAGGCGCAAGCATCTTCACCCCCTGAAAAGCCACCAGCAAAGCTTCCGAAGCGGAGGAACGGCGCTCGCCAAGTCAAAAAGACACCAGAAAGAAAACCTGTCGCTGCAACAACTGAGGATCCAAAGACAAGTGAGCAAGGGCGAAAGGAAAAGAAGGGCCGGAAACAACGAGCGAAGACTCCCATCCAATTCGACGAAGAGACACATGAAATAAAAGAGGCCCCACCACGCAAGGCAGTGGAACAGCAGCCGCGCATGCCCATCGTGAGCAGTCTGAGAAAATCGCATGCTGCCTCTGTCTCTCCCATTGCAAGTGCAGAGAAAGGGACGCCCGGCTCGAAACGAAAGCCTGCGCCACAGCGCAAACCGCCTGCTCAAGGTACTCCCCAGAAGGAGAAGGCTCCCAAGAAAGCCCCCCAAGCTACACGAAACTCAGATTTGAAGAATGTGGTGCCTCAGGATAAACCTGATACAGTTGAAAAGGGGAAAGAACGTGCAGTTCCTGCTACAAAAGTTGCAGCCAAGCCTTCGCCCGCGATTAACAAGAGAACAACCCGGGCCAAGGTGAAAGAGGAAAAGGCACCAGTGCCGCAACCTATAAAAACCCAACAGACGCCAGAAACGAGGAATGAGACTCAGGGATCGACTCAGGACCCTATCGTGCTCTCTAGCGACCCCGAAAGCTCTTTGTTCTCGGATGATGACGACGGCTTCGTTCCGATTGAAGACTTGCACCCAAAAGAGAAGAGTCAACCAGCAAGGAAGACTCAATCAGTGATGGGAGAGTTGCTTGTTGACCCAATTGTCGACGTGGAACCAGTAGACCATGCTCATCGTGAGAAAGCGCAGCCTTCTAGACGCCCGCAAACCCTACCGCACAATCCCGAGACCTCTCGCCCTTCACATCCTCCAAAAGAACAAATCTCTAGGCAGAAGACAACCATGACTGTTAAGCCTGACCCCAAGAAGCTTGTTGAAGAACCCGTTACAAGCACGAAGGGAAGTCGTGCAGCTCAAAAAGGCCCAAGAGAGGTTTTGTCGGCTCGAGATACTAACATTCTCGTTCAACAAAATACTTCACAAGCAAGGGCCTTGAAAAGACCTGCCATAACAGTTGACCCCATCACTGATGCTTCTCATCCACCTCGCAAGATCAGCAAGTCATCACGGAGCTTCAGTATCAGTCAAGCGGGTAGCCCGTTGCCGCTTGAAACAAGCTCAGCTCAGCTCGTCGGTGGAACCAGCCCGAGTGCTATGGAAGAAGTTGAATCTGTGAAAGTGCCCAAGCGCAATCAGCAGACGGAACCTAGAAGATCCCAACGCCTTCGAAGAACTGCGGAATAGGAATCCCCATATCCTGATGGCAATTACTTACAACAAGAGTACCTCTCAAGTCTGGCCGCCGCAGAATCCATCCCGGACAAGACACGAGTGGCATTTAGATCAAAGCCAAAAAAGCAAGAGAAATCCAAGGAAGCCGGCTTGCAACCCGAGCTCAGTTCAAGTGATCAAGACCTTCATGCTCAGATACTGGCGTCTTTGCAGGGACAAAATGAGGCGACTACCGAAGTGGAACAGGCCATGGAACATGACAAAGTCCGCGGCAATAGAGAGTCTCCCAAACAGACACGACCGGCCGGACCGAATGCAGAGATAGCCGAGAAACTCCATGGACTAGTCGAGGTAAGTCCCTTGTCGAGTGGTCAGTTCAATGCTAACATGCTGCCTAGACGATGCTGGATCATCTCCTAGCCAGGGAAGCGACCATCTACCGCGGCGCTGATGCCTATCGGAAGAATGGCATCAACTGCGTGGACAAGATCGAACGACGCTACATGCAAGAGAGGCAAGCGCTCAATGAAACGTGGAAGAAGGATAGTGATAGGTTCATCCGGGGGACGCGGGTAGCCAAAGCAGCGCTTGATGAGCGCGGAAAGATACGAGAGAAGGCGATACAGCAACTGGATGAAACGGCAGCAAGGCGCCGTCACTTGTTTCAACAAGCGACGACAAGCTTACGAGCACTTCATGGACGATTGATGAAGCGAAAACTTGCAGACTACGAAGATTGAGATGATTTACTGTACAGATTTTGTAATGACAGAACACGGGATTTGCTGGAGCTAGGTAATGGGCAAGTTTGACTCAAGTAGTGGGTATGTGATGGCAGTTGGTGGATGGGGACTGAAAATCAGGGTTCAATGGCGGCAGGGATTAAAAGGTTGATTGATGGGTCAGTTTCATGTTAGTAGGGCGGTAAGTATCTCGGTCTTGGCCAATGTTATTGTTGATGAGAAGTCCCTGGGCGAACTAATAGTGATCTTATTGAGAAGTGATGTCCTCGTGATGATGTTTTAATGTCACGGAGTCACAGTTTTTAGGCAAGATTTGAAGCGATCTTAAGATGATCGAGACGACGTTGAGATGGGGTGCGAAGCAAATCCAAGGTTTGAGACTGGTGGCATTCTAGGCATGCTGAATGGACGGATTGAACGGGAGAAAGCCAGTCATCGCTTATTCGATGAGGCTAGACTCGATATGGGAAGCATCGCAGACTGGCGTCAGACTGGCTTTTGGATGAGGGTGGAAGAAGATTCGGCGAATAGCGGTTAAAGGGAAGCGAGAGAGGTAGACGAATATCACGATGGGGATTAGATGATATAACTATGAGACACTTAAAGACTAGTACTGTTGATCTTGCATGTCATAATAATAAGCATCACGATCTTCAAGATTAGCGGCCTGCTTATCTAGCTGGTATATTACTGCATTCGTGGCTGGTGATGTCGATGTCTGGAGTGTACAGTCCGGGAGGCGTTTCGGCGCGATAACAAACCTGGGAACGATGACGATGGTGGTTTTTCTTTGGTCGTTGGGTGACGTAGTGAGTTTGTGGCGCGGACGGGGTCATTCCCAAGTCCGAGATTTAGGTGGTATGCATGGTATAAGAGTTCCGTCCTGCTGATGAAGCCACTACGATGAATGCTGAATATACCAAAGACTATTTATGAATATCAATTACTTTGTTAATATTTAATTAACTCTTCGCTTAGATACTGCACTTTGTTTGTTACCAGCTTGAAACTTGAGTGGCACGACACGATGGGTTCAGATGATGTGGGGCATATTTCTACACCAGGGTGAGTAAGACGATTGTTTCGTTCTGTTCTGTTCTGTTCTGTTTCGTTTGCTTTGTTCTATCTTATTCAGGCTGTTTTTTCAGAGGCCAGTGCCTTTTTCTGTTTCAGCCATGAACAACAGCATATCCCCAACCTCTTTGTCACATCGTCATATGACCACTCTGCATAAGGGAGGCCAGGTCTTTGTCCTAAGAGATGAAAATGGCCAGCCCAAGGCCTTCTAATTCTGCACAAAGTTTACCCAAATCTTTTTGTCACTTAGGATAAGGGGTCCTAAGTTTTGGTCTGCATCAGTCAAAGCTGGCTGCATCTCTTACAAGCAGGGGGGGCCCCCAGGGCATTGACGCTAAATTGCCAGTGCCGTCGTCTGCCCCGCCTCCACTGCGTCCTAGGCCTGTGGGCTGGGCTGAGCCTCCTGTCCAACGCGGCAGCTGCAGACACTGCCCTTCGCTCCAGTTTTTTTTTCTTTCTCTTTTTTTCTCTCCCCAGACCTCAACCTTTTCTACGTTGCACAAGGGTCAAATTACCTACAAAGCCTCGGTATAATACCACTGCCGCTAGTTCAATCACGAGCAGTTCTATTGTGTATGGATATTTCCTATTCAAACTTCTGTCGTTGACCCCGCTTGCATTGCATGTCCTATTGTCCGTCAGTCACTTACACTGCCACTGCCACTTGCTGCATCCGTTCTACTTCCGTTCTTCATCCTTCTCAGCACTTTCATCTTTTTTACAAACTACTACATCTCAATCCTCATCCATTGCGAATTCGTCTTCTACATTATCCTCTAACATCCCTGCCTCTACAGCCGTTTGCACGGTCTTCTCAACTTTCGGAGTCGCCGATCACGACGACCAGGCAGCTCAAGCTCGGCTGACACCTCCTCGGACTCAACCTTAACCGCCAATTCCGACTACGAGATCACACCCGCAGACTCGACATTGAATTCTCCTGAAGTTTCACCTCGTTCTTCCACCTCATCCACATCTACTTCATCCTCTACGACAAAGCAACACAGGATGCCGTTTCGTCAGAGGATGGCCCGCCACTTTGGCGATTCGGTATGTGCAACCCCGCATTCTCCGTGCATGCCTGTCTAGGTATCGATCGATATGCGCCCATCGTTGAGATGCGCTTTTGATTGAGTTTAGCATGGAATGCGACTTGTCCTAGTGGCGTTGATGCTGACGCCTTTGAATCAATAGCTCGCTCCCGAGAAGCCCTATCTTAGCTACTACGATGTTCTCTTGACAGCTGAGGATATCAAGGCGCTCAAGCATGACTGGTTAACAGATAATAACATTGCTTTCTGGGAAGAGTACCTGGAACGCGAAACACTTCCCAAGTATCCTCAAGCTCGCATCGTGCTGCTTCGTCCTAGCATGACATTCCTTCTTATGAAGGAACCCGACCTCCGATCAGTCCAATCCGCCCTTCCCGATTTCTCAAAGGTCACCCATATCTTCCTACCCATCAACGACAATCGTAATGTGAGCGTCGCTGAGGGTGGTAGCCATTGGTCGCTGCTCCTTGTCTCGGCCCTCGATGGTGTCGCCTTTCACTACGACTCTCTTGGTGGTGCAAACTACTCCGAGGCCAATGTCGCTACCCGCAAGCTTGCTACTATCCTCGGACGACCTCTTCGATTCATCAACCTCGAGGATTGCCCTCAACAGGAGAACGGCAGCGACTGTGGTGTCTTTGTCTGCTTGTTGATGCGCCACCTCCTCGTCAAGCGACTTCTGTGCGCTAATGCCCGCGAGAAGGTGTCGATGAGCATGGGTGGCAAGATGGTCGACAGCTATGGTGGCCGCAAAGAGATGATGCGAATTATCGAAAATCTCCGCAAGGAGGGCGAGCGAAGGCGATCGTAAGTGCCCCCAATTTCTTTTTGCATGACGTATCTAATAATCAAGATAGGAGGAGTGCCAGCCCATTTTCGAACAAGACGCCGCCGCGGATCGAATAGAGAACGGACTGCTACGGCTCTTGCGAAGAATTCGAGGAACTCTTAAAGCAAATCAAGGAAGCTCAGGCGGCAAAGGCGCGCAACGCCCGACAGCCCTCTCGTTCACCACCCCGCTCACCACCCCGTTCACCTCCTCGTTCCCAAGAGGCAAAGAAACCCCCCGTCAACCAGAACGGCAAGGGTTCAATCGCTAAGGGTCCCGTCACTAAACCCAAGGGTTCTTCTCCGACAAGACTTGTTGATCAACCCCCTTGGAAAGGAATGAGACACCGTGTGCGCACAAACTCGAACCCAATCCTATCTTCCAAAGATTCACCACCTCTTGGTCCACGAGCATGCAAGTCCGACCGAGTCACCAAAGAGCCCAGGATCCAAACGAGTCCTCACACCCCCGTCAAAGTCCGGGGTAAGCGGTCTTCAGCACCACAACAGCTCTTCCACCTCGAAGTGTGATCGAGACACAATGATACACTTGTTTCACCACTGTAATGAAATGAACTTTACGAAGGATGCGTCACGGTCTATCAATCTTGTTTTTTTTTTTTATCTCGCTTTGTCTTGTTTTTTGCCTTTTACCCTGTGTCTTTTTATCTTGGCGTTGGTGGTAGCGTGGAGCAGTATATCATGTAACAGAAAGATGCCCATGCACGCGTTTGGTGTTTTAATGATACTCCCAGATATCAAAGTAATGCGAGTTAGCGATGAAGGCGTTGGTAGGATATGGAAAAAGACATGCGTGCATTAGCATAGCCTATGAAGAATAACTGTACGTTTTGAACAAACTATTGTATTAATGATCGTGATGTCATGTGATTGAAGTATATGATTCCAACTCCATACGCCTGAACAGACTTTTGTGAAGATAACATCTGCCATCTTTTGAAACGTCACATATGGACTTGATCTCCATCTTTGGTATCTTTGATCCTTTCAACGTCAGCCTGCTTAGTTCTTCTCAGCAAAAGCAGGATTCTGCTCCATCGTCGAAGAGATATACCCCCTCAACGCCGCCCATCGATTCGCAGTCGGCGCCGGCGCAGTCCTCTCCTCCGTCGACTCCATCTCAACCTTCTGCGCGGCCGCACCATCCTGCTGTGTCAACCTCGCCATACTAACCCCAAACCTCTCCATCTCCCCCTTAACAACCCTCTCCTTCCTCTTCAACGCGCCCCTCTTACTCTTCAAACTCTTATGCCTAACCTTTCCCTGCTCAACCTCAACGCCCTCTTCCAGCTCCGGCAGCGCATCAGCCAAACTCTCTAAATTCGCTGCTAATTTCTTCGATGGCCTTCGACGCTTGGTAGATTTTGAGATACGTGCTGATTGGATCCGCGAGACGAAGGATGAGTGCTTGATGAGGCGCTTGTCGCGCTTGCTGGAGAGGAAGGAGTCGGTTACGGCGGCGTCGTCGCGGAAGACTTTTTGGGGTGCTTGGGGGTGGATTTGGCCTGTTATGCGCTGGTGGCGGAGGGTGCGCGCGGAGGGCTTTTTGAGACCTGGGGGTTGAGGAGCCTGAGGTTGTTAGTGAGATGTTATTTGGGGATAGTTTAAGGGTAAGGGGTGTACCATTTTGTGTTGTGGTTGGGGTGTGGTGTTGGAGATAAAGGATTTGGTGTTGAGAATAAGGTGTAGGCGAAGATACTGGAGAAACATTTTCGGTGAGTGCTCACCGAGGTGGTGGGGCACACCGAGATACAACGTGGAGGGGCAGTCAACGGCTTGATGACCAGTTTAACACACGATGAGAATTTGGGCAAAACAGAGATTAATATCATGGCTAAAAACAGGATCAAGAGACCGGTACTTGGTATTCATATCAGCTCACGGTCTGCAATGTTTTATGAATAGAAAATGCCAGAACTGCTCATACTATCAATCCATAGTGGGGTTCAATACAATATCCGTTCTAAGCTGATCCTCTCGTGACTTTTAACTTTAACTTTTCTCACATCTCAAACTGACTCTCATTAAAACTCATGAAATAACAATGGAAGAAATCGATAATCTTCGAAGAGAAATCGCCAAGCGAGAGGTCGAACTCACAGATCTTCGCTCCCAACTCGCCGCCGCAGAATCACAAGCACGTGAATCTAAAGAAGCGTGGAAATGGCCACTGGATAACCACGAGTATGAGAGGTACAGTAGACAGATGATTGTTCCAAACTTTGGACTACAGGGTAGGCTCTCTTTAGAGATTGAAGAGTACGGTATTAATTGATGAACAGGACAACTACGCTTGAGGAAAGCCAAGGTTCTGCTCGTTGGGGCTGGCGGCCTGGGATGTCCTGCTGCTGCGTACCTCGCCGGTTCAGGGATTGGGACGATCGGCCTTGTTGATGGCGATGAAGTTGAAGTTTCGAACTTACATCGTCAAGTTGCGCATTCGACGGGTCGTGTTGGTATGAGTAAGGTTCAGAGTGCGATTACATATCTCAAAGAGTGAGACCCCTTCCACCCTCACGTACCTTACTAACTGATGAAGACTTAACCCGACGATAACTTACAATGCGCACAACACGCATCTTACACCGCAGAACGCTGAGGATATTGTATCGGGGTATGATTTGGTCCTTGATTGTACTGATCATCCTACGTCTCGCTATCTCATCTCAGATATCTGCGTTCTTCTCTCAAAGCCTCTTGTTTCAGCATCTGCATTTCAAACATCAGGTCAACTGATCGTTCTGAACAACCCTCCTGGAAAAGGCCCCTGTTATCGCTGTGTGTTCCCTACCCCTCCGCCGCCAGATAGCGTGGTTGGATGCGGTGAGGGCGGCATTATTGGACCAATTGTCGGTACGATGGGTGTCTTACAGGCGCTGGAGGCAATCAAGTTGATCTCAAGAGGTGATCTCGAGATCCATGGAGATGCCAAGACACCAATGTTGTTGCTTTTTAGTGGCATGGCTGATACCCCTTTCCGATCTGTGAGGATGAGGGGGAGAAGAAAGACATGTCTGGCTTGTGGTGATGAGAATAGGTTGACGTTGGAAGAGCTAAAGAACTCAATGGACTATGTTCAGTTCTGCGGTGTCAAGCAACCTGTTCAATTGCTTAAGCCGGATGAGCGAGTCACAGCAAAGGAGTATGAGGAGCTCTCCAATGGAGAGAATAAGGATATGTTGCTGGTGGATGTTCGGGAGAAGGAACACTTTGATCTCTGCAATATCTCTGGATCGGTCAATATTCCTATTAGCCGCTTCATGAGCGCTCGGGGTGAAGCTACACCCGAGGGTTGGCCAAGCGATCTGCCCCATTCAACGCCCATATACGTCGTCTGCCGAGTGGGTAATGATTCGCAGATTGCCGCTCAGAAACTCAAGGATCTGGGATTAGGGAACAACGGAGAGCGATTTATCGGCGATATTCTAGGTGGATTCAAGTCATGGAAGGATACTGTTGATCCATCTGTACCTTTTATATAGACTAACACAAGAGACGCCGTCTAAAAGAGGAAATGGGGATAGTCGTATTGGATGAGAGATTTTATGATACATACATACAACATACAATGCCCGTGTTAACCCGAGCACACCAAGGACAGGCCATTCCTGCCCATCAGCTGCGCCATTACAAACATTTTGCTGAAGTCAACAGAGACTTATGTGAGATATTTTTTCTTTCTTTTTTTACACAAAGTTGGCAGTCTTCTTTTTGTTGAATGCCTTTTGATCTTTTAGCCATTGGCGATATCCAGAAACACTAGAGATCTTTTCGCCGTAGAAATCGGGAACTGTGTAGTGTTAGTACAGATAACTTGATCGGCACTTGAAGTTAGCGAGATGAAAACTTACCAGGGTTGCTGGCGCTCGAGTTGGTGGGGTCAACCCGATGCTTCTTGATGCGCTCAAAGAACTGAGCCTCCTTCTGCGTCATCTGCTTCTTCCACTGACGATTCAAGAGGTAAAAGACCTGGTTTCCAACACTAGGACCGCTCAACCATCCAAGACCCGAAAAGGCGAGCGTCATAAGTCCTAGCGTCATAAACGGATCGAGAGGGATTTGCGAGATGATCGGTTCCGCCATACCCGTCGAGAGAAAAACGGCACCCGCACCACCGGCGAACAATCCATTGGTGATGGAGAACAAGAGCTGGTATCGTCGGCGCGAAACTCGCAGCTTGAAGAAGCTGTTCCAGTCGAGCGGGGGAAGTTCGGTAGACTGCGGCTTATCGGAGTAGGTGCGGGAGAAGGTCTTTGCGACGGGTGTGAAGCATTGGGGTCGGAATGGCGATGCTGAGAGACATGATGCTGGACGGAGAGTTGAGAATGAAGCTTTTTGTGATGAGCGCACGAGACCTGTTAACGGCATGCGCAAGACGGAGGTCTTGAGCGAAGAAGCCATGATGAATTGATGTTGTGGCCAATTGAGCTTTGAGAAGAAAAGTCAATTAGAGGATTGAGTGGAGATTGAAGATGTCGTTGTGCCGTCGGTTATTTGGCGTGACGTGGGGATGCTGAAGCTCGGTAGAGCTGTGTTCGTGATCTCATGGTGGATGGAAAAGTTTGGCGCTTGTTTAGGCGCGGATAAGCGCTGCCGCGATTAAGGCTCAATTAGGAGGGGATAGCCCAGGCACCCCCTAATTAGGGCTATATAGCCTTTTTTAAGTTAAAGTAATAATCAGTATTTTTATTTCTTCTAATATTTACTTATAAGATTGAGTAAATTAATTATTAAATTAATAAGTTTAAGTAGAAATATTTATTAAATTAATGTAATTCCTATTTCCTTTCCTTTGAATTAATTAGTATAAATTATGCTATTGACCTTTTCACGTCTCGTTAGGCTCTTGTTGGTCTTTGACTTTGGCTTAGTCATCGGGCAGCAGCTCTTTCTTGGACTTGATGCCAGCCTCTTACGATACAAGCCGCGTTTTGAGACAGCTCGACAAAATAATTTTATGTTTATTAACACGCCGACGATACATATCCATAATTCCTTCAGCTCGTCAGCTGTAAATTTCTCCTTATTCATGAATTTCACTCCTCCAATCGCATTGGCGACTCTTCCGTCATAATCCAGCTTGAACTGGCGTCGCGGGTCGCGGGACTCGCGTTGGCGCACGAGCGATGGAGTCCTTCCAGCAACAGCTCGAGCCAGACGAGTCGGAAAAACGAAAACCGAAGGAACACAAAAGATCTCGGATCGAAGTACGTCTTCGGTCCAAGCCAAGAGATTATGTCCCTGGAAGCGGTCCTCCACTACAACCTATTAGCTTGCTACCACCCCAAGACTCGACCGCGTACATTTTGGAGCGAATTATCCTGCCCTCACCGGGTGTTGCTGCAGATGGACTCCCTCTACCGAGACGGATGACATATATAGTGTCATGGACGGATTTACCAGCTGCACGGATGTTGGTTCCTGCAATGGATATTCTGGAATACGTGTCGCCGAGGGAACTGGAAGAATGGGAATTCAGGAATACAGAAGAACAGCTTGAGGAAGAGACGACTGAGAAAAAGAAGACAGAAGCTGGACAGGTGACACAGTCAAAGAGGCGTGGTAGACCACCCAAGCACAGTACGATAGAAACGGCTGTTGTTGCGGTGGTAGAAGATGAAGAGGCTGTTCCGATGAAGGGTGCTATGACGATCAAGACCCCTACGAAGAACAGATTGAAGGACTTTGAGGGGTTGTCAGATGAAGAGGGACCCGGGAGACAGTCGCAGTGGGAGATGACTGGTGATTCGATTGAGACGGATGATCAGGGGTTGGATGAGCATGGTGAGATTGCTGAGGACTCTAAGAGTGCTTTCAATGGGACAAAGATGGGTGTACTGCATGATGCAAGCGTCGAGTCTCGTGTCCCGAAAAAAAGTCATACCAAAGGCAAACATTTCGAGTCATTCCCATCAACAGGAACCTCGAGTCGACAAAGCACGCCCCAGATCACGAGCAATCGCTCAAAATATGAAGGCAAGAAGAAGCTTGGCCATACTTCAAAGAAGACTTCAGCTTTGAATGGCTTGTTAAGTGGTGTTCAAGCCACAGGCTCAGTCTCAGACTGGACTCTCCAAGAGTCACTCACATACTCTAATTCAGGAGTTGAGACACCTGATGCGGAGTCAGAAACCCAAACAGCACGACTCATCGAAGAAGCAGTCTCAGTTCAAAAGAAACCACCAAAGTCAAAGTCAAAGCCAAAGTCCAAAGCTAGCATCCCCAAGTCTCCAGAGCCAACTCCTCAGAAAGACCCCGTGGAAGATCCAGAAGAGGCAGAGGAACCAGGCTGGGAGGTCAAACGCCTCGAAGACATGGAACTCTACGATGTCGAAGGCAAAGGTCTAGTACGCTACTTCTTGGTCCGCTGGGAAGGTGACTGGCCACCTGACCAAAACCCCTCCTGGGAACCAGAATTCAACCTCCCTAAAGATCTCATCAGAGCGTACCTCCGCAGCGGCAAGCGAAAACGCTCAGACAAACCGTCTACAAAGCAAGCTTCTAAACCACCCTCCGCTGCACCATCCTACGCACCGAAGAAAAAGTCTATGAAACAGACTACTTTATCATGGGGCATTCCTGCGAAGCAGTTCAAGAGCGTCAGTGAGGCCTTCGCAGGCGGTGAAGAAGATGAACTCGGAATGCCCGTCGCTGAAGATCCGCGTAAGGAGGAGGATGATGACGATGAGCTTTTCATCGTGGAGGAACCGCCTGCGAAGAAGAATCGGGCAAAGAACTGGGGTGCGAATGGATGGGGAGCAGATGATTACAGATGAAAAAGAAGCAGTCAAGGTTGGCTATGGAGTTGGAGATGGCTTTCGTGAAGATTGCATGGGTGCATTTTATCATTACAGGCGAAGGCGTAATTACTTTCTCAGAAGAGACGTTCACGGCGCACATAGCATTAGAGATACCCCATTTGTGTCAAATGACTTTTTACATTGCGTTACCAAAAAGTACCTTAAACTACCGATGATTGATTGATTGATTCCCCTGGGCTCCAAAAAAAATGTGATACAAATGCGGATAAAGCAAAGCCCTTAAATGACCCATGTGTTGCATATAACCATTCACCTTCGTACAGACAACATTCCGGAAATAGTCGCAAGCCTTGCTTGCCTTTGGTGTTGTTGATTTGTGTTCAGCTGGATGATGCTGAACCGTTGTTGATATGTTCAGCGCTAACATTGCTGAACTGCCGTTGATGTGTTCAATGTGAACACTGCTGATCTATCGTTGATCAGCTGTCCTGCGTAGTTGTCGCGGACGACGGTAGTCTCAGTGGATATCTACTCGGAGGTAGGGGTAACCTTGCGGCTGTTTGGGTTGAGATAGTTGAGGATTTGGGTTGGAACGGCGGTGAGGCGCTCTGGGTTCCATGAGGAGGCGAAACCAAACTTCTTGTTCAGGTTACGGCGAATACCGGCGATGCGTCCATACTCGGCGTACTTGCGGATATCTGGCAGATTGTTTACCTCGCAGTAGTGAATCCAAAAGGGGGCCCATTTGAGCTTGAGGACCTTGCCCTGCTTGAGCTCCACGAGCTCAAGGCCATCGACCTTCGTATAGACCTCTCCGGTGACCTCACGAGCAAAGATCTGACCGCCAACGATGACATACTTCATGTTGTCATCAATGAAGGTAAGCGTGATGTCAGCAATGGCGATTTCTCTGAGGTTGGTGTCGGTCTTTTCATCCCGGACGGTGATATGGGGGACAATGTTGGCGACTTCTGAGACGTATGATACAACCCGGGACACTTCAACGGTCAAAGAAGACGTGCGGCTTGTAACCGCTCGTCGAGGGATCGGGGCGCCATACGCGAAGTTCTGAGTGGGGGTGAAGACGTTGTAGGGCTGCATGTTCCAAGCATCTTCCAGATGCTTGAGCGACACATACTCAATAGTGTTCGAAACAGAGCTAGTAAGCTCGTCGACGTCTCGGTCGGAGGGGGTAGGGCCAAAACCCATCTGAGCGATAGGCCCATTGTACGGCAGGAAGTTGCGCTGCAGAATCATGCCGCAGAGGCGGCCGGCTTCAAAAGTACTAGCCAGCTCGACAGACAGCTTGCCGTTTATCTGGTTCTCGTTGGGAACAAACGAAGCACGGATGATATACTTAGTTCCGAAACGACAGAAGAGGTACCAAATAGCAGAGGTCGGGAAGTTGTCAAGAGTGATACAGCGACCGGAATGTTCGCTGTAATGCCCGACACCATAGGTGTGAGGGTGTCCGTGACGCGATTCATAGGATGATTTGGTGTTGATCAACTCAACTTGAATGTCGAAGAAGCGTCCATTTACATCCACAAACTCAAGACCGTTGGCCTTGACATTGGCGACATACTTCTTCGCCGAGGTGGAGTCTCGGAACTCGACACAGCCAAGTTTGAAGGCACTTCCAGTCTTGATCAAGTTCCCCTGGACGGAGACTCGGACGAGGCCTCCAAGACCACTGACAGCGTTGGCAATTTGGGTCAGGGTAGTGTTTTGTGGGATACCCTCCATGAGCACACGGCGAGACTCAACGTTGGCATCGGGGTTAAAAACAGAGTCAACGTTGATTCTGTACTTCTCATCATCAGAAGTATTGGCGACAGTCAGGTTCTGGCCATGGCTGGCGCGGTCCTGAGCCGCCGATGCAGTGTCTTGGTTGGTTGTGGATGCATCATTGTTGCCGCTATCGGGAACAGAGTTGGCATCTGAGTGAGCGAAGTGCGATTCCAGTTCTTCTGAATCATCAACAACGGAGTTGGGGGGATCCTATTCCCCTTGATCATCGCTATCGGACTCCCAACTTCCTTCGACGATGCTCGAATCGTCAGAGTCGGATGAGTCATCATCATCCTCCTAAGTTCAGATGTTAATCATCTGATTCAAGCAGGGACAAGAAATACTTACATCGCTTCCGGATGAGGAGTCTCCCAGATTCTCGTACATCTGGCGTAGCGCCGCATTACCTTCCTCGAGGTCCTTAGCGACTCGCTCCAACTCATCGATCTTTGCAAGAACCTGCTCAGGCGAGAGGTTGTCATCGATAGAGTTGATGAGGTCCTCCTAGAAAGTGGAAGGTTAATATTATGGGACGACAAGCTTGGCTTTGGCTAGTGATGACTTACTCGAAGCTCGTCGTAACGAACTCGGTTCGCGAGGTTCACCTCCTTCTGACGGATGGTGTCTGCTCGGGCCTGCTCTCGGGCCTCACGATAGTTCATGATCTCTTCGGAAGAGATGTCAGGGTAGTTGGCTACGCTAGTCATGTAGTCGATTTGGGTTTCGACACTGGCAAGTTTCGCGTTCAGAAGATCCTCTCGCTCTTGGAAAGCCAGTGTAACTTCATCGCTGTCAGCGGTAAGAGAAAGATCCATGTCGGATGGGTGAGAATCTAGGTCGTCAAATGCGGAACCAACTCTGTTGAAATCGGAGGAAGGGGAGGCTAGCCCATCCGAGCGGGAGGAAAGCATGTCCCAACTGCCATCCTCGGAGGTAGGACCTTTATGGTCATCTTGAGGAAGAGTAGACATCGTGAAAGCGATGAGTTGTAGTGGTTAGGGAAAGGAGTGGAGGTACAAGGTTGGAGAAGGGTCAAACAGATAGTAGAGGGGATGGGTAAGGGAAATATATCTCGGCAAAGCAGAGATCAGGATGCAGGGTTCGGAGAGTGAAATACTTAAGCTTTGAGTTGTTTCAACACGATGCAAGTGAAAGGATTTGAAAGGAAGTTTTGGTTATTCGGAGGAGAGATGAGTGAGGGGGTGGGGAGGAGGAGAAAAGAGGAGGGCGAGATATACGCGAGCGTGGCAGCAGATGCAGCCTACGACGCGTCAAGCACTAGCCTATAGGAGAGCAGAACAACAAACAGCAGAGGGCTCCGGTGACCAGGTGACGACCGGTTACGCTGCCAGTGATACTCGGGAGTAGGGCACTGAGCATTTACTCCGGGGACAGCAATTGCAGAGTTCTTGTGGGCAAGGGGTAGGGCATTGCTGGATATCAACTCCTTGGGGCACTGATGTGGAATTAGTCCTAGCCGCGGAAGGGGTCAGGAGATGTTCGAGGAGCGGCAGCGCAGTGGGACGAAAGCATTAGAAGCTATCGATACTTGCATCACCTCGATGCAGAACAATCATCCTGTTCACGGGTCCACAAGAAAGCATCAAGGCCAATGTTCATGTTCATATTCATATGTTGTTCATTAGCACTATAGTGTCCTGACACTCGACCTAAATTTTGAAAGTAGATAATATAATCGTAATCCCAATATTGTCGGTGGTAGATATTATTGAAAAGATGGTCCATGCCAACTTTCACTTTCTGTTCTCCAGTCTAAGTGGTGTTGTTGCTTGGTGTTGTGGGTGGCCTGCATCCCATATTGTCCCGCCCCTCCACTGATGAAACTATTCGGGCCCCCACTAGCCCCCCAGAAGTTATCACGGTATCGCCATCTTGTTGTTTTTGTTCATCCATAATATATCTCGTCCAGTACATCAGAATTTCATCCACCAGCACGCAGTCATGGAACTCGAAGCTCGAGGGATGAATATGGCCCCGATGATCTGGAGTATTAGCTCCCTCACTAAGGGAGCAGTGCATCTTGAAGCGTGCTAACCTTGTATCGTTGCGCAGTATCACCACCATGGACTCATGGTGTTTTCCACACTTCGACCCCAAACTCATAAAGCAAGCAGACGATGTGCATCGGCCATCTGCAAGACTCGTTCCCATCTTCCTCGATCATAACGGCGACGGCGGCGGCTTTCCCACGGGCGTACGAGACATCGGTCAAGGATGAGGAGGCATTGTATCAACGAGGCAGCGACCAGGGAACGGCTTATGGGCAAGAGAAGGGTAAGAAGTACGACTGCCGCATGGCCTTGATGCCCAGGGGATCATACTGATGAACCAGCAGGCCTTCGCTCGAAGACACGACGCCAGACGTCCATGATACAACATACAGGAACACACACGCACACAGGGTCATATCCTCCAAGACTCGCTACGCCTCTACCCCTTATTCTTGCACTTGCGGTCGCTTTCACACCCATCAGACCACTTGTCTTGACTGCGATCGGATCTACGAAGCATCGACGCTTGATCCATAGAAGAGCTCCCCTTACAACGGTACACACAAGCGGCGACTGACCAGACTTGATCATGTTACAGGAGAAGACGAACGAGTAGCCCCAGAAGCGCCGGCTTATCGAGGAGATACAACGTACGAAGAGACCACGAACGATTCATCGAGACCCGAGACGCATTGAGATACAATACAAGGCACATAGACACAGGGAAAGGATTGGGAACAAGAGCTTGGTGCCGCAGTTGACAAAGAACACACTGAACAGTTGGAAAGTTGATCATCAAAGAAAGGAGTCTTGGGTATGAAGCTGATGAGCAAGGAGCAACAATTGGTCTCGCCACTCGACGATACGACCGCGAAACGAACACTCAAGCATTGGAGACATATAGAAGAAGAGAAAGGAGTAAACGGTTAAAGACATGAAGTTGCAATGGTAGAAACAAGGTTGAAACGGTCTCACGTGAAAAGACATGTCGTTCTTTCTCTATCCGCATAAGCTCCACACTAAGGCAGAACCTCTCCCGGGTGAGTCAAGCGGCCAGTTTTAGTACCCTTGCCCCCGCAAATAACCCCTGTTGAGCTCCAGGACATGGGTTGTAGACGTCGGCAAGGGGAGGCAAGAAAACTTAGGACTTCTATCCTAAATGACAAAAAGACTTGGGTCAATTCAGTATAGATTTAGTGGATCTTAGACTAGTTCTTTTTGACTCCTTGTCTTAGGGTCAGATGTTTTCTTGCTCCCTGAGGGTCAGTTACAGGGGTATTCAGAGACAACGACATGTTGAACCAACACCGATAATGGGAAGAAGAACCGTAGAACTAATAACTATCATAATTTCTGACCAGTCACATCTGTAAATTCTTCTCTATCGAATTATGATCAGTTCATATCATTCGGCAATTCCCAAATTGTGCTCAGTTCGATGTGGATAAACTTCCTTGTTTAGCTTCAGCCTCCAGGCATCCAAAGCACCAAGCTTCAGCCGCAATGCAACCAGTACAGCCATGGCGAGCCTCCATTTTATAGGACGAGACACTGTAAACAAAAGATTTCCTTCTACTACCTACAGAGGGAGCATCTGACTCACTGACCGATTTCTGCCATTCAGTTCAGTCCTGACCATGCATCTAAAACACACACAAAATTTACTTTCCAACATCTTAAATATATAAGATACCGCACACCCTCTTATTCCCACATTCTTTTCTTTTTCCCAACAGGCTTCCGCTTGTCGTAATACATCATTATGGCTTCTTCAGCGGAATCGGACCTGCCTTGGTTTCTCAAGTCATCCTACCCCGTTCTCTTCCCCTTCGACGATGCCGTGAGACTGCCACAGGCTGAGTTTGAGGAATGTATTCGTCGCAAGATCGCCAGTCGCCACAATAGCCCCTTCGAACTTAAGGAGCGTGAGGCGCATTTTGCTGCCATGGCTGACGCTGATGAATCCGAGACCTTCACTCTCGTCTCCAACTCGACCTCTGCCGAAATCCGTCAGGCCATGAAGGCCGCCAAACTTTCGAACCATGCTTCCCAAGACTCTGACACTGTCCTGGAGTCTCCTGCTGCCCAGAAGTCGGAGGCGGAAGAAGCCAAGCCTGCTCAGTCCAATCCTTTCATGGAAGGCCTCATCAACTACGGGAGCCAGGCGCCATTTCAGAACTTCGAAAACATGATGGTCACAGAAAACGGCGATCTCGCTTATCGTTCTAGCCAAGACGCCCTTGTTGATCTTTTCCAGGAACTCGAGGAAGTCGTCTCTGGTCCTCGCCTGAAGGAGCTCCTCACTTTTGCCTGGCAAGAGAACCCCCTTGCCACTCTCAGAATCATCTTCAACGCTCGCTCTATTCATCTGGGCAAGAGTTCACGAACAACCTTCTACCGCTGTGCTGGCTGGCTGGCGCAGAACCATCCCTTGACCCTTATCGCCAACCTCTGCTGGCTGACCCGCCCAGTCATCAACAAGAAGGCCGAGAAGAAGGAAGACGATGACATCGTTCTTGTTGAAGAAGAGAACGACGATGACTCGGCCAAGTTCGATGTCAAGAATGGTGTCGCTCACGGATACTGGAAGGATCTTCTGAACATCCTTGCCATTGCGGCCAACGACAAGCTCACTGTCATTGACGACCCTAAGGAGGTCTTGAACAGCGAGAACCCTGGCATCATCCGAGGCAAGAGCATCAACAAGCCTCGCCGCCGAGACGACCGCAGACTCGGGAGACTTCCTCGTGGAGCCCGAGGACGTGGCGGAGGTCGCGTTCGTGGCCGGGGCAGAGGACTTCACTCATCTGGACAGGACATGAGAGAGCAGAATCTCAAGGTCGATCCCAAGGAACTCAAGCGAGAGAAGAGAGACAACCGACACGAGACCGCACAGGTCCTCTTCAAGACGGATCTAGTGTATCGCGCCTTGCACCTGAGTGTCGCTCGATTGTTCGCGGAGCAGTTACAGAAGGATATACAAGCCCTTCGAGGAGATGGCAAGGCCAAGCGCTCTATCTCGCTGTGCAGCAAGTGGGCTCCCTCACACGATCACTTCCATGACAGGCACACATTCATCGTCAGCACCATCGCCGAGATCATGTACCCGCGGGCGTCCATCTACCACGAGTTGCTGAGACCCAGAGACGACCATGAGACTTATCTCCGATTCGCCCGTGAGCAATACCGCAGAGATACATCTGCCCTCCGAAAGCACCTCGAGATCGTCGAACGAGACATCACCGACAAGAAGTACGAAAACATCAAGTACGAACGAGTTCCCTCCCTTGCTATGAATCAGTACTCCAAGTTGTTCATTGAGAATGATGTCGAGCGCTTCGGCAAATACCTTGACCAGGTTGCCGAAGGAAAGGCGAACATCTCTGGAGCTACTCTTCTCCCCTCGACATTGATTCAAAAGGTTCGAACTGGTGGTTCTTCTGGTCGATCGGCATCCAACAAGCTCCTTGACCAGAAGGTCACCGAGATCGAGGCCAAGGTCCTTGACGGACAGTGGAACACGCTCGTGAAGCGTATTAAAGACTCCGGCACAATGGACTCCTGCATTGCGGTCTGTGATGTATCCGGCAGCATGAACGGTCCTGTCTTCAAAGATCAAACCACACCCCTCGATTCCGCCATTGGTCTGTCTCTCCTCCTCGCAGAGGTCGCCAAGCCACCTTTCGCCGGCACCTTCATCACCTTCAGCGAGAAGCCCAGAGTTGAGGAAGTCGATTTGAGCAAGACTTTGAGGGAGAAGTACTGGGCCATGCACAGATCGGAGTGGGGTATGAGCACCAACTTCGTCTCTGTATTCGAAGACCTGATTCTTCCCATGGCTCTACAGAACAAGCTGAAGCAGGAGGACATGATCAAGCGCGTGTTTGTCTTCAGCGACATGCAATTCAACGAAGCAAGCGCCTCCAACTCTCGCCACTACCAAGGCTGGGCTTCCGAAAAACCGTCAAGCTGGTCCACATCCTTCGAACGCATCAAGGCCAAGTTCGAACAGGCGGGTTACGAACTCCCCGAGCTTGTCTTCTGGAACCTCGCAGGTGGCCGAGCAGGCTACACCCGAAGTGCTGGCGATCCTACCGCACCTAAGCCTGTCAAGTCTGATGAGGATGGAACGTGCCTCGTGAGTGGATACTCACAGGGATTGCTGAAGGTGTTCTTGGAGGGAGGTGGTTTCGAGGAAGAGGATGAAGAGGTTGTTGTTGAGAAGGACGAGGAGGGTAATGTCACCCAGAAGACGAAGAAGGTGAAGATGACGCCTATTAAGATTGTGCAGAAGGCGATCAGCCACAAGGCGTATGAGATGTTGAAGGTTGTCGATTAAGGGGGAGTAACGAGATACGAAAAGCGATACCCAGGTTGAAGAAGCGCAGAATTGTTGTACCATAGCATTCATCAGTCGAACCGCGACTGCACCCAGATTGAAGCGCAGAATTATTGTATGATAGTATTCATCAGTCGAAACCGCGACTGCAGCTAGAGTAGTAAAGTGATTTTGAAGTTGAATGCATCCTTTCTTTGGCGTAGGTGATGAGTGAGGCGCCATATGTCAGTGCGTTATGATGATCTTCAAGTTGCAATTACTCCAAGTTCATAGTTCATGAGCAAAGCCAAGTAATATTCTCTCTAAGCCTTTAATTGCCTTATTTTTGCAGTATATCGTTTCGAACTTGAATGGTGACATGTGTCCACGACTTGTGTTAACTGAAGACATGATCTCGACTTGTGAGATCAGTAGCATAGCATCTGGCCTACCCTATGCTCCGACAAATCGGAAGTGATTCCACACCTACGGAGTAGTTCGGCAATCGCCTGGATCACTTGGACTTTTTATTGCTCGCAGATATTGAAGTCAGTTCACGTGTTTGTTGTTTAGTGTGGAATGCCGTTCTGACGGCCTTCGCAGAGCCTGATGAACAACGCATACCCATCGACTGATGACGACCTCTTGTCAACAAGAATACACAAGTCCAAACCCAACCACACCAGATGAGTCTGCTGGAAATAGCTATCGGAGATTACCCTATTCAGCTTCCCGAGATTTAGTTGATAGTAGCGCGGGAGATAACCGCGAATAAAGGCGCAGTGCATTAGTCTCATGCTACAAGATATTGAAAGATAGGATAACCGATATCAACATAAATGGTAACAAGGTATAAGCATATACACCTTCCGATTCGTAGAGAAACGATACATAGGCGCCTATGCTCATGGATTGGCCTCGCGAAACCGCGTGACCAAAACCTTGTGTGGTATCACTGATGCACATAGGGATTTCGCGAGAATGTGGTGCAAGATATAGTGGGACTCGGAACCGGTGATCAATGAATGGCAAGTCAGATTGCCTGACGGTGTAGGAGTTGGAAAGTGATAGGTTATCTCGTAAATGTGGTTCAAAGATAGAGTTGTGAGAGGTTGCAACGTTGAGTTGGGGATGGCTGATAACTCACATCACATCACCCCTTATTCACAAAGTTTTGCATACATTCTCCACTGATGTCTTGGCTATCTTCTGCATTTCAATCAAAGGGGTAATTGAACATTTCCATGATCCAACAAATCGAATGAGCCCCATTTGCGAGTTGGGTCATGCGTCTTTTCAGAGTTTCTTGGCATTTCACGTACCAACACTCACCGAGTTTACACTGACCTTGAGGAAAAGGTCAGCTCGGAAGACATACGCGAAGAGAACCCTCCGTCGTTCTACAAAAGTCGGATGTTTGAAGAAGATAATACGGGATATATCTCGACTACTCAAGCACGTTCAAGTCTGCATCGCCGAATTACGGCCGTTTATAGGGCCCGTTCACGGGATCAGCTGGTGTTTCACAAATCACATACAATGCTCCATATTCTCATCTCCTCATTCCGCTCCGCGTTCAGGTACGCAGAATGGCGGAGTCCCCAGATATCTCTCACTCTGGAGACTGCGTCTGTTGGGACCGTGGGGGATTAATGCGTCCATTCGCCCGGGGAAGACAAGAAAATAGGGGCTCTGAGATATTTTAACAGTATATGTTGGAAAAAGGGCCGTTTACTTCGGTGCAAGATGGATTGTCCGTTCTCCAGCGACAGGCATGAAGCTCCGAGTAAACGGCCGGCTCTCCACGGCTCCGGGTGGGTCTTGGAGGAGCCTTCCGAAATGACAACGCGGGTCCGGAGTAGATTTGGGGGTGAGGAGTGATTTATGCCTATTTTACAGTTGGGGATTGTGGTGAGTGTATGACTGTAGGCGAGGTCACGTTGGAACGAAGAAATTGTACACGAGCTGAAAGAGTTTTACGGTTAGTGCTGGGTTTGAAGATCAATTGATATGCCGGTACGTGGTGTCAGAGCCAAGGAATCGTTTCGATGACCCACTAGACTTGGCGATGAATGCAACTTGAGCCAAGGATAGACGATAGAGTGAGCGTGTGATGGATATGGAGAGGATGATGGCTGTGGTTGACGTTGGAGATCTCCGCAAGTTAAACCCCAGAATTCGCTACACAATCAAGGTTTTTCTTCTTCAACGTCTGTCGCGACAGTTGTGACAGAGGAAGTGAATGTGTAACGCGTAGTGATCGTCGGGTCGTGGTCAAGTCGCACCGAGAACGATGCCGTAAGCCCAGAGATTGGCCAATGCTAGCTCGACAAATTGGGGCTGGCACCCATGGCGGTTTAAGCTTACCTTGCGGTGCCTTGGACGTTACGTCATGGTCCAAACTCTACGACCAAAAACACCAAGAAATTAGAGAACACCCACTGTATTTCTCGCCAAGTTTTGGTGTACGTACCCCAGAGGAAACCCCATGCCAAGGGGTTATTCTCATCCACATTCTTCCAGAAATCCAATCATCTTGGATCCACTTGAACTGACTCGTTCCCCATGGACACCCCCAGGCCCGTTATTCAGTGCAGTGCTCGCCTTGTTGCGGTTCAGATTCTGAGTCCAGCAGAGACGAGGAAAAGATACTGGAGAAACCCCAGATGATGAAGGATTAAAGCAACGCCACTGGCATCGGCCCTTTATCATCAAACCTCGTTAGAGACTAATAACCACATGGACCTCTCCACGCTCTGTTGTCTCTTGGTAGAGCAATGCCCATCTCCAGTGAGTCTTGGGTGCTGTAAGTGTGAGGCGATCTGCGCTGGCACAACGGCTGTCTCTAGCAGAATGGGCTGGGCTTGAACTTGACTTGGCTTGACTTGACTTCCCCATGACGACTGCCAAGTTTAGTAAATGATGCCCGCCCCCGTCTTCTCCATCATCATCATCCATCGCGGAATGGAAAGACATGCCCTATCGGGACCCCCGATTATTACGATACCTTACCTGCCTTTCCCCTAAACATTACTCTTCTGGTATCTAGTCTTATGGGGCAGGGCCATTTCCGTTTTTCTTCTTTTTTATACCCCAGGTCTTGCTTGGTCCTGGTATCCGAAGAATAAAAGACCTCGTCTTCCCGCCCTTTTTTCTATACTTTTTGGAAACAGATCTTCATTCTAGTTTTGTTGTATTTCCTTTTCTCATTATATCTGCGAGACAGTCGTACACCATTGTAACCATGCTGGGTCAGAGGTGTGTCTCTTATCCTTTCTATCCTTCACTTTGATCACAGCTAACATTGTCAGGTCTATCAAGGTGAATGGCGCCGACTGCGGCATCGAATCCATCATCTTGGGCATTATCACGTCCATAGGTGGATTCCTTTTCGGTTACGATACTGGGCAGATTAGTTCTATGCTCCTGTTCCGAGACTTTATAGATCGCTTCGCAACGGGATATGACTATGAACTTGACGAAAAGGTTTTTGTGCCTATTATTCAGTCGACCATGGTCAGTCTCATGAGTATCGGAAGTTTGATCGGTGCTCTATCTGGTGCATAGTATGTCTCTCCAACACTCGCCCCAAACATCAACTGACGGCCGCAGCACTTCTGATTGGTGGGGACGTCGCAAGAGCATGACCTTCGGAGTCGCCTTGTTCATTATTGGTAATGTCATTCAGATCACGGCCATGAGATCGTGGATTCATATGATGATGGGTCGATTTGTTGCCGGTCTTGGTGTTGGTAACCTCTCCGTCGGTGTTCCCATGTTCCAGTCCGAATGCGCCCCTCGCGAAATCCGTGGCGCCGTTGTCGCCTCTTACCAACTCATGATCACAATCGGTATCCTGGTTTCCAACATTGTCTGTCTCGGTCTCAAGAAGATCGATCACGGCGACGCCTCCTGGAGAATCGTCATTGGCCTCGGCATTGCCTTTTCTCTCCCTCTCGGTATCGGTATCTTGTGTGTCCCAGAGTCTCCTCGATGGCTCGCTTCCAAGGGCGACTGGGAGGGTGCTCAGATCTCACTTGGACGTCTTCGCGGTATGAAAAATAGCCTTGATCACACTCTCGTCCAGGATGATCTGAGAGAAATGCGCGGCATCCTCGAGAAGGAAAAGCAAGTCGGTCAGGGCGGCTGGCTCGAGTGCTTCAACCCCAAGAGCGAAGTCCCCAAGCTCGTCTGGCGCACATTCCTTGGTTTCTTCATTCACTTCCTTCAGCAGTGGACCGGTGTCAACTACTTCTTTTACTATGGCGCCACTATCTTCAAGTCTGCTGGAATTGAGGACCCTATCCAGACACAGCTCATCTTGGGTGCTGTTAACGTTGCCACTACTTTCGCAGGTCTCTGGTTCGTCGAGAGATTTGGACGTCGTTGGCCTCTGATCATCGGCGCTCTTTGGCAAGCTGCCTGGTTGTGCGTGTTTGCCGGAATTGGTACGGCTATCGACCCTAAAAACAACAGTACAGTCGGTATAGTTCTTATCGTCTGCGCATGCATGTTTATTGCGTCTTTCGCCAGTACCTGGGGTCCCATGGCTTGGGTCGTCATAGGAGAGACCTTCCCTCTCCGTACTCGAGCCAAGCAAGCCGCTATCGCTACTGCCGGTAACTGGCTTGGTAACTGTAAGTTATTACCTTCCTGGTGCGTTAATCGCTTCTAACACCTACAATAGGGATGATTGCTTTCCTCTCTCCTATCGCCGACGCTGGCATTAAGTATGCTTTTGGTTTCGTTCTCGTTGGAACTAACCTGGCTGCCGCTCTACTCATCTGGTTCTTCCTCTACGAATCTCGACAACTCAGTCTGGAGAATGTCGATCTCATGTATGGCCAGGAGGGTCTTAAGTCTTGGAACAGTCATAAGTGGGTTCCACCTGGATACATTACCCGTGCCCAGAGAGATGACGCCGTCTTCCGCGGAAATGACAAGGGTAGAAATAGCGAGTCTCACTCTGGAGAGGATTCTCGTGTTGAGAAGATCGATGCTTAGAGAAAGCTGCATGAGAAATATTTGTGTAAGCACTGGATGCATACGCGGCGTTCGTTGTGGTTTTGTCACTGTATAGTTATCATACGGAGTTGGCCAGTCTGACTGAAGACATGCGACCAATTATCATTATTGTTTTTATCTAAACTGTGTTGCAAAATGTGATAGGTATTATGAATAGGATTCAATGCTTTGAACCAATCCTTCCTCTAACCTTGTAAATGCAGTCCTCATCCGCGCATCTCGTTACGTCGCTTCCGTCAACATATATTCGTTCAAGACCAATTTCCTCATTGCCGTCTATGTGTCCAACTGTCCTGTTGTATCATAATCAGAAGTCATTGGTTCTTACGTCTCTGTTGTTTCTCCAGGCAGATGTCTTCTCCCACTCCTTCATTATCTCGGTACTATCGACAATTGGCCCTGACCAAGTTATCTCTGCAATAGCTTGGACAATATTGTACCGAAATAAGCATTGCGCATCTTTGCTGCTCCTGATTTCAAACGTTCGAAGTTTTGGCATCTTACGCGCTGCTCTCGCCGCAGCGCAGAGGAGGTTTTCGATCTGGTCTCGGTCTTGGGTTTCGAATAGGTCTGTTGATAGCGTAAGTACCTGAAGGTCAGGCCACCTTCGTAGTGAATCAAATTCTTCTTCTGGGAGGGAGGTACGAAAGCGACGGAGGAAGTCTTTGGCATCGATAATGTCTGTTACTGACATGTGCTCTAGGTTCTTGGAGTATTGACGAATGCTCTTGGCCAAACCTCTTCTCCATTTGACATCGCTTGATGCCCAGTCCTGAAACGCTCGACATTTCTCTCCGTTTATGGATAACGACTTGACTGATACTGGCAGATCCATGGCATATGCTACATGGGCACCTTGGTTCCAATATGTTTCGTCTTCGGCATCAACTGAGGCCCATCGCTCGATGGTGATGCCTTCTATGTTTTCGAGACTGTCGAAGATTTCAGATAAGGTCCATGGACAGAATTGACGGAATTGTGTTCGGCGGATAAGAAACTTGGAAATGATGGGTACGGAAGGGAGGATGTTATCTTCCTCTGTGTACCATGGTACTGTTTTTTCGTCCGCGGCTGTGGTGAATTCAATGTTTTTCCAACCTAGGAGGTCATGCCTCAAGGCGTTCCAGTGAGTCCGCATCCTGTGATCAATATTCGGCGAACTGAACAACCTGTACTGGTCAACGTAGGGCTCATGAGGATTGTCGTAATGGTAAGGTTTCCTCAACTCCAGCTTCTTGTGGACCTTGTACTCTGCGAGATCACGTTCAAAAATACGCTCTGGTCGCATAATATGGGCCCAATCGCAGTATGAGAAAGCACTTAGCTCAAAAGTGATTCTGTTCTGGGGGCTCCACAGAGAAAGGATGTCCCAGAGGTTAAGAATGGAACTGGTAAATACCTTGTCTGCACGCCATAGTACTCTGGGTTTTTCGAATGTCTTCAGTGTTCGAGTGGTATGATTAGGAAGAAAGATTCGATACCATATTTGTTTGACGAACCCTTGGCGTCGGGGGGTTACGATTCGTGAGAGGCAGGGCAGGTCGCGTTGGTTGATGGCGAGGGACTTGAAGTTTTTTCTCTCGAAGAAATCCTGCCAGGCTTTGCAGACGACGGCGTAGGGGGCGGTTGAAGGTTCTCGGGAAACTTCTTGTAGGATCATGTCCTGGATCTCGGGAGGGAGGGAGTGGAAACGAGGCATGGTGTAGTGTTGGAAGAGGATATATTAATGCTGACAATGTTAGGGAGGATCGTGAGAGTATGGAATGGTGTTCTTGAACTGGCAAGATGTGTAAGAGTATAATAGCTGGAGTATACAGTGATCCATAAGAATTTGAACGAGAAATTGATGTTGCTTTTGTGTTGTAGCATGAAGATTGAAGTGATTTTTGATAGTGCTTGAATAGAAGATGTTTGAGTATGAGAGGATATGAAATGAAGGCGTGTCGTTGTTTAAATGTTCTTGATGGAGTATTTGGATACTATTGCGATGTTGGTAGTGGGGAATGCTTTGAAAGGCTTGAGTGAACAATGCATGCGAACAGAGGGGTGGGCGTGGTGAACAGATGGGCCGAACAGGTGAACACAATGATGGTAAAAAGAACCCTTTGAACAAGATGTCAAAGAAATCAGCATCAAAGAGCATGGGTCATTGTATGCTGGTGCTTTTTGGAAAAGGGATGTATGTTTATTACCTCCTATTGTGGTGTATATGGCTTTGAGGTTGTACGAAGGAGATGTAGTATGGCTGTTGTAATCGACGAAGTATCTCCAGGAACATACCGAAAGCCTCAGAATCATCAAGGGAATATGATGTGTGCCTATACTATCTAGATCTATTCAAGTTCCACCAAATCTATCGACAAGGGGGTGCAGATGGTGTATAATGTTGACATCGACACTCGCTTCTCGAGGACAACCCATGCAATACTCAGTCCAAAAGAATACAATAATCTATTTCTGGAGTCCAGTACTCACCACTCTCGCGCAGTCCAACTGTTATTGTACCCCTCCGCCTTAGGCACCGACCCTCAGTTCGCTCTACATGAACTTGACAGTGCCCCGCTAACCTCCAGCTCTCGTCCATCTTCTTTCCACTCAGATTTCACTCTTCCTGATCGCACAAAGTCTGCAAATAGTGCACAGAAAGTCATAAAACCTCGCGTCGGTCCTTCGATATTCAAGGTAAGTGATAACATCCTTATCCAGGCATAAAGACATTCCGGAAAATTAGTCTGGCGATACTACTTCAAAGTCCTATATTATGAATTTCAGAACATTTGCTTACTCTTTTATCTTTATTATATAGACTACTTTTTTCATTTTCTGATATCAAATCTGCATCACCAACATTTTCGCTTTCATCTGTTTTCAACATTTTCTTCTTCTACGACATACGTCTTCTCTCCCCTTCTTCCTCACCACCCCCAACACGTCAGAATGCCTTCCTGCGACCACTCGTCGACCTATGTCGACTGTAGCAGAGCTGCAAAGAACGCAAAATTCGTGCGGCCATCCCCAGAAAAGAGGATCCTGGCCATGTCCAAGACTGGCAGGCTGGCCAGGGGCACGTACCTGTCTAAGGAGGATGGCGCGGAAGATGAATACACCTTTCCTGGACCGCTGGTTCTGCCGGGAGATCATATCGCCAACCACCCTGACGAAGAGGGCCAGTCCTATAAGGACTGGTTCGAGATGGGAGCCACTTATCAGAGAAACTGGATAACCTCCCGCCGAAACAAACTCTACGTCGTCAACCCTCCAGGCACTGGACGTATGTCTGACGAGATGAGAGGCTGGCACAGGCCAGTTCTGTCACCAGAGTCTACCCCGGCATTAGAGAACTGGACCTCCGAGGCGACGAATTTCGAACAATTGGTCAATTATCTCCAGGCCTTTTACAACCCGATGCAAATCACCCAGCACCACAAACGGATCTACTTTCTCCCTGTTCAGCAGCGAAAACGAGTTCACTTTGTGGACACGCCTCACACAGAAGTCATCGGCCTCCAAACTCTAGATAGCCCAAACCCCTTCGAGATTTGGTATCGTCCATCGCCAGATGGTGTATCACGAATGCAGATGAACGTCTGTGACCTGAGGGATGCGCTCATGGGTTGTATGCCCCCAGCTGCCCATTCGATTGTCATGGTTGTCGACCATGACATCTACGAGGATGGCGAGGGCGACTATCTCACAGGTAGATCTTGGGGCTCTGGTCGAGTAGCAATTGTGTCTTCGTTTCGCTATAACCCATCATTGGATGATTCGGCAGGCATCGACCCCCTGCACAGGTGGCCAGCTAGCCACTGCAAGACATATGTTGACGAGAGATTCCGCGCCCTGAACAAGTCCAAAGCGTGGAAGAAGAGGAACCCCATCGGTTCCAAGGCTTTTGGAAAACCTCCTGTCGGCTCTGCGCTTGGTCTTGCGGTCCAAGCAGCGAAGCAAGCTTCACAGCCATCAACAGCGGACGAACTCTCGAATCAATGGTTCGCCCGAGTTACCGTCGCTGTTTCCCGAGAAGTCGCACATTGCTTTGGCCTGGGAAACTGCACTTATTACGCTTGCTTAATGCAAGGTGTAAGTGGGATCCGTCAGGCCGGCGAGATACCCCCCTACCTCTGCCCAGTCTGTTACCCGAAGCTTGGATGGGAGCTGGTAGTTCTGCAGCGTGGGTCTGAAGGCGGATTTGAAAGGCAAAGAGTCTGGCTAGACGCGCAGCATGCTGCAGTAAAGGCGTTTTGTAACAAGTGGAGTTATATTCCTCAATTCGCCGCGTTTGAAGCATGGCTGGAGAGGAGACTTGAGGATTGCAAGGGAGACAACGACGACGACGAAGCCGGGCCATCAAACTAGGAGGCATCAGTCATTGACTGACCAAAGACCATCTGGGAAATGGTCGATATATGAAGTAGGTTCGTTCTAACAGAGCCCTCTATACTACACAAGATAGCTAACTAGTTAACTAGGAGCCTGCATACAACAGCGGCAATCAAAGAAAACCCTAGATATTTCTGGGAATAACGTCGAACCCATTGATCAACACAATTTTACCTCCAAAAGTCCTCCATCAAAAGTCCTTTGTCTCAACTTCCTCATCGGGCAACACTTTTAGCAACCGTTATCTTCATCGGCTCCGGCTTCGGCTTCGGCGCCGATGTCGTGCTACCGACTCCATTATGTCTTTATTCCCCGCCCGTTTTACCTTACAAATCCTCCCTTTCAAACCTCAACACATCCCATTCTGCACCAAATATCTTCGAAATGGTGCGTAAGTCTCTCGCCGTCTTGGCGACTGTAGCTGGAGCTTCAGGTTTCGCTCTCGGTCCTTTCGGAACCCAAAAGCCTATTGGTCAGAATGAGCACGACTTTACATGCGATTTGCCGCCTGTGCTCTCCCCCGGAAATGATGGTCTTCCATCTGCGAATGATTTATTCGACTCGAAGGATGCTTTTAATAAGCAGGTGAAGCGTCATCAAGCGATTGTACGCGTTCCGTCGATTTGCTACGATGATCTTGGTGATGTGGATAAAGATGAACGTTGGGCGCCGTTTTATGATTTACATGATATTCTGGCGAAGACGTATCCAGCTATGTAAGCCACCAAACTCAATTTACAAGCTCTTACTGATGAGTTGTAGACATAAATATGCGAAGCTGGAGAAGATCAACAAGTTCGGTCTTGTGTACACATTTGCTGGAAGCGACTCTTCTCTCAAGCCTTATCTTCTTGCAGCTCATCAAGACGTTGTTCCTGTACCTGATCCATCGACGTGGACGCATCCCCCCTTTGACGCCTACTTTGACGGAGAGTGGCTTTGGGGTCGTGGAGCATCGGATGATAAGAACAGTCTCACAGCTCTCATGTCTGCCATTGAGACGTTACTCACCGAGACGAAATGGCAACCAAAGCGTACTGTGATCTTGGCATTTGGATTTGATGAGGAGTGCTCTGGTCCTCGAGGCGCTGCTAAGATCGGCGAGTTCCTAACGGAAAGATATGGTGACAACGGTATCCCTTTCATCTTGGACGAGGGTGGTTCAGGAATTCAGCTTATCGACGACACTCTCTACGTTCTTCCCTCCGTGCAGGAGAAGGGCGCCATTGATATCTGGGCCGAACTTCGCGTCAAGGGTGGTCACAGTTCTATTCCTCATCCTCACACAGGCATCGGTATCATGGCTGAGATCATCTCTGCTCTCGAAGCAAAGCCTTATGAACCTTCTATCCTCAAGGGAAGTCCCGTGTACAATCACCTCGTTTGTCTGGCACGCCACTCACCGGAATCTCATACCAAGCTTCATGATCTTCTCAAGAAGGATGATCTGGAGAAATTGAAGGATGAGCTAATTCGTCTTGATCCCGTGGCCAAGTTCACGATCCAAACAACCCAGGCTGTTGATATTATTCGAGGTGGTCAGAAGATCAACGCTATGCCTGAAGTTGTCAACTTGGGTGTCAACTACCGTGTTGCACCCCAAGACAGCCTTGACAAGGTGCAAGAGCAGTTCGTAAAGAACATTGACGCCGTTGTTCAGAAGTACAATCTCACTCTGAGCGCCTACGAGGACGACGCAAAGTCTCAAAACATCAAAGCTAAATTCGACTACGATGGTCACCTTAAACTCACAGCGATTCGCAACTCGGTCACAACGCCTGTATCACCAACAAGCGGACCAATCTGGGATATTTTCTCTGGCACAATTCAGCATAGTTTTGCTTTCGACGGTGGAAAGGTTGTACCTGTCGGTGAAATCATGACTGGTAACACTGATACGAGACATTATCTGAGTGAGTCCACTGCTACATGACATGAAGGGATATACTAATTGGATTTAGATTTGTCGCCAAACATTTATCGCTGGACACCGAGTCGACAGCGCGGTTCAGAGAACATTCATACGGTCGATGAGAGGATCAGAATTGAGTCGCACATAGACATCGTCAAGTTTTACTACGACTTGATCCGCAACTTTGACGCCGCCGATTTCTAGACTCTCATACCATAGAAGCACCGTTCCATATCTAAACTCAATGGCATGATCTCGCTCATCAATGACCCGAAATCTACCGACAACATACGCTTTCTTCACCGTCTTAACTTAGCTTCAACCGGGAGCTGTATCCGAGTGTTAAACCCCCACGCTTCTCCACACGAACGCATCGGGCACTTTGTTAGCCATCTCCACTTTCTCCTCTTCGCCGATGCTTGCCTGTGTTGGTTATGTATTTCTGGGTTCATCTTATGGCCTGTTCGTGTTGTTCCCCTCATGATGAATTGCTTGTGATTCTTGGCGTGAGTGTGTTCTTACTGCCTGTTCAGCTCTGCTGCATGTATATCAGTGGTTATAGGTGTACAAATACCTGATTTGAACTTGCATGGCTGTAGTAAAGTACAGGTACAGTATAGGCTTCGGGCTCCCTCCGAGGACATCAACACCATTACAAACTCAGCTTCCCTTACTTGCTCTTCCACAATGTCAACTCCACATCCAGATCCAACTGCGGGGTTCCCCACGATTGACAATCCCCATCCAAGCGTCTCTCTTCCAGCAAACACACCCAGCATTTACATAGTGAACATCCGACACCTCGTGTAAGCATCATCACCCCAAAGCGGTAATGTCCAGCGTGCTCCTCACCAACTTCCAATCCCCATTGGCTGCACAGTCTTGACCACGAGACACATCTTTTACCTCACCGGCTTTTGCTGCATCGCGTGGGATTAAAATATGGCCACTTTGCGGGGAATGGTAGTTTTCATGGGGTAATCAAGCATATGATGTATATCCTTCAGCATTAATTGGTATTTTATGTACAGAGAAATTATTGCTACAAAACAGCCTGATATGATTGATGGCTGTGCATGCCCAACGCCACAACACCATCTCCGTGCTTTACTTCGAAATAACAGGTATCGTCATCATCATCATCATCGTCACCGCCCAATGCAACCTGCTTTGTCCTCCCAATCGAAAAACATGCTTTTTCAAAGCGTAACTTCAAGATCCATTACTTCTTGGAACCCTTGTGCAATAGTATCAAGATCCTTTTGAGATGGCGCCACACAAGGTCGTCTAGGTTCGCCTCCGTATCCGGAAAAGTGTCCAAGTGCTGCCTTCACACCGACAAAACCAGTCTTGATCGCCGTCCAGTCAGCCTTGGCGACTTTAGCTTGCAGCTGGCGGGCTTCTTTCCAGTTTCCTTCTTCTGCGAGCTCTGTGATGCGAACGCATGCTTTGGGGCAGAGGTTTGCGAGGCCTGAGATGGTGCCGTTGGCTCCGACGGCGTGGCCTTGGAGGATGAAGTCTGCGCTGCCGCCACCGACCCAGAATCCTTCTGGACAATCAGCCGCGATGCGGGCGAGTTTTCCAGTGTTGCCACATGTGAGCTTGACGCCTACGACGTTGGGATGCTTGGCGATGCTGAGGATCGTGTCGGATGAGAGGTCTCGACCAGCTGCGGCGCCGGGAAAGTTGTACACCAGAAGAGGAATTGGACTCTTGTCTGCAACGGCGTAGTAATGCTGAATGACTAGATCGTCGGGGAGAAGGCCACCGTAGTAACTGGGAGGTAGAACAAGAGCATGGGTAGCACCGGCCTTGCCAGCGTCTTCACACAGTTCAGTTGTCTCCCTTGTGCTCTGAGCACCACAGCCTGCGATGAGAGGAACATGAGTACCACTTCCCTCGTGGAAGATGGTATCTCTAGCAACGCGGATGATTGTGGTTCGTTCTGAAGGAGAGAGATGGGCACATTCTCCGTTGGAGCCGTGCACAACAATACCAGCTACTCCTGACTCGAGAAGCTTGATGATGTGTTTCTCAGTAGCTGAAGCATCAACTTCGTCTTCGGGAGTGAAGAAAGCAAGGGTAGGAACGTATACGCCATCACCGAGGCGCAGCTGAGAAGCCTTGGGAGAGCCCATGGTGGGAGATTCAAGCAATGTCGAAGGCATATGGTATGATCTGAGTATAAAGTATATAAGTGCAACCAGATTACACGCAGCAAGCAGTCCTTTTATACAAGTAAAGCAGAGGAAATAGAAGAAAGGATAGTATGATGAAGAGGCATTGTTCAAAGAGGCTGGCGTCAGCTGCTCTTTTATGTCCAACCAAGGACTAGGTATAAGAGTGGCGTCCTCGTCATGAGGTAGCCCATTCTCAGGCTCAGGCTCTTGAGTTTGAGAGAGGCATGGTTCAAAAGCGTGGGGGTTAGGTCCGGATCCTTGGGTAAGTTGTGAAAAGGCGGGGGAGAGACACGACAAGACATCCGCTGAGCTCCGGCCGAGAGACTCCGGGCCGAACCGGTGACCTCACGCGAGTCAAGAGACATGAAGTGATCGTGGGGGGATTTATTTTCTGCTGCAGTTGAGGGTTCAATGGGTGAATACAGGGGCATATGAGAAGGATCACTTACACGGAGACTTAGGCAAACGCCACCTTTACAAAATGGAAGCAAATATGTCGAGCATAAAGGCTGCCATCCATCACAGAGACCAAGCCAAACAGCGATCATCCTCGCAGAAGCAGGTACCGTCCGTTCACAAGTCGCCTGACTACTAACCCCCACGTCCAGCTTGTCCAATAGCACTCGTCAATTGCCGTGTAACCTCAGAGAGGAATGCTGAAGAGAGTGTGTGCGCGTGGGGGGAAACAAGCTGAGAGAAGAGACAACGCTAGCCACGAAGGAGAGAGATCTAGTGAATTGGGCATTTTAATTGATGGAATATTAGTGAGGGGGAGGACCAGGTGATCGTCGTGATCCGATTGTGTCTTGGGAAGAGAGCGCAACGGGCCACTGCAGACCATTTTCCTCACGTGCATTCAAGGTGGGGGGTTATTCTGTGTTTTCTCACTGTCTATACTCTCTTGCATGAATCTGATTTCCAGTTGATGAATGTTGCTATTTTATATCTATTTATGTCTTGTTTATTTCCGGATACTGGCGTAGCTGTTGTATTGTGGAGTGGTTGCGTTACTGACTGCCCATGTTGGTTCGTGACCCTATACTGCCTGGAGACACTAGAAACCTTGGTATTCTTATCATTCTGTATGAGAAAACACCAGAATATTGTGATTGGTGACTTAGAATATGGCTTTTAATAGCTGCATAAGTGTACGGTTCGAGGCGGAATTTAATAAATCCGACTTTAGGGGAAATTGACATTGCTTTTTGTTATTACCTAGTCAATCTTCGCTGTCCACGTCTCAACACACAAACCATCAACATCAACATCAACATCAACATCAAATATCAACAGAATTAAAACATAGACTAACAGCACTTCAAAATGCTCTCCCCAGCATATATGAGTATCTACCAATCACTAACAATACAAAGCCGACACAGACTCTGTAGCAACATGGCTGGCCAACACTGCAAAGGCGCACGGCTACGACGCTGACGCTGCAGTTGGTGCTGCCGCTCTCGAGGCGTTGAAGAAGAAGAAGAAGAAGAGAAAGGGTAACGGAAAGGGCAAAGGCCCTGTCAGAGCTAAGAACAAGAAAACAACGGAGAAGCAAGACCCTAGCACGAAGAAATATGTTATCAGAGTTAGGGACTTTGAGGCTATAGCGAAACATGTTGCTGAGACCAATGCTGTTGAAGTTCCTCACCAGACTGCTGTTGCTTTGGAGAGAGGTATCTGGGGTATGTTAAAAGTATCTCGTTATGTTGATTTCAGTGATACTGATGCATTTCATAGTTCGCAGATCATTCTCTCAGAAACTCGCAGAGAGCGGTGCAAGAAGGGATCGTCGCTCTGGGAGACGTACGCTAATGGCGAACTTGATCTTGCCGCTGTGGCTTTGGCTACCAACACAGCGTTTGAGTTTGCTCAAAGCATGGAAATGGACATCAAGAAGCTGATTGACAAGTTTGGCGGTACAGCTGTCTTCGCGCACCAGTGCTTCGACGCAGCTTGCCAGGGGCTGGGCATCGACAAGGACAGGAAGAACCCAAGCGAGGCTTACAACCTTGCGGCTTACGACATTGCAAAAGTCCTGACTATCAACAGCATGAGTGTTTTCAAGGGCTATGTAGATCACTACCGGAAGGTCGTCATGCCTGGAAAGTACAACGGCAGTTTCGGTTGGGATAACGAGAAGCTCGGCGCCGGCAGCAGAAATAACACTGAGAGGTGAAATCAGGACAAAACGGCCCTGCTGGAAGTCTTCTCGGGTATTCACTTCCTTTCCACAAATCCCGGTCAAGGTGCTGTAGAGGACGATCTTGTCCGCGGCATGGGCGCTGCACTCAAAGAAAAGAGTGAACACCCTCGTCTTTGGATGTTGTGGGTTCTTCAGATGTATCTCGACATTGTTCACGGTCTTGGAGAGTCCGTCGGGCGTGGGTATGAATAGTTCAAGCAGGAGAGTTTGAAAATCCAAAAGGCTCTTGTTGATCTTCCTAGAACGGCTGAGCGCAGGGAAGTCCTTCAAGCGGCGACGCGGTGGAATCATGATTCTATCTTTGAGACGAACCAATCGATGATGGAGTTCGGCGTCATGGTTCAAAGTGATGACGAAACTGTGTTCCAGTTCCTTCTTTGAAACCCCATACACTGTGATCTTCTGATTCATCACATGCGCTCTGTGCTACGCAAGAATGGTGTCAAGACTGCTGCGCCTAGTGGTGGTCTTATGTGTACTACACAACTGTACCAAGCTCTTCGGCAAGAGGGCCGTATTCCCAAAGGCCAAGCATGGGAGGATCTTGAAGAGTTGTGGGGATATCAAGGAAACTCGTGCTTCTTCGTTGGAAATCCACCCAAGGATCTTGAGAGCTACTACAGAAACTACTATCTCTGCCTAGGCACTTCAGTCATCAATTGGGCCCCGAATAGGCGGAGCGTAAAGGCTACCGAGCACAAAGGTAATGCGCCAAACATGAAGCTTGATGGCTGGCTGTCACTTTCATTGGACAACCGTATTCGTATGGATAATCCCCGTGAGCCTTGGACAACTGCTACTGTTGGAGCACTCTTGACGGAGGGCCGTAAGAAGGCAACTCTGGATGGCAAGGGTCATATACAAAAGGGTCTGAAGCAAAAGGCCAAGGAGGCCAATGTAAGTCCTGACAATTCCACACAGCAAGCTTTTACTAACAGATTGCAGCCCAAGGCAGTACCGAAATCTCCGAGTGGTCTCATCGATCAGCTAGCCCATGTTCTCAACAGCGAAATCCTCCGTATCAGCTTCAACTACTTCACCATGCACAACATCGCCTGGTCCTTCCTAACCGATCTCAAGCGCGCCCTCACCACCGAAGTCGGCCCCGAGTTCCTCAAATACATACCCTCCGGGGACCAACTCCCCTTCGTAGTAGGCTACGTCTTCTCCACGGCCTCAGGGCACGGGAGCTCCGATGTTCGAGAGCGTCAAATGGGCAACGACAGGTTCGTCAACGTCGCCACGGAAGTCATGAGCGAGTTTTTGAACGAGGGTAAAGGAAAGGTTATTAAGGAGACGAGGGAGACGGAGGCTAGACCGGAAGAAGTTTGGGAACTTGATGTTGATGGGTCGGAGTTGTGGGGGCCGAGGAAGTTCAAGAAGGAGCAGATGAGTAAGTATGGTCACTTGGGGGGAGGGCGAGTAAGGCTGATGTTGCGGAGCTTATGAAACTTTTGCAGATGATGGGGTGATCTAGATCGAAGGATATGAGCTCAGAAAACGATGGATGTGCCTCTTTATATATGACAAGCCTGCTACAGGCATGATATCAAGAGCAATGATGAACGAGCAAGTTGGTGTTGAAACAGACCTACCTTTGGCAAAATATGCTAGTGAGTGAGCTTGTGCCTAGATTCCTGGACGGCCTTAAGGAGGCAAGACTAGAAATTTCCTATGATACAATACAAATACAAATACACGATCCTTACGATGAAGTATTCAACATGTGTCAAGCCAGACTAAACACGTCCTCCAAGCCGGGTCTTCCACGCCAGATAACTAGCATATCCCACAACGCCTGTCAATGCCAACCTCCCTACAGCCGCCAGTAAATTCTGATTCGCCCTCTGCATAGTCTTCTTCTTCATAACCTTGCTATTCCTTCTAAAAGTCTCACCATCGTTAAGATGTGGAAACGGCGCCTCCACCATCTTTCCTGTCTCGGGATCCTTAACCTCTGGTACAGGTACGCCAAGATACTCACAAAGCGGTCCCCAGCCTTCCGTGATGGTATACTGAATGTACCGGTCCGCCGGAATTCTGTCGTGAAATTCTTGATATTGTGCTTTGTACCATGCAATGGCCTTATCCTTATCATTTCCATGATCATACTTCTGAACCAAAGATCTCATCGATTTGCTATACTTGGCCATATACTGAAGATTCGTATCAAGCAAGAAACAATATATCATACTGAGTTTCGCCAAAAAGCCCTTTGGGGTGGTTATCAAGTAGATACTATTAAGCACACTCTCATACCACTTCTCAGGGTCTCGATTCATGATAATGACTTTAGCTTCAGGGTACAGCTCCGCTAATTCAGGTCCAAAGAACGCAGCAGGAACATCACACACAGCTTGGCAATCACCGAGCAAGTGATCCCAGTCTGCGCGTGTGAAAGTCCCTTTATCAGCGTACTTTGCTTCCAGGGCACGGATCCATTCTGGAACACGGGTGGGATTGTTGAAGAGAGTCTGCATGTGGTAGCAATCGTGGAAACCAAGCTGCCACAAAGCGTTACGAATACCTGTTGATCTGTTTCAGCTCACATTTTCGGTAATAGATTACGCGCGTAATTGTTGAGGGGGCTTATCAACCCCCTGAGATAGAACAAACGTACTCAACGTTCCTGTGCGATGGACGCCACAGACGATGACGCGCATTGGCACAATTCGGTCAGGGATTGTGTACGTAGACGTTGACATTGTGTTATTGTTTCGCGAGATGACGATGTTTCAATGGTGATGCAGGGAGATTATTGATGCCCAGATCTTCAAGGGTAGAGGAGTAAGTGATGGCCTAACCTATTTCGCTTCGCGTCAGTGAACGCGCTTGGGCGTCTGTCTCGGTGAGTTGACCTTGATCAAGGTGTAGACCCAATGAGACTCTAGCTTGTCTATTGGATGCTTATCATACGCTAACCAGAGTTGTAATATGTTGAACAACTAGCCTAACTAACCATGCGAGTAAAAACTCTACAAGAATAGAAACAAGATTATTGATGGTGTTGGAATTATTAGAAACAGACCCTATCAGATTCGATATCTTGTCTAGAGCTTTCTAGTCCAAGCTTGGCTTTTCTCTATCGGCGCTATGATCCGCTGATGGTGGATGCTCCGGACAAGCCGGTATCGGGTGGATCTCAAGATATGATCCATCAATGGAGCAACATCAAGTATGAGCCCTTGTTCATAGGTTGGAGCCCAAAGAGCCTCTAAACTCTAACATGTGATTACAAGGAATGCTAAGTTATGGATCTGATGGTGTACAGTTGAGTTACTGACTCATCATTCAACCATTGAACATTACGCGTCAGAATACGAGCCCTCAGTCGATTATGAGGACAAGAGACAACAAGTGACCGCCTCTGTCAGTATCTGCATCTGCACGTCAGTTCGCATGTCAATCACACCAATCAAGGAAACCAAGAATGTCGATCAACTGCCAGCCCTGCATGGTCGACGTGGAAGGTGATTCTCTGGTGTTCTTTAGCAAACCAAGATGGTGTGAACTAAAAATGAACATCTCGGGAATATTGTCAATAGTCAGAGAGCCTCAATTCCAAATGTCGAGCCAGTCCTCTCTAGCGCCCAACCGGCGGCCCCCTAACCGATCGCTGCAGGGCTGTACTGTAGCTGCAAGCCCATCGTCCCCTGAAGCACAGGGCACTTCAAGGTCTCAGCGGCCCGCACGTGGCGGTGGAAGAAGCCCGTTGGAAGCTCTCCCCGTCTGGTCTGGCTTCTAATATTGTACCGGCAGCCCGGGTGCAGTGAGTCCTTGCTTTTTATCTCACACCCTTCCCGAACGAGTAATCCGAGCGTCTGCTTCTTTTTCATGATAACCAAGACATTTAACCGGACCAATTGAAGGGCGAGGAGGAAGCATGATGAGACAGGTCCAAGACGACAGGTCTGAAGCGAGGATTGGCCTGCGTGGGTTGAGCAAGGGAAGAAGAAAAGAGTTTGCTTGGTTTGAAGAGAATTCCAGCGTATTAAGTATTTTCATCATGTATGACGAATGTTCTGGTATTCAATGGGTGTGAGATAAGAACCAATTTTCATGACTCGACGCAAAAACACCAAAAATGATATCGCCAGTACCAATACTAACTCAGCAACATACCACGAATGCTATGACGAGCCCTTTATAGGCTTAGAAACCAAGGAAACAAGCACACCATCATCATCATATCCATCAACTTATATAGCATCATAACAGAGTTGAACTACTGTAAACCTGGCATGTCCCGTCTCGGGCTTGCTCTCGGCGACCCACACTCCTTATCACGCAAGTTTGCCGCCCCCGTAGCCACAACACTACACTACAGCGAGAGTAAAAAAAACTATACAGGCCCAGTTTTGTTTTTCTTGTTCTCGCCCCGGAGCGAGAGTATACACACAGACAGACACAGAATAGTATGTAAATCATGCCCCCCTTGATCGACAACATGATCAATCCTTCAAGCTCGGTTTTGCCCTCGAGGGGCCCAGTCCTTTAAAACTCAACCAACTTGCTTCCCCAATTTCTAGACCCAATATTTTCCTCTTATCAAAAACATTCATTCGTTTTTGAGATATTATGTTATCTGAACAGAATGATAGTGGGAGTGGGAGCGGCGGGAGACCCAGTCAGGTACATACTCCTCTCCGCAGGGAAAAGAAGCGAGTAGGCTTCCACTCCAGCAAAGAATCCTCCGGAGAAAGCAGCGACTCGACAACACAAAAACAACAACGACAACAGCGTCAAGATGAAGGTGTTTTCTCACCAGCTGGCTCACCGAAACTCGCTCCTGGAGAATTACCGCCAAATGCACCAGATGCTTACGAATTGAGTCTTGCTCTCACAAAGATCTTATCCGCCGAGCAAGAGAAGAAACGACAAGTTCAGAACCTTGCACCTGATACACCGGATGTAGGACCAAAGAGACCGAGACCTGCGCTAAGGAGAAATACGAGTTATGATGATCCTAACGAGAGGGAGAAGGCGGATCAGGCGGAGTCTAGAACGACGGAGAGACAGTATAGGTCTATGGCTGATGCTCGACAGAGAGCTGATCGGTTAGCTGTTTCTGTGGGGAGTTACTCAGCTCCTGGGTCGCGACGAGGATCGCTTGATCTCGAGGAAGTTCCTTCGTTTAAGCCGTTGATTGAGGATTATGATAATCCAAAGGTGTCACCGCCAGCTGGGTCGAATACCATTGAGGACGCAGGATATTTCGGTCTTCGACAACGCATAGCGAACTCGGATCGTTTCCAACATCATGCTGCGGCTGAGAATCTTGTCAGATCTCATACCCGCAAGGGGAAACGAGATTTATTCACACAGCATCCTAACGGAGGACCTACATCTGGTACAGCTACACCAGTTCTTCAACAAGCATACGCCCACGACTACGTTCCTCGACCGGATCAGTACCGCGGCGGTATTCTCTCCTCACTTCTGAAGTTGTATCATGATGATAGAACACCAGGTAGTGGTGTGAACACGCCCAAGGATACGGGTACACCACTGATGTCGCCTCGTAACTCACCACCTACATCTCGCCCTGGATCATCTAATGGAACGCCTCCTCTTCGATCACCGCCTCGATCACGGCCTACGAGTGGTTTGTTCAACTACCACAAGAGCAGACACTCGACGTCTTCGCTTGCACTTACGGAGTTGATGAAGTCTTCGTCCATGTTTGCTGCGCCAGCGTCAGCGAATATCTCTGATAAATGGGCCGAGAAGATTAAGCAACAACCACCTCCTCCCAAGAAACGCGACAAGGCTCGGATCACTATTCATATTGCGGGTATTATTCAACGGCATCGTTATTTACTCAAGTTGTGTCGGGCACTTATGATGTATGGCGCGCCTACACATCGATTGGAAGAGTACATGACCATGTCATCCCGCGTTCTCGAAATCGAAGCACAGTTTTTGTACCTCCCCGGATGTATGATCATCAGCTTCGACGATAGCACTACGCATACTACTGAAGTCAAGCTCGTTCGTGTACCGCAGGGTATTGACCTCGGTCGTCTTCGAGACGTACACAACATTTACAAAGAAGTTGTCCATGACAAGATCGGCGTTGAAGAAGCGACAAAACGACTCGACGACGTCAACGCACGAAAGGATAAATACAACGTCTGGATCCGAGTATTCCTATACGGTGTTGCATCAGCTTGCGTTGCGCCTTTCGCTTTCCAGGGGCGATTCATCGATTTACCTATTGCCTTCTTTCTCGGATGTATTGTTGGCATTCTTCAACTTGTCTTGGCACCCAGCAATGAACTATACGCTCACGTCTTTGAGGTTTCGGCCGCTCTTATCACGTCGTTCTTCGCTCGAGCATTCGGTTCTATCCAAAATGGCAAGCTTTTCTGTTTCAGTGCCTTGGCACAGAGTAGTATAGCCTTGATCCTTCCAGGGTACATGGTCCTTTGCAGTTCTCTCGAACTTCAAAGTCATAACCTTGTAGCTGGTAGTGTACGCATGGTGCACGCTCTAATCTACACTCTCTTCCTTGGATATGGTATCACTATCGGCGCTTCGCTCTACGGCATGATTGATAGCAACGCAACTAGTCGGTCAACCTGCGACAATCCTCTTGGAAGGGAATGGTACTTCCTCTTCGTTCCAGGATTTACCATGTGCCTCTGTCTCATCAACCAAGCAAAGTGGAAGCAAACTCCCGTTATGGTCGGGATGGCTTTAGCTGGTTGGTCAGTCAACAGTTACTGCGCTGAGTACTTTGGCGGCAACGGTCAAATCTCCAATATGTTGGGTGCCTTGACGATTGGTATTCTTGCAAACCTTTACTCTCGGATGGGACGGCATGTCGAGAATGGATACCTGGACTTTGTCGACTGGTGGAAGCTCAGGGTTCGACCACGATATACCAAGAAGAGAATCGACTCAGACTCATGGTCTTTACCAACTCTCAACGACCCCGAATCTCGACCCGGAACACCAGAGAAGCAGCAAGAACCCGAGAAGAAGCCCCGCAAGGTTGGATACAGTCTCGCAGCTGCAGCTATGCTTCCAGCTATTTTCGTGCAGGTTCCATCTGGTCTTGCAGCTGGAGGTTCTCTTTTGGCTAGTATCACTATGGCTGATGAGATTACCAAGAACGGAACAAAGGTTGCATCTGATATGAACACAATGGGTAATCTTGAAGGAACTGCGTTCAATGTGTTGTTCAAGGTTATTCAAGTTGCCATTGGTATCAGTGTTGGTTTGTTCATGAGTGCACTTATCGTCTACCCGTTGGGTAAGAGACGAAGTGGACTGTTCAGTTTCTAAGCTGAACTACATTCATTTTTTATACTGCATTTCATTATGGTCATAATATTAGAGCGCCAGTTGTTCAAAGGATGGCTTATTACAGCGGATATACAAAAGCAATAAGGAAAATTGCTTGGAGTTTATGTTTTCTTTGTCATACTGGAATTGGGATTGAAGCGACTGGCGCAAAGCAAGCGATGGGTTTCCTTTTATACATACAGACATACAGAACAACCTATAGATACGGAACGGTAATGACCGGGATGAACAGGATATATACAGCGCTGATACAATAATATTTTTTCTTATTGAGAAATTATCTATTTTATTCGTTAAAACATGTCGTGTTGCACAAGTTGGAATCACATGGAAGTTGAGACTCGATCTCGATCCTCAACTGATGATACAGTGACGTCAGACTTCCCAACTCATTCCACCAACTTCACTTCAAGACTTGCACCAACGGCTTCTCGAACACGACACAAATTCTAGCCCCAAATTGGCCAAACCTTCTTCACTTTCATCAATTAACAGCCAAAACCGCAGGCATGAAGATCCGTTCTTCCCGCATCTCAGTCTCAATAGCAAAAGCCATAAGCCAACGGCACGGCAAGTCAAAAAAAGGCATCATAAAAACCATAATCGCCTTCTTCCGCCTCTTTCGTCTCCTCCTAACGCGCTACCGCTCCATCGACTTTCTCGCCCTGCGCAAAGAGGTCTGGCAACTTGATGAAGATGAATATCACGCTTCTTTCCAGACAGACGGGAACGACGATGCAGAGCTCATACCCATCGGTGATCTAGGGTACAGTGGTTCTACCTTTTTCACGACAGCGAATGAGAAGTATCTCATTAAATCGCTACCAAGACGCTTTGAGCATGATTTCTTCGTGAAGGAGCTTTTGGATCCGTATGTGGGACATATGAAGTTTCAACCACATAGTCTACTTGTGAGAATTACGGATTTGGTGGTTTCGTCTCAGGCGAGTATTGGTGGGATGATTGGTGCTGCGCCTACACATCATATTGTCATGGAGAATTTGCTCTATGGAAAACCAAGGGGTGATGAGGGAAAGAAGTGGGAGACTTACGATCTCAAGCCAAACGATTACTTCTTCCCAGAACGAGATATCGCTGATGGTGCTCTTGTGCCGGATAGCGTTATCGAGCGTCTCGTCGACGAATTTCCCGACAAAGTCCGTGTTACACGCCAAGCTAAGCAAGAGCTTATATCACTACTCTTCGCAGACTCGGCACTTCTTGCATCACACAATGCGGTTGATTACTCCCTCTTTTTAGTACGATACCCTCAAGGCATGGAAGTCCCGGTTGTGGAATCTGATGCTGGAATCTGGCGAAGGGGTGTGGATGATGTGGATGGGAAGTGGACGTATCGATGTGTTGTTTTGGACTTTTTCTGGGCGAAGCACACTCTTCAAGCAAGGGCGCTTACGAAGATTGTGAAGATTTTTAACAAGGTTGCGCATAAGGGACCGATGAGCACCACGGCGGATCCGGAGGAGTATAGGGAGAGGTTTATGAAGATGGTGGATGAGATGGTTGTTGAGGCGTAAGGCAGTATGGGTTTGATGGTTTGTTTGCTAGTGGTTTGCAAAAAGCATGGAGTAGGGAGGGTATGGTTCCTTTTCTTGATATGATGCTACCACTTATCACTTATGGTGGATAGGGTCAACTTTTTCACGAATAATGTATAATGCTCTCAGTTATCTCATCCGTTCAACGAAGATCAATGAGTATCATACATGAATAATACAGTTGAAGGGTGTTAGTCTCTGCTTTCTAGTCCTCGGATCCACTCAATTGGCACTATTTAGTCCTACTCGACTTCCAGATTGTCTTGACTTTTCCGAACGTTCACTTTATATCACGAACATTTAAAGAGACATTGAGTGCTGGCACATTATTATGCGCGATAGAAAGAATAAAAACAATGTCCATACACATTGAGTCGTTGTTATCACGAAAATCACCACCAAAACTCTATCCTGAAACTAAGCTCCCACCATCTTGAACGAGGTTCATGTCCTCGCGTTCCCATGGATCGCAATAAACTCTACCGGTACATCAAGAATCACGACCATGGCAGTCTCATCACGAATAAAGAGATAGCATGATACGGTGAGAAGACGTACACCATCAACCCAACTGCAGCGTGGAACCCCTGGTCCAAAGCGTTCGAGTGTTATTTATGCCATAAACTGTATGTGAGTCTTACTGGTCTGAAGATGCATCTTGAGTCGCCGAGATATCAGCAGAGTTTGTATCATTGCATGGAACAATCTTGTGGGAAGGAGTTCAAGACGTTGGCGGCGCTGATTAATCACCTTGAGAGCGAGAGTTGTAAGATAATGCGGTTTCAGCAGGTGCAGAAGAATATTGCTACGATTGTTGATCCGCATAAGATGATATCTTTACCATAATTTTTTGGGGGGGGGGGTGGGGGGGGGGGGGGGGGAGGTATTTGTAAATATGGTATCAGGTGTATTCTGATTTGGGATCAAAGTTCCGCAATCGACGGGACGGACGATGCTGATCTGAAGTCGGATTTAGAAGGACATCTAACTATATCAGCTGTATAATAATAATCAGAGTCTTCTTGAGCTCACATACTGCCTGTATCTTCCTTAACGTCCCTAAGATATTCTGGATGACTAGACTCAACAGGCACTGTGATTCACTGAACACTACCGAGCACTCACTCTCTCCCTCTACAGCGAGCTTTCTGAAGATCGGAAGGCTCTGGTCTCAGGAGATAAAGGCCACCTGCACCAAGTTGTTCCTGCCACCGGCCTTTTTCTCAACTTCCTTCATCACGTGCGTCCATAATTCGGCGCCTCCTCCTTTCCCTCCAGCTCTCAACCCCTCAACTTCGCCTTTTCTCATCTGCACAATATCATCTTCCAAAGCTCACCTCGTTTTCACAAAAGACGCTCAATCTTTTCTCAACAGCTGTGAGTGCAAAATGTACTCGTGCGGGACTTGCTAGAGGCAGTTCCCTGCAGGATGGCACTCCCGCGACCAACACTGCTACGCAACAGGGCATTATGCACCTAACTGGGAATGCGACGCTTGCGGTGCTGGTTTCCATCGACGTAAACAGTGCAAGGATCATGAGATCAACTGCTGTTTTTACTGTGAGGACTGCGAGCAGCAGTTTTCAAGCTGGCATGCCATTAGCCAAGTTTGTTTACCACAAGCAATGGGAGAGTCAACACTGACTGTGATAGCACTTGAACTCTAGTCGGCATCGTGGACCGAGCCATTCGAGCGTTTCAGACTATCAAAAAGGGGTTTCCTGTCCGTTCTGTAAAGCACCCTACCAAGCTGCTAGTGGTGTTGTCCACCATCTCGAGCGCGGCTGTTGCCCCAACGCACCTCTTGACCGCGACACTCTTGACCAGGAGGTTAGACGACGAGATCCCGACGGTTTCATTTGCAACAAACTTCTCGAGTGGCACGGAACAGTGTCTTACCATGCAACCTCTCTCGCCTACAACTCACGCTATGGACAATACGAGTGTTATTTCTGTGGCGACTTGTTTAGACAGCTGTCGAGCCTAAATCAGCACCTGGCCTCCCCTCGTCACCAGCAAGAACTCTATCACTGCCCAAACAGGAAGTGCCTCAAGGAATTCACCACTCTTGCTGGGATGGTCAACCACTTGGAAAGCGAATCATGCCGCTTTCTACGCTTCGGGGCTGTTCAGAATGGTATTCGGGGCTGTTCAGAATAGTATTCGGGGCTTTTTCTCTTCGGATCGCTTGATTGCGTTCTGAAGGACAACTGGATTGCATACCGATGTTGGAGAGTAAGGGAAGAAAACTGCTAGCATCTCTTATGGGAATGGGAGAAAGTTGGCTGGTAGTCAGTCATGGTACAGTATCTCAAGAGATGCAAGAGAAACAACTCAGACTCGAGTTGAACCTCGTGGTCCAGCCATCCGCATGTTAGAACGGGATATTATCAATGATGGTAGAGTCATATACCATTACCATCAAGGAGTGTCAATGACGCTCAGGTTGTCACATAGTCATTTGATCATATCATTCACTCACTAGCAAAGTGAGCAAGGAGGCCCATCTCCTGTCTGTACACAGCTTAGCTTTCACAAAATACTTGCTTTTTTCATCCTCGACAACATTTCTTTTTGTCGTTGACTAGGTCCTGACTCGTTGAAGCAATTCACCTGCCACTAAAATGCACCAAAAGCAATATGAGCAATCACAAAACAACATCGAGGTGCTTGAAAACTGAGGCTGACATTTTATATACTAAATAGGTATGATGCTGTGGCAACACGCAATAAAAGCTAGCGGATGACGATGATCGGCAACCACCTGACTCGCACCGATGTAGTCAATATGGACAATGATATTGTAACATACGCGGAATCTCAATAGCTTCCGCTAAAGTATACGGATGATATTAAAGCTGTGGGTTCACATATAACCAGATCATTCAAGCGTCAATTCATAGGATGAACGGGAGGCTTACGGCTCACCCCCGTGCTTAGTCTGGTGCGCTATCAAAAAGGGACTTGGACTAAGACTTGATTGATGCTCATCGGACCTTTCGTGCGAGAAGAAGGGTTACATCGATGACTTGGCCTTGTATCCGGCTGCTGATAGTTCAAGGTCCGTCGAAGAGAAATTTTATTATTTCCGTGGTAGTCAACTTCTTAACCACAAGTGGTTACTCTATTATATCAGAGCGATTCTCGGAAGAACGAACGTACGATATCTAAGCAAATGACCTTGACGCACGTTTTTACGCACGGGACTTGTTCCCCGATTCGATAAACCCATTGATAAATCAAGAGACCTTCAATGCAAGGCCCCGACCCCATCGGAAAATTCTTCTCATAAACTTCAGCCTCATACGTTCTTTGCTCAGGAACTCGAACGACATTGGATGGAGCCACTAACTTTGTAGTCTGACGCCGTCCCGCCCGTTGGGTAAATCCTAGAGCCCGGCCCCATACTCGTCGGGAAACTTGTCAAACCCGTGTCCGGGGATGATTTTGTTGAAAGTACCAACACTTCAAGTTAAGTCCGGATGACAGTAAAGGTGGAGGACGTAAAGCATCAATTTATCAAGACCTCTATTCTATTCTAACTCAAGCATACTTGTTCACCATCTTGAGAATAGCCTCGTTAATCTCCTTGGGGTTAGTAGCGCTCAAGTAATGACCACCACCCTCGACAAACTCAAGCGTAGCCTCAGGGCTCGAGGTGAAGAGCTTGATATGCTCAGTAGGAACAGTCGTGCCAAACACAGGATCGGCAGTACCCTAATAACAACGATAATTAGTCTGCGCTTAACTCAGTGGAGGTCACTTGTATTATCACTCACCTGAAGCCAGTAAACGGGGCACTTGACGTCTCTCAAGCGGAGAAGCAGGCCATCCCTCTCAAAGAGGTTGACAACGGCGATCCGTAGCTTCTTTCGGCCCTCGTCTCCGCGATAGACCTGCTTGAGGGTTTCGTCCCAGAACGCGAGCGTTTCAGGAGATGGGCTGCTTCCGAAGCCTACCGACGAAACGAGACCGCGCCAAACGTCATCGACGACAAATTCAGGCGTGGGCGTTGTGCTGTGCCAATTCTCGTAGAAGGGACCAAGCTGAGTCTTGGGGTCCCAGCAGGCTTTCTCACGAGACTCGGCGGACTCGTAGTCCATGGACGTGCCAAGCGGGAGAACGCCGAGGATCTGTTCCGGTGGAACGGGTGTGTGTAAGTCAGGGGGTCTTAACGCAATCGGGTATGAAGAATGGTCACTACCGAAGGTGGACTTGAGAAGAACGTACCTTTTCAGGGGCTAGAAGAGCCATGCGAACGACGATCCAGCCGCCAGCGCTTGTTCCCAGAGCAAAAGCCTTGTTGACGCCAAGAGCTTCCATAACCTCAAGGTTCATGATGGCTGAGTCCCAGTAGGTGAAGTGCTCTGACTTTGAGCTTGTAGCGCCATGGCCGAGAGGTTCAATGGCGAGAAGGTTGACTTTGTCAGTGAGTTCTTGAGCAGAGAACTGTGCTTCAAAGAGAGATGATGTGGTGCACATGGAGTTGACGAGCACAAGGGTAGGTTTGTTAGAGTCGATTCCAGAGCCTGAGACACGATAGCCGGCATCGATGCCTCCGAGGTGGGGAACCTTGATAGTAGATTTGGCAGCCATTTTGCAAAAGTAAACAAGATGTCAGTTACGGCACAGTGTTGGTGTGAGTTACTGTATTGGTGTGTGAGAGAGGAGAGGTAGATTCTTGGTATGGTTCCCAAAAGGAAGAGCTAGAGAACTGGCTATGTACTTCTCATGACAACCCACCGATGAAAACGTGTGTTATACCTAGCGACGATCAGGGGGCTAGGACATGCGCAGAATTGAGTCGGTGGCCAGACTTGATCCGCAAGGGGATACTTCTCCGAGCGATGGACGGCGCCGTTCCGCGCCGGACTTACACGGAACCGGCGGGAGGTCCGCATAGAGTAGAGTCTAAGGAGTCTATTGTGATCAGACATTGAGAACGTTTAGAAACGGGCCGGACCGTTGAGGTTATTCTGTTCTTCGAACTCTACCCAAATAACTGTAGGTAGAAGATATCACATACTTGATATGTGCGGAATGTTGTTTTGTTTCACACGTTTTGGCGTTCCTCGGCATTCCCCACAGTTTAAAACTCATTGGTAAGAAATGCGTCCGCTTGACGTTAGAGTGCTTACCAGCACAGGGATTAAACACCGATGCCACGGCACAGGAACGACTATTCCCGGGCCAAAAGGAGAAAAAAGAAAGAAAAATCTTATGCATCAGAAGTTGTGCGTGTTCCTGAATCAGTCCCCTGTTGGTAAAATACTACCCTATGAGCAAATGTCTATCAAATGCCGTGTAAGCTTGCCACTGCGTGATCGGCCAGTCGGCTCACTTACATAAACCCTTGTCAGTTTTGTGTCCGAGCTGAAGCAGCTATTGAATGACTCTGCATGAAGACGTCTTCATGAAAAGATGATGCTAATCACGTTTTGAAGATAGCATGATAGACTCATTAATAGATGTCTCACTATAGCGCCTTGTCTCGCCTTACTTCTTCATCGCCGGATCATGTCTACCGATGGAAAGACAGGGTGGAAGACCTTTTCCCGGTTGTGTGGAAATGAATCCACAACCACGTTCTAGTCTGACATTAAGTCCTTACTAACTACAGACCCTTGGTTCCATTACTTTTCCAGTCAAGTCATGTTCTATTCTTCTTTTGGGTGGAATGTGAGCTGTCAGACGAGTTTTGACCATGGGTTCCACTCCCTGCTTGACATGATACTCTCCTGTGAATATATTATGTTTTAACATACTCCATTCCTGTGTTCTGCTTCTTGTTCTCTTTGTTCATGGCGTAACTATCTTTTTGACTCAATCATGTCGTCCGAGTCGCAGCTTCCAGGCCTTCCTGGATTTGACAAGCACAACATTCAACCATGGACCGTCGAAGTCGTTGTTTCTATGACTGTTTTGGCTTTGGTTTCTTGTGGTCTTCGGTTGTATAGTCGACATCTAAAAGCGCAGAAGCTTTGGTGGGATGACTATGTTATTCTCTTCTCCATGGTAAGTTACCTAGGTATAGTAATCACCACTTACGATGGAGTCTAACAGTTCAGGCATGGAACTTGGTCGTCGTAGGGTTCATCTTCGCCATGCACGCCAACGGAATGGGTCTTCACGCCGATAAAGTCCCCCTAACACAAATCGTCATGATGGCAAAGTGGCTCGTCGTAGCAGAAGTTCTATATGCTTGGAATCTCGGCTGGACGAAGCTGAGTCTTTTGCTCATGTACTACCGAATCTTCCGCGTTCCCTACTTCAAGAAGATGGCCTGGCTCGTTGGAACTTTCGTCTTTGCTTGGGTTATTACCATCACCTTTCTTTTTATCTTCATCTGCATCCCAGTTGCAAAACTCTGGTATCCCGATCTTCCCGGACGATGCATCAACCAAGTCGGAACATGGATCGCCAATGCCGCTTCGACCATTTTTACTGATATTGTTATCTTGTGTCTACCACTTCCTCCTATTTGGAAACTTCAGCTCGGCAAGTCTGAAAAGCTTGGTCTTACAGCTGCCTTCGCCATCGGATCTTTCGTCGTCTTCGCCTCGGCTTATCGAACCAGTGTCCTTTTCACCTACACCAGCACCGATCCAAGCTACACCCTCGCCCCTACAGTGGGATGGACCGAGATTGAAATGTCGGCTGGTATCGTCTCAGCAAACCTCCCAACTATGCTGCCTGTTCTGCGACTCGTCGCCAAATTCACCGGCCTCAGCAGCTTCGCATCAACAGTCCGCAGTAACGTCCGACCATCAGGAGACAAGTCCACCAAGGGACTCAAATCCCACGAGAATACCGGCGCTGGTAGGAGTTCCAACGGCTCTGCCTCAACAAATATGTTCTACAGACTTCCCGACGACAACGACTCAACCGATTTGATCAAGGGGCCGAAATTTACAGAGACATCAGCCCCAGTCAACTCCAAGCTAAGACCTGATGTTGAGGGCTTTGAACTTACTACGACGACATACAACGCCAAAGCCGATAGTGGAAACGAGAGCAGTGAAGAAATATTGCAGGGCATAAGGGTGCACAGAGAATTCCAGCAAACGACTACACGAAAGCCATAATCGAGCGAGTCCGGATCAACGGAAGTCATTCTATTGTTATGTAAACTAGATACTAAAAGCTGGCGGTAATGTTAGAGGCGTTTGTATTTTTCGATTAGATCTAATACCCAATAAACAAGTCCTTCTTTCCAGACAATTTAGTTCCTTCAACTTCACATCTAGAAGCAATTATGCTGACTGGAGTAAGATCTCCTGTTTCTCCAGCCCAAATAACGATTAACTTCTAACAATCACGGAAATTATCGTCCCTGTCGATCAAAATCCAGCCATCAAGCATACGGCTCCACGTCAACATTCCTCCCATCGTTCACATTGCCGACCATTTCCGTGAAGGTTTCAGCCTCTTTGCTCTCACTCAACCCAGGACTGCCCTTCGATATCACCATGAACTCATCGTGATGTTTCATCTGGTGGATACAGGCTCTAGATGGAGATTATTCGCTTGGCACATTCCCCAGAAGATTGAACTCGGAGAATTAGAAGCCTTACTTGGCCTGAGCGCCGAGTAATGCTTCGCTCGATCGTAGATGCCATGTAGGAGGAGGATTTAGCGAGTTCCGATGTCTTGATAGACGGATGTAACCTACACCCACTCGGGAATAGGGATTCATGCCTGGGCGTTTGTTCAGGGAACAGGGTAGCAATTATTCATTCTTATGGATTCGGTGCCGTTTCGCATATAATTCAAAGACGCGGGCCTCAGGGATCAAGAAAACTTCTGACCTTGAGGCAAGGTTAAAATTAACTAGTCTAAGACCTACTAAGTCTACACTAAACTTACCCAATTCTTTTCGTCAGTTAGGATAGACGTCTTAAGTTTTCTTGCCTCATCTAGGTGGGCTCTATGTATGTCTACAGCTTGGGAGTCTTATAGTTTCGGGCCATCGGCCTTATTATTTTTACGATACGAAGTACCACCAGAGTATGAGGAAACAATCTGGAAATCTCCTGAATGCTGCAATCATATCTAGCAAGCAGAGGGACAATCCTTATCTTCTGTTCAACCAATGAACACATACTATATTACATGGTTGTGCAGCAGAGAATCAGAAGCAAGTCGCTGATTTTCTTTTCTTGTGGTTATCAAATCAATGGAAACGCTTTGATGATTGTATCACAATCGAGTCAAACTGATCTATAACTGTGGAAACACGAGGAAACATATTCATCCATTTCCCGATACCATTTCATTTGTGCTTATACAAACAGTGACCCATCACTTGACTTCGACCTCACTATACACAACAAGGTCTTCGCAACTACCTTATTTATCGCATGATGGAAAAGTTGACTAAGGTAAAACAATAATGTTTTGACATCTAGTCGATACCGGATAAGTTACACATGTCAACGTTGTTAATGCAGGCGTAGACACAGGGTAGGCTTATCTTATCTACACGTGATCTTGGACAGCGGCTCATCTCAGGCTAGCTGCACCGCTCTTTGGATATCGATGTTGATGCCCCTGGCGAGACCGTGTTGCTCTCCGCTGCGCATTTCAATGAAGCCGGTTTAGCTGTCGATATTTCCTTTGTCCCCTGCGTCTTACCGCCTTTAAGCAATCCCCAATCAAGCGCCCCCATTGGTCAATTATTTCTACAGCAATCATCTCTTCTTCAGCGCATCCTCCACAGACACGTCACGAAACGAAGCTCCCACCAAAACTTCCTGCCGCCCCTCCCCCGCCGTTTTCTCCACGAACCGATCTCGCATACTCCTTTTTCCAACACCCAACAAATAACACACTCTTGGAACTACAGTAGACACAAGATCTTGGGAACCTAGTGCTCTCCTGAGCGGAGCGATACAACCGCCATCATGAGCCGGACGTTGACGAGCCGGCAGGCCGAGGAGCTGTTCGTACAGGGGAGCTTCTGGAGCTTTGGTTTGCCTATCTGACACTGCTGCAGGCATAAATCTATCATCGCCTACCTCGCCGCAAATAACCTACAAGAAAGCGCCAATGCTATGAGGACGGAGCTTAGTCTTGGAGAGGATGCTTTCGATACGGCTACCGCGAAGAAATACGAGACGCTGTTGGAGAAGAAATGGACAAGTGTCGTGCGGTTACAAAAAAAGGTACGACAGTAGATGCGCGTATCGTAGCTTTGCTAATCGAGCGATTCGTAGATCATGGATCTAGAAGCACAGAACCACGCCCTTCAGACAGAACTTAATAGCGCTACACCGACATCTCTCTCTAACCGAAGAGGAGATCCATCTTCTTGGCTTCCAGCCGGCCCTCCACGACACGTCCTTCAATCGCATCGAACGCCCATCAACTGCGTCGCTTTTCATCCGATTTTCTCATCTATCGCATCTGGAGATGAAGATGCTACTATCAAGATCTGGGATTGGGAGTTTGGCGAGCTTGAAAGGACGGTGAAAGGTCACACCAAAGCGGTTCTCGATCTCGACTACGGTGGTCCGAAAGGTCATACGCTGCTTGCGTCCTGCAGTTCCGATTTAACCATCAAGCTATGGGATCCTTCGAACGAGTACCAAAATATTCGCACACTACCCGGTCACGACCATAGTGTGAGCGCAGTCCGATTTATACCCTCTGGAGCTCCTGGGGCCCCATTATCAGGAAATCTGCTCGCGAGCGCTAGTCGAGATGTTACAGTGAGGATATGGGATGTTACGACAGGATATTGTGTCAAGACGATAAGAGGACATGTCGACTGGATTCGTGATGTCGCTCCGTCGTTGGATGGGAAATACCTGCTATCGACTGGTAACGATCGAACAGTGAGACTCTGGGATATTTCAGTACCAAATCCTGAAGCCAAGCTCGTCATGATTGGTCACGAGCATTTCGTCGAATGCTGTACCTTTGCGCCACCAGCAGCGTACTCGCACTTAGCAACTCTAGCCGGAGTAAAGAAGGCGCCTCCAGCAAGCAGCACGGCTGAGTTTATGGCGACCGGTGGCAGAGATAAGACGATCAAGTTGTGGGATGGCCGAGGAACATGCATCAAGACCCTGGTAGGTCATGACAACTGGGTACGAGGTCTTGTGTTCCATCCAAGCGGCAAATTCCTTCTTTCAGTATCCGACGACAAGACGATTCGATGCTGGGATCTGAGCCAAGAAGGAAAGTGTGTCAAGACTGTTGAGGGAGCGCACGAACATTTCATCACGAGTTTGAGATGGGCGCCACCTATTATCAAGGACAAGGGTACAACCGAGGAGGCCAATGGTGATGTCGGCACTCCCAAGAAAGCGGCGGCTGCACCTCAAGATGTGCAGATTCGGTGTGTCATTGCTACAGGAAGTGTAGATATGTCTCTTCGAATCTTTTCGCGGTAGTTGGATACAGCATACCCCAGTATTGGACATAAACTAGAGGAAGCTGCTCACCATGACCCAACGGCCCAGCGGCGTGCCAAAGAGCTCGATGCCGATGCAGGTCGCTGTCGACTCACCCACGACATGCCTCAGCCCCCAACAGAGATTCCCTTCTATCGAACGGCTGGAACATCCCATCCCAACCCGTCTCGACTTTTTAACGGTTCAGAAAGGCGTATTTCTTTCGCAGGAACCCACTCCCATCTATCAAATCAAATCCATATTTATAACAAAACAACAAACCAAGACAAACCTCCTTTCTACCGATGGTCCCACCCGTCAAAATGCGTCTGGTGCATGGGGATTTTACGAATAATGTTTGATACCCAAGCGATATGAGGTACGGACAGTTGATCTGATGATTTGCTGTTGGAGGGAGGAAGAGAGAGTGAGGGCTGGGGAGGGCGGTTGGGATGGAAAATTCTGGGAAAAAAGCAGGCATAGACGTTAGGGGCATCATAGAACGGAAATTTTACGTATTTATTTTAATTATTGAGCGAGAAAAGAGTCTAAGATGATTGGTGTAAATGTTGATGTTATAAACTTGTCTGTCTGTAATTCCATTGAAAGGAACAGACTTCATGTGATGATCTGATAGAGCCTCATGATGCTATCTCTCAATGGGGGTAATGCAGTTTTCACCTACTCCTTACACAAATCGACACCGATCTAACGTCTAACTGTTTAATTAGTGCGCCATGCAGCGAAATGTCCTAATTATTCTGCAGAAATGATGAAAGTGGTCGATTGCAGATACGCATCAATGACGCCACGATCAAAGAGTCCCACTGTTGATTCACCTTTGGCCGCCAAACATGCCGATTAGAACGTCATCAATAATTTGTACTTCTATAATATCTATACGTAGGTAGCTGTTCTCTCTGTCATACCTAACCTCATCTTATCAACCTCTGTGGAACAACAAAAGATCCAATTTCAACGACACATCAACATGTCTGCACGCATCGCTCGATCTTCAATGGCCTTGAGGCCCTCTATCCCTATCCAGCGTGGTTTTCGCACGACGAGATTACTTCGAAACAATGAGAAGGAGCCTATTGGACCTAAATCTCAAGATCGACCTATGAGCAAGAGTCAAAAGTGAGTTGTGTTGCTGAAGAGTTGAAGATGTGGGCTAATGGCGGAATAGTTCGCAGACGGTCATGTTGGGAGGAGTTGGTCTTGCGATTGGTGCAGGCTTCTTCTTCCTTATGTCACGACCTGAGAAAGCAAAGGAACAGCCTGTCGAGGGTGTAAAGTCAAAGCCCGTGAGCCCCAAATAAAGAGAGAAATACGACATACGAGAGAGTCTGGGGTGAGCTGCGTGGATATGCAGGGTATAGCAATTGATGGCGTAAGCGATGATTATTACTTCCAGAGGAATAAGAAAATAGGTCGTCAATAACAGAACCTACTGCAGCTATTTTGCATTATCTACCTACCAAATCATTATCATCAATCAGGCAGGTCGTCATATTACGGCATCTCCGAACCTATCACCGCAGAGCTTATATCCCTGTCAAGTTCGCCGTAGGATCTAGTTTACAGCCTCAAAAGAGGCAGCCAAGCCAAAGCTATGCCTCTATTCGTCTGTGATGTGATATACACGTGTGTGTCGCAGTCAACAGACCGCGTAATCAGCACACGACGCACATTTTCGTTCAGTTTCAGCCTTCTTAGGCGTTTTTCCCGCTATCAGCCCTACTGGGAATAGGCAGTGATATTTCCATGGTTATATAGCAGTAGCTGAAGCCTGCCTCAGTCGATCTGACAATCCCCCACTTCAACCTTCTTACTTTCCCCACACACAATGGACGGAGACGGCTTCTCGGTTATTTCACTTACCTCCCTCGGCTCGAGTGTTTCTCACCGTGTGTTGTCCAGTGCTGAAGAGCTCAATGAATTAAACACTGCGCTTGAAGTACCCGACGAGCGATTATCCTCGTTTGCGACGAGGTTGTATCAGCTTCATCAGCATGTGGGAGTTCTCGAAGCTGCGCTAAACAGCGCCAGCGCTATCTCAGGTCGATTGCAGACTACAATAAGTCAGAGTCTCGGATCGTGCGATGTCGTCGCGACTGTGTTGAATAAACAGGTTATGAGATTGCAGGCCGAGACGCTGCCGTTGTTGGATGAGGTGTTTTTGGTGGTTTACAGTGATGCTGTTGTTGCGTTTTCCCGGCTATTTGCATTTTTCGCAAAAGTGCTTTCAGTGTAAGTGGTTCATCTATCTCATCATGTGAACTTTTATTCATGAGGTGCTAGCGAAATTCGAGACGATCAGGATTCTATTCTTGATACCAAGAGTGGAAGAGAGATCTTTGATCATGTTAACAGAGCTTGTCAAAAAGCCTCGCAGACGAAGGATATTCTCTTCACTGGATCGCAGAATGAATCTTATGCATCGAGTAGTAAAGGACCTCTTCCTGGCGATATCGAACCTCCGCCATATGAACCAGCACAAGCTTCTTCAGCTCAATCGCCGAGTTGCGAATCGCCAAGTGGATCTTCAGGCTTTGCTAAAGGTCTATCTTCGTTGACAAACTCGTTCAAGGCCATGACAGCTGGTCTATGGCCAAAACCCGATCCTTTATCCACAGCTCTTTGTCAAGCAGCTCTCCGTGGTGATGTTCAACAAATGAGTGGATTACTCGCACAAGGAGCGAACATCAACGGCCGAAACGGAGAGGGCAATTCACCTTTGAGCTGTGCTATCCTGGCTAATCAAGAAGACGCCGTGCGCTTTCTCCTCGGTTCTGGCGCGGACACTAACGGCAGAGATATGAAAATGCCACCGGTCTTCCTGGCCGCATCAGTTGGAAGCATTGGCGTTGCGAAGATGCTCATCAATCAGGGTACATGGAACGTCAACGCTTCCAGCTGGTCTGGACAATCGTACTTCGTGGATGTTTGCAATAGTGAGAATTTGGAGGGTATTCAACTTCTTCTCGACAATGGTGCGAAGCCAAATACTACGAATTCTTCTGGACGGCCGGTTCTTGCGCAGGCTGTCAAGAAGGGTAACTTGGAGCTTGTTAGGATGCTACTCAGACACGGCGCGAACCCCGATACTAGCGATCTCTCGGGTAATTCGCTATTATCTATCGCAGCGAGCCAGGGTCGTATGGATATGATGAAGTTGCTCCTCGAAAGTGGAACAAACGCAAGCTCAAAGAATTTGAGCGGATTGTCTGTGCTCGCGGACACCATTGCAAAGAGAAAACTTGACATGGCAGAACTTCTTCTCAACCATGGAGCCAATGCCAGCGCAAAGGATCTCGTCGGCCACCCGATTCTCGTCATCGCCCTCCGCGATAGCAAGCTTTCACAAAACGAAAAAGTCAGAGCAGTTAGAATGCTTCTCGACCACGGCGCTTCACCAAACGTATCAGATGGAACATGGGGCGTCGCAGCGATCTGCTTCGCCATGGAAACAGGCAACACCGACCTCGTGAAAATGATGCTCGCAGCAGGATCAAACACGAAGAAGAAGATGAGCAACGGCGAGACACTTCTTCTATACGCTGTTGATAACGGGAAGAGGGACCAGGCTAAGCTTCTTCTTGAAGCTGGCGCTGATGCTAATGCGGCGGATAAGAAGGGCAGGACGCCGTTGATGCAGGCTATCTCGAGGAGAGATACGGAGTTGATAAGGGTTCTTAAGGCACATGGAGCGGATATGAATGTTGGAGGGTGTATTTCGCCGGCAGAACTGGCTCAGTCGATGGGTGATCTTGAGATTCTGCAGATATTGGGCTTTGGATCTTCGTCACAGAGAGGACCAGCTCGAGCACACTCACCGCCGCCGCCTGGATACGATGCAGCTATGGGTAAAGTATGATGAAGTGGAGTAAACAAGTGGTTGATACCCCTGAATAATAATTAATATTTCTATTTTCCCAAACGCCTTCTATTTTCGCTGTATTTATTGCTGGTTGAGAATCCCCTTCAACCACCACACATGTATCCTCTCATCCTTTGTCAACTCAGGGTGAAAGCTTGTCCCTAGTACATTACCCTGTCTAACAGCGACGATATCCCCTGAGTCGTCCTTTGTGTTGGCCTGTGATACGCCAGACTTCATCTTATCTACTCGACCAGGTAGTTTGGCCAGGACCTCAACTGGTGGTCGTCCATCGTCAGATGAACCGATGATTTCTTCCACGACAGGTGCGCGGATGAAAACACCAGGGAAGGGTTTGTTATCGTTTAAGAAGGGGAGATTCATGCCTGACTCGAAACTCTCCATTTGACGACCAAAGTGGTTGCGGTGAACGCGGACAGCGAGACCACCGATGAGTTCTTGGCCGCCTTTCTTGGTAGCATTTGCCTCGTCAGAGAGAAGAATAAGACCTGCGCAAGTTCCCCAGACTGGCCTCTTCTGGACTCTGATTTATGTTAGTATTTGGAGGAGTTTTGGAGTTGCGGGCTGCTTACTTGACGAAATCTCTCAATGGCTCAAGGAGACCAGATTGAGCGGCGACAAAAGAGATAGTGGTACTCTCGCCACCAGGAATGATAAGAGCATTGCACTGATCAAGTTCTTCTTTTGTGCGAACCTCGATACAGTGAAATTTCGTCTTGGAAATACCTTCCGTAGAAGAGAGGTATTCTGCGGCCTTTCGCACAAGATCGATATGCTCAGCGAAACCACCCTGAAGGGCTAAGACACCGACCGTAAGACTGATCATTTTGCCTTGATGATCTCAACAACAATGAACGATAGGTCTGTCAGATGATTGTAAGATGATAAAGACAAGGAGCGATAACGGACAGTTTAAACTCGGAGCCTTTCACCGAAGGCAAAAAGTCTTAGTCATTCGCAAGTTACAAACAAGATAGAAAGGTTCCCCAGATTCTGGTGATGGGTACCGGAGTGACCCAAAAGGGATAAAGACGTGCATTAGAGCGCATGCAGGTCGCATACACGACGGAGCCGCTAGAGTGAGAGTACCTCCGGACTACCCCGATTGTTCTCCGGGCTAAGAAATAAGAGTCGAGGAGGTGGTTGAACTATGTTGAGTCAGTTTTGTAACTAGAGGCCATTGGTACTGGGTCTAGAAGGGGTGAGGGAACAATATATGTGAACAATATAGTAGAGAGAATATGGCTTATCGTGGCAAATTCATGCAAGATAAGAGATGAGATGAGATGAGATGAGACATTATCTACGATCTACCAAATGATTCCATCCATGATATCACAAGAATCTAGAACAATGCAATGCATGCATATCCCCCCTCTTTGGATACTCCTCTTCTGCAAAGTCAAGTACCTTTTTGAGCCTCGTCTTCCCGACAATTGCCGCCTCTAAACATCGGCACATGTCAATGAATCATCCAATTACTGTTGCTGTAGGGCGCGCTTAAAGATGGGCCGGAGTTGGATGCCGGTGGGTTTTTACGCTGCAGAGGGGCTATGGCGGATTAGACTTGCATATTCGGAGGTGGCGGATGCAGTAAATTGGTGTCATCGCTGGACCCTTTGACTCCGCACTCACGGCGCCGTATACCGGGTGCGGAGGCGGAGGGCCGGAGGGGTACCTAACAGTCAGACTAGGAGGCACAGTAGTAGAAACTCTAAGATTTATTCTTCTCAACTTCTTATTTGAGTAATACCCTTTCTAGTCATTGACTCTGCCTGCATAGGGGAAAAAACTTATAACTGCACGTTCCCCTCTTCTCTTCGCCCCAACTCTCCAACTCAACCTTACCCTCATACCCTTCCCACTATAACTTCATACCTCACATCTTCACCATGACCAACGACTCCTCCAACACTGGTGCCGCCTCCAACGGCGAGGCCAAGTCCTCCTTCACCGTCAAGGCCGGCCTCGCCCAGATGCTCAAGGGCGGCGTCATCATGGACGTTACAAACGCTGAGCAAGCCCGCATCGCCGAAGAAGCCGGTGCATGTGCCGTCATGGCCCTCGAGCGAGTCCCCGCCGACATCCGCAAAGACGGCGGCGTAGCTCGCATGTCAGACCCCGCCATGATCAAGCAGATCCAAGAAGCCGTCACCATCCCCGTCATGGCAAAGGCCCGCATCGGCCACTTTGTCGAGTGTCAGATCCTCGAGGCTCTTGGTGTCGACTACATCGACGAGTCTGAGGTCCTCACCCCCGCTGATGACGAGAGCCATGTTGAGAAGAGCACTTTCGGCGTTCCTTTCGTCTGCGGATGCAGAAACCTCGGTGAGGCGCTGCGAAGAATCGCAGAGGGCGCTGCTATGATTCGAACAAAGGGCGAGGCTGGCACCGGCGATGTCGTCGAGGCCGTGCGACACATGAAGACAGTCAACAAGCAAATCGCGCAGGCCAAGGCCGCACTCGCCGAGGGCGGTATAATCCGCATCCGCGAACTCGCCCGCGAACTCGAAGTCGACGCCGATCTCCTCCGTCAGACCGCGGAGCTAGGCCGACTCCCCGTCGTCAACTTCGCCGCCGGCGGCGTCGCCACGCCTGCTGACGCCGCGCTCATGATGCAGCTCGGCTGCGACGGTGTGTTTGTCGGAAGCGGTATTTTCAAGTCTGGCGATCCTGCGAAGCGAGCCAAGGCTATTGTGCGTGCGACTACACACTATAAGGATGCCAAGGTTCTGGCGGAGACTAGCACGGGGCTTGGCGAGGCTATGGTGGGAATTAACTGCGATAGCATGAAGCCTGAGGAGAAGCTTGCTGGACGAGGATGGTAGATGGTGATGAAAGGGTGTTTGTTTTTGGCGTTGATGGGGATTCAACATGAAAAAAGAATAGGTCAAGGAAAATTGAAGGTAGTTGAGAAGATCAACTCGGCTAGATATGCATGGATGGTATAAGCGGGTGTCTTAACACCATAATTGATAACAAATTTCTCCCATCGTTGTTTCTGCTGTAATGAGTATGTATTGTGAAAAATCGCTGTTCCTATTGCGAGGTGTAACAAATAAGCTGTGCGCGTCCATCTTCATGCGAGTGAATGCTGTTCAAGTCGAACCCCAAGGTGCTACATATATAATGCCATCCAATGATGCCAAAATGCCACCATTCCGAAAATCATACCTGAAAATACCCCAAATAACCCTATATAACCATCGTATATAGGTACATAAAAGTCATATCGCCCATCAATTCGAAGGACTAGGTTCGCGTCCTCTTGACCTTCCTATCCTCTTCCTCATCTTCACTCTCCTCACTCTGGGGTCTCTTGGCACCCTTACCATTCTGGCGGTTAGCGGTATTTCGCTTCTTGTCGTTACCAGCCTTATTGTTCTCCTTGCGCTGCGTCTCAAATTAGTACTCACATCATAAAAGGATGGCTGTAGACTTACGACAAGCTCGGCAACTGGAGAATTGGTGATTCGGGAGAGCCACGATGAGCGTAGAGCCGAGTGAATCAAAACCTTGTTGTCCTGGAGGCGTCAGTCGTTGATTGATAAGTGAAAAGGGGGCGACTTACTCGAAAAGCGTTCACGAGGCGTTCCTAACGCTCTCCAAAACTAGCGAACTGCTCCCACTGACACTCGGCGTTGCTCCAAAGCGGAACGAAGTTACGATCCTGCTGCGACAGCATGGCTGAATCCTATCAATGTGGTTAGCAGAGCTTACACATCTATGAAGGACAGTCTTACGAGAATCTTAGAACTAAGAATCTCAATCTCAATGTTGGACAACTGACGATGAACGACATTCTTCCACTGCTCGTTCACAGGAGGCATCCTATAAAGAGGGGGCTCAATTTGATGATCAAGCATGTCAGGCGGCTCAACAGAAAGTCCCAATTTCTTTCGATAGGCCTTGACTTCTTCAACCCACTGCGCAGCAAGCTTTGATCCCATTTTAGTTCGCCATCCCCTGGTATTCGACCAGTCAACAATAGCGTTGAAGAGTTCCTGGACACAAGCGCGATACGCTTCGTGAGCCCGGGGGAATGTGGGATCCATGTCTACCGGAGTGACTTTTACTTCATGGTGTGCGAGGGAGAGAAAGACATTGTCTATACGACGAGCTTGACCTGGGTTCGTGATGTAGCCCTGGTATTCGTGGGTGAAGCGGTCCAGCTTTGGGAGGAGCCACTGTTGATCCGAAGTGTATGCTGTGATGTTGGCTGGGATCTTGTGACGTGTTGGTTCGCCGGGGGCAGCGACTCTGCGAGGTGGTGCTCGAGAGGAGGGGATGTGAGGTTGAGAGACTTGAAAGGTTGGGTGAGAAGTCTGCTCGGTTAGAGGTTGCTGGAGTTGATCGGCCAGGGTGAAGATGGGCTGCTGCCGAGGACGTTGAGATCGCTTAAACTGACGTCCGCAACGAGTGATGAATCGTCGTTGTGGAAAGGGCTCCATTTGCTCAAGTGCCGTCTGATCGTGAAATGGTTGGTTCATCGGCACAGGGTAAGACTGAGGTTGGTTGTAGAGTGGTGGATACGTCTGTGCCTGGAATGACTCCGGCAAGAAGTGCTCAGGATTCATGGGTGAAGAAAACTGAGTCGCAGGTGTGAGAGTAGTAGAGGTGGGAACTTGAGTATCATCCTCGCCGACGGTAGTACTGTTATCAAAAGTGCTCAACTGCTCATCCGACCCTGCAGAAACTGGAATCCGAGCACGGGCTGCTTTGCATGCCTCCATAAACTCTCTTTCAAAAGGATTAGGTGTTAGGAGATCATTTTCGATCTCATAGTGTGCCTGAGGGTTCTGAAAGGCGGAGTTGCTGGGGCCTATGAACTTAGGCACCTTCGTATCTTTAGCCTCCTCGATAGCATTACCATCCATGTGATTATTGAGACGCTGGTCAAAATTTGGGCTGGTAATACAGTCCAGTAGATGTTGGGTGTCTTCGTAAGACGTATCTCCCATGTTGAGCGATGGAAACGAGTGAATGAGTTAGGATGAGACGCAAGTACTAGGTGTTGGTTGAAAGTGAAGGTTAAGTTGAGGTGAAAGTTGTGCAGAGAAAGAAGAGGAATTAGCAGATGTTGACAGATATTTAGATTTATAGTCGAATATAAATGGATGCCCTGTTGCTTGGGACTAGAAGGTAAAAGACGTTTGATAGACGCTTGTTGCAGTGCTAGGTGCAGGATGGCAGTGGAAGCCTCTACTTAGGCATTATTCCAGCACCAATAAACAAAGCAGGCTGACACTCAAAGGACCAATCAAATCCTCAAGCAAAGAATACCAGCCTTTTGGTTCTTTGCCCACATGGTCTCGAGTACCGTTGGCTTTTGTTGTCCCCAAACGTCAAAAGCATGGTGCGGACAATATCATATGCAGCGTTTAAACTGAAAGATCATTATTTTGATAGATGCTGGGGAACTGAGGCCATGTATAAACAATCAATATGGGAAGCCTGCCATTCTGTTATCCGTTCCTTTGTATCTCATCGTCAAGAAATAGTTAATCAGCCAACTGCTAGACGTAACGTCTAATGCGATGATATTATTCTACTCTAGAGCCTCCAATTGTTGATTGTTACCGGTGACATGGGCTTGGGCTTTCCCAAAAGTACTACAAGCAGTTGCTTCCATGAGGTTTGGGATGAACAAACCATTGGCACGTAGACTTCAGCCTACCCAAGGAACAATCTCATTCTTCCTCCTCATACAGATGACCTGAAAGAAATTTATTGACTACCGACAAAAGGAAACTATTGAGAGGCTAGAATACCCAAGACTTTGAGGTCTTAACTTTTATTGTATCAGGGCTTTTGAAGCTCTTAGCTGGGACACCTGAAAGCAGACAGGCCTCAACTCAAAAGGGAGAGCAAACATGTCAATGATTATCCAATGAAAATCAGTCTCTCATTATCCAAGCAATTATTAAATATTTATTCCAACATAAAGACACCTTTCAGGGTACGTACGCAAAGAAATGGGAGCCTGCATGGTACCTGCATGGTTGGTAACAAAAGTGATGAGACAAACAGCACTCAACAACACATGCATTAACTTATACCCTGACATTATTTCTTGGTCCTTTGTTGACTTCCAGGTTAACATGTATCTTGTTCCACGGCCTTGAGTTCATGGAAGAGGAGGATATTATACCGTATCTGAGTTGGATGAGCGGTTCACGTCCACGTGCGTTGTGCACATCCTTTGAGCCACTCTGCCGGTAAGAATCTCAAAGAACCTTATGTTAACAGGAAAATGTCAGTACTTAAGCATTATTTAATCTGCCTAGATATATAAGCGAGAGGGACAACAGCGCTATCAGACGCAAATAAACAATATACAGGCAACTACATCAGTTCATAGACTCAACTCTCCCGGGCAGCACCAGATAAACACTAGATTCAATATCAACATTTCTATAGAATACCGCGCGCTATCGAGCAAAGTAGCAGGAAACAGCCCTAAAGATCATTCATTACTACAAAGCAACACCATAGTCCTGACATCCACTAAACACCCAGCTCCCCTCTCTTCTCAAAAGCGTAAACGCATTAACACCATTATGTTTAGGCTCCCCGTTAATCTCAACCACAAACGGCGCCCAAACCAACGCAATATCCCCATGTTTTCGAACCTGAATATCATGCAACTTCTCTTGGATAGTAATCCCACTCTTGATCATACCCTGCAGCCGAACGATGGACTGCTCCATAGTCATAGGGGCTGGGTCAGCGGGTGGTCTGTATAAAGTCACGCCAGCATTGGGGAGAAACCATTGTTTGAGGACGTCCCAGTCCGGATGAGAAAAATCATCTAGAAGAGCGTTAATGGGCTTCATGATTTCTTCTCGGGTGAGGGCTGATTCATCCTCTGGTTTGGGTGTTTCGAGGGAGCGCTCCGTTGAAGCGAGGCCTGAGATCTTCCAGTGCCCATCGGTGTAAGCTAATCCTAGGATGCCCTTCTTATGGCTGATGATGGTACCGTCATCGGTGCGGATGGACCACCCGGTCCAAACTGCAGCTAGTTTTTCGTGGATGAAGAGTTCTTGAGGTTCGTCTATAGCCCATTCAAGACGGCCTTTTTGCTTGTTGTCGCTGAGAAATAGCTCTCCCAGTGTTGTCTGTTCGATAGTGTCTGGGGTGGACTGTATGGCGTAAGAGGTCTCGAGAAGGTGGTTGCGGGCATCTTCGGGGTTTTTAGAGGAGACATTGAAGAAGTCCGTTATCGCGGAGAAAACAGCTGTTTTGGTGTCTTGAGGTTCACTCATTATTCTTCAAGTTTGTTAGTTCCCTTAATTTGAGTTAATAAAACGTATGAAAGAAAGAAAGCCCAAGGAATGTAAAGCTGACAGGTTGAGAGCTCTAATAAGCACAATGGATGACAGCGTGCCTAAGCTATCCATTCACCCTGCTTTCCAGACACTCATACCATCCAAGAAACCGGCAGTTGTTCAATCAATTCTATTCACGCTCTTATCTATCATAAACGAAATCACAGGGAAGAATAAGCATTAAGCGCCAATTGACCTCCCAAATGAGCATAAAGCACATTCCCACTCGCAATCTTGCCCGTCTTAATCAAATCCATCATCCCCGCCAAACTCTTACCCTCATACACAGGATCCGTAATGAACGCCTCAGTAGCAGCGCCAAACTTCATAGCCTCAATGGTAGTCTCGTCAGGAATACCGTAGATCTTGGCGTTGTAGTTAGGGTCGAGGATAACATCGTCGGCTGTGATGTCGTCCTCGCTGAGACCGATCTTTGCAGCTGTGGATTTGGCGATGCGCAGAACTTGGTCGAATGTTTGTTGCACTTTTCCAGAGGCGTCGATGCCGATTATCTTGCGGGCGGGAGAACCGTTCTTTTGGGCGAGTTTGAAACCGGCGATCATGCCGGCGAATGTAGAGCCTGTTACGGCGCATACGATGATGGTGTCGAAGAAAATACCCAATTCCTTCTCTTGGGCTTCAACTTCAAATGCCCAGCGTGCGAAACCCAGACCACCAAGAGGATGGTCTGAAGCTCCAGCAGGGATATAGTAGGGCTTGCGACCGTTGCTCTTAAGCTCATCTGTAAGCTTGGCGAGAGTTGTCTTGTGCTCAATACCGAATGTCGAAGGGTCAAGTCTCACATCACCGCCCATGAGTCGCGAGAGCTGAATGTTGCCGACCTTTTCATAACCGGGATCTTCCCAATCAACCCAGTGTTCTTGAACAGTGGCGGCTTTGAGACCGAGCTTTGTAGCGACGGCGGTTACGGCGCGGGTGTGGTTGGATTGGACGCCGCCGATGGAGACGAGGGTATCACATCCTTGAGCTTGAGCCTCAGCAGCGAGATACCTTTGCCTCCAAGTTAGTAATTGTGAATGAGTGTGGGAGAATTGACTTGCTCTAGTTTTCGGACTTTGTTACCACCGTAGGCGAGACCGGAATTGCAGTCCTCGCGCTTCGCATAGACATTGACCTTTCCACCAAGAGCAGCGGATATTCTAGGGAGGGGCTGAAGAGGCGATGCGCCGAAGAGAAAGTTCTCTCGGGGAATGCTAGCAAAAGGTTCAGGAAGAGTAACAACAGTCATTTCGTCTCTGTAGAATGCAATAAGATTGAATATCAGAAGTTAAGCCAAGGGAATCGTCTCGATAATAAAGTATCTCGACTCTTGGACCCCTCCGTTGCCGGCATCGCGGGGCACGAATGGCATGGTCCACTTTGAGAGCCAAGAGATTGACATTGAGGTTAGTGATTGGGTGATTGTGTTGTAGGGCGCAAGGGACACGAGGGGTAAAACATGTCATTTGATTTTTGGGGTATCTTTTGAAGAGCGAGTCAGTGGGAGACTGTGAAGTCGGTGGTAAATGTAGCTTCCGAGTCGGAGTGGGCGGGGAGAGCATATCGTGGGTTATCCACCGTGGGGAGATAAGCTGGGGAGGGAGATAGAGATGGAGTGATAGGGATAGATTCGGGGAACTTGCAAGTGTTGTGGGTATAGGCGGAAAACAAGGTGAATTAGACTTGCTGGTAGTTGTTGGAAATGAAATGTTGCTGGCGTGAGCTGAGGTGAGTGGGTAACCACTTATCCTCGGCCTAACTTACACTAGAAACCGTACCTAGGATGGGGTATCAACTACATTGTAGGGCGTATATTACATTGCCAGGAAATTCGGTATATATTCAAACTGAATTCTTATATACTTGACGCAAACTGAAAAGATCCTCTTGTAGTCCATGTATTTCTCTTTGCGAATGGGACTGTGTCTGTTGGCCCAAGGCTTCGAGACGAATCATGGTTGCTCCATGGCCAAGCCATCAGGACAATGACAGACAGCAGTACCGGAGTTCGTGTAAACTGCCAGCTTAACTCCGTTTCTTCGTCACTGGAAAACAAGGCAACCACACATCATACGCAATTCGGCGCATTTGAGGTGGCTGTGATATTGTCTTCTGAGAGTGTGCTCGAGTCTCTGATTGGTCATGACGAGGTTGGAAGAATGCCAAGACTTTTTCAATTTCCTCTTTGGGACAGCTTCAATATCATCAAGTCCAGAATCTGATGAAAAGCAGTAGTTCATATAACACCATAAAAGTAGATTTTGGGTATAAAACATGTAGAGCATCTCTTTCTATCATAATCATAAGCCAAGAGTATTGTTCATTCTACCCTTTCAACTGCTGCGTCCCCAATATTCCATATTCTCTAGCCAGTCTTTACAAGACTGCCACCATCAAAATGCCGTGTCAAAAGAACCAACGTCCTTCACCCACCGTCCCATCAAGAGACATGTCTCCCCTTCCCAACTTCTGGTTCCCAGTCTTTTGGAAGAACCAATTTCGTATCACCATTGAACTTCCTACCACAGAGAGATATCCCCAAGTCGAAGGCAGCACAGCTATCATCACAGGCTCAAACACGGGTCTTGGATTCGAAGCTTCTAAGCAGCTCCTCTCCTTAGGTCTGTCTCATCTCATAATGGGTGTTCGATCTCTTGAAAAGGGGAAAGTCGCAGCTGAGAGTCTTAAAAAGATTGCTCCCTCTGCTAGGATTGATGTCTGGCAACTTGATATGCAATCTTATGATTCTATCCAAGTTTTCGCCAAGAGATGTGATACTGAGCTTAACAGGATTGACTTTGCTATTCTCAACGCTGGCCTTTCTCCTAGCAATTTTGAACTTGTGCCTGGCACAGGCCATGAAGTTGGCGTGCAAGTCAACCATATCAGCACTGCTCTTCTCACAATCCTCCTCATTCCCATTCTGAAATCCAAAACCTCAGATCACGGCCCCCCTCGCCTCACAACCGTAAACTCTCTCACAGCCCATCTCTGCAAATTCCCAAACAAGGATGAAAGACCCCTCCTTGCATCCTTCGACGACCCAAAAATCACACCATGGAGTTCCCAAGAACGATACGGTGTATCAAAACTTCTGAACCAGCTCTTCATCGTAAAATTATGCGAGATAGTCAACCCTGATGAAGTTATCATCAACATGGTTGATCCGGGACTTACGAAAGGTACTAATCTTGGAGGACATCATGAAACTGGTGGTGTTGCTGGAGCACTTGCAGGGGCGTTCTTTGCGATTTGTGGAAGACCTGTTGATAGAGGTGCTGCGAGCTATACTAATGCTGTTTATGGGCATGGGAAAGAATCACATGGGTGTTTTTTGATGAGTTGTGAGATTGCACCGTAAGTTGATTCTTGATGAATGTTGATACAGATTGCTAACTTGAATTGTAGGCTGGCTGGTTGGTTCTATACGCATGGCGATGTCTTGGTAGAGCAAGTTTGGAACGAGACACTGGAGGAGTTGGATTTTGCAGGCGTCAAAGACATTATTTCCGATATTTGAATTCTGACTTACAGGGGACCAGTAATTGATTTGAGCCAAACAGTGTATAATAGAGATCCCAGTCCTCCTTACAACCTTTCGTTAGAGTTACATGCTATTTTCTTAGACTTCTGAAGGACGTTGCTGCCAAGTATGAATACAAAAATATTAAACTCATGCTCAGGCTAATAATGTGGCTTGAAGTGTTCATTTATGTAGTTCTGTCATAAGCGCTCGGAGTTAAAAAGCCCGAAATCCGGGATGACATCTACAGTGAACGTGAGCTGACATACTCAGCTCAAGCTTGAATAACAATTCTTTCACTCTGAGTCCTCGTAAGAATCGACGCAATCAGTTTACGAGCTGTATGTTTACTCAAAATCATGCTAAATTCGAAGCAGCAGACATCCCGCAGTAAGATCTCTTCCAGTCAGACATCTACACATTGACTGACCAAGTAGATCAAAGCTTCACATTCGTTACTCAAACACCATCGAAGAAATCTAAAGAGAATCAAAGAATTGTGAGAAGTCGTGCCCGTTCTAATTCGGCTCGGAAAAGTCAAGGGCAGGTCGAATCATGGATACTAAACCAAAAAGAAACATGCATGGCGTTGCAGGTTCCCGACGGAACTATACCTGGCCGCGTTGGGACAAACTTTTCTTTACTTGATTTTCCTGAGCCGCTGCAGGCATATATGGAAAATGATATCTTACGATGTCAGTTCCTCAGTTTTTCAGTATTTGTCTGAGCTAATATCAAGTAGCATTCCATGGGATGAGAGGATCATTATATCCCTCTGAGATATGTCTCCAAGTCGATGAGATGAAATCATCATGGACTACCAACCTTCTAGTCGACCAAGTATACTTCCATTCTATCATGTTCTCCATCGAAGCATACTTTGATACGCTTCTCGGGCGAGATTTCGGTTCTCTCGCGCACTTTCACTTTTTGAAAACGCTCAGGCTTCTTCAAGCGAGAATAAACAATCCTACAGACCCAAAGTCTGTTTCAGACGCTACTATCATGGTAGTTGTTATCCTAGGTCTAGCAGCTGAGATGATAGGTGATAGGTCTGCTGCCGAGAATCACGCTGCTGGAATGGCGAGGATAGTGGATTTGAGAGGAGGTCTCGAGATGTTGAGATTTGATAATCCCAGACTACCAGCCAAAGTTTGCAGGTGAGAACCTGTATGCAGTGTTTTGGACAATATCTAACATTTTCTAGAGTCGATATTGGCCTAGTCCTTCGCTTCGGCTGTAAGCCAGTCTTTTTCGACAAACACATATCCTGGAATCCATACCTCACAAGCCAAGGTCTAGTGCGCGGTAAAAAGAAGCCTCCGGGTACGAACCACGACATGGAAGCCTTTTTGAAAACTCTTGATCCCAGGTTATCAAACGTATGGAAAGATCTTGAAGAGTTCGTAAAGCTCAGCAACATCGCCAGCCAAACTGGTCGAAAGTTACAACCTAATATCTTCAGCGAAGTAATGGTATCAATTCTCTACCGACTACTCGCTTTATCTGTCGAATCAGTTTCAGAGAATGCTTTTCGACTTGGAATGATGGCATTTGCTGCGAGTATCTTTTTCAGATGGAGAGATATGAAGCAAAGACAAGTATATCTGGATGACACCTTCAAAGATGCTTTGTTGGAGTTGAAGAAGGCTTCGATTCAGCCACCTGCCAGTATTCTTTTGTGGCTTCTTGTGATCTGGAGAACAAATCCTGGACAAGACTGCAATGATAAAGTCTTTGAAGGGTGGATTCTAGAGGTTATGGGTGAGTTAGCAACCTGTTCGTGGTCTGAAATGCACAGGGTCTTGAAATCTGTTCTCTGGATAGATTGTTTGTTCGATGCGTCAAGCAGACGGGCTCTTGGACCGATACTGGGGAAGGCTGCTAGAAAAGGAGTGGAGGTCGATTCATGAGTCACTGCTCAGCAAAATCTTGTCGCCTCTTATGGATTCTCATATTGACTTTGTCTTCTATATAACTCCTTTACTTTTAATCCACTCAGGCTTTTTAGCGTCATATATTCCTGAACAAGCCGCCTCAACACATCCAGCTAGGCTTCCAAAGTACATCCCTCTTCCTGTAAGGCCCGGCCCATAATGAGCATATTTTCCAGAGTTCGTCATAATAGTCTTTGCTGTAGGTGGAATAACAGGCTCTGTAACCATACACCAGCAAATATCTGTCAATATCTGTATCCCAAACTCTTCTAACTGAGCAAGAAGACCTGCTTGTTCTGCCAGCTTGTACACGGACCGACCGCATGTAACTATCACTGATACGCTAGTGGCTTTTTGTCGCCCTCGGCAGAGATTGGCGAGTTTTCGTATCTCAGAGAGTGAGAAGTGTGGATTCCCCAGTGAGACAAGATCGATAGATTGGTTTGTTGGTGCGCTGTTGAGCTTATCCCAGCATTTTCCCATATCACTCAGCTTGACTTGAACAGAGGTGAACTCAGGGGCAATTACTTTCTCAAGCGTCGTTGCCTCTGGCGTCACACCGACGATATGGAACATTGGGGCGCTCGATATGGTAGCGAAAGCAGCGCCAAAGGCCTTTAGGTCGTCCGTCGAAAGACCCAATTTCTCGAGGCCCGTTATCACCGGTATTCGACTCGTCGATAGAGTTCCAATATAGTATCCTAACAAGGGTGGAAATGAATCGTCTAGCCCCGTCACATCTTCGATCCTAACGACCCTCACACAAACTGAAGCCAGCCGGTTGATGCCGAGATGAGGGCCCCCTTTAGGAGCCCTCCCCGTCAAAGCAATCGAGATGTCCAGGAAATCAGGATACTTCATAGTTCTCGCCCCCAAAACACTGTTCGCATAAACAACAGCATTAGATTCGGCCCAAGCAATCTGCTCGCCAAGCTTAGGCGCACTGTCAAGCTGATAAGGCGCACAGGTAAACGTTGGCCGTGCTCCCATGTCTGTATACGCCTTTCCAAGCGCATCAGCAGCTTCTCCGAAATTAGTATCGACACCAAGTGCTCGCCAGCGCTTCTGATCAACTGATAAAGAGTTGAGGGTTGTGGGAATTCGGACTTTACCGCCCCAGTCTCGAAGTCGCTCTGCCAGGGCGAGAGTTGCAGGGCCAGTATAGACGCAGCCATCTATGTGGACTTGTGTTACGTCCATGAGACGTGTTGCGCCAAGAAGATGAGCCATGCGGAGGACGATTCTGATAGCGACGCGGGATGCTTCGCCAAAGTCCCCTCTCAGAAGTTCCTGGTCCAGTGTTGAGAGTTTGATGCCTTCTAGAGCCGGTGTTGTTTCAAGAATTAGACCACTTTCTGTGTCTATCACTGAACCTTTTCGGTGTTTAGATGGCGGGTGAGTGGAAACGTAGCCGTCGTCCACGTGTATCATCAGCCCGTTCAGTCGAATAAGATGTCGAAAGTCTTCCTTGTTCAGAACCACGACAGGGATGGACTGGCTGAAGACTTCCTCTGCGATCATAACTCCCAAAGTGAGGATGTCTTCTCTTCGCTCAAATATGATTGCCTCAGGAGCTTTGCCGTTAAGCAATAACTCGAGCATAACACCACTGCCAGTACATGAGCCCCGACCTCCCGGAATAGCGAGGACAGTGTTTTGAAGATGCTGTCCACTCAGTGGATGGTGTCGGTCGATAACCTCACTGGTTTGAGGGTCAACGCCTCCCCAGAAGCTTAGCTCGAGGTCGCTCGCGAGGAGTTTGGCTGAGGCTCGACCTTGAACATAGGCTGTTCCAGTCCATGGGGCCTCGTCAATAGACCCCATGGTGCCTTCTTGACTGTATTCGGTTCACTTGATACGAGGATTACCTGATGATCCGAATTAGTTACACAACAGCTTACAGGCTGATGATAAGTTTCGCTCCAAACTTATCCAGAGCCACAAGAACTCTCAAGGAGAAGTAATAGAACTTACAAAATAGTAAACATTTCTAATAAGAAGATAAAATTCTTTATTTATGTTAAAGAAAGCATAAATTTGGCCGGAATCTTCGGAATATAGCCAAGCACCACCGAGGTTTGAGCTTTGATCTTCAAGCTTTGCAACGAGCGTCACAAAACAGAATAACAACAGAATCAGCTTTGACTCTTCATCAATGCTTGGAGAAACAAGGACTAATAGAATAGATCCCTAAACAGGAAAGACAGTATATCCTTGTTGTCAGTTCTCGAATTGTGAAAAAAGAATAACTTATCAACCCCGCACTACGCTTATCTCCAACATCGTGGAACTAGTCGGCTCTGGTCGGAAGGCGAAGCCGACATCACGGTCCGTGGCCCGATAATTCTTGTGTAACAAGTTGTGCCATACTGTAAAACATATCGTGTAGTTTCCACTGTCTCAATATGTATGAAGGAAACCTGATTTGAGCCGATGTGAGTGCAATATGTAGCAAGAGAGAAAGCTATCAATTGGACGTAAGATTATATAAGTCGAAAACAGTACTGAATTCAAGAAGCATTGAGTAACTGAGTTACGATACATTTTATATGCCAACAAATTTGATAATGCAAGTCTTCATGTAAGTTCGAAACATGGTAGGCTTGAGGTGTAGGTTAGGTCCATTGCCAGGACGTAGTCCTGCAACTTGCTCATATAAGAGAACCCAGCAACACTCATATGCCGGCTGGGGCTGAGAAATACGAGAATAGTGCCTTGTACATAGAACGAACTCGAATAGAAAGCTATTCGAGGAAGCAATGCAATATTACTGTGACAGTTTGTTCAATGTGGGGTAACCCGGCAGTGTTCGTCAATTTATATACGGGTTTTATTATTCGTCGGTCCATGTAGTGACCTTCCAAATACAGATATTCCTTGTCCAGGACTCACTATATCATGCCACTGCCCTCTTCAAAAGAACATCCTATCTGTGTTCTTATCTGTCCATCCAGGTACTCCAGACAAACCCCGACATCGGCCACTTGCGTCATTCCGCACTTCTCCACCAATATCCGAGCTCAATTGAACCAAGCTCCCTTCAATTCCCCAACCTCCACTCCAAAACTTTAAGCTACAAAAACCCGTTTGTTTTCCCCACGATGCGTGTCGCAACAGTCGCCAATTTTCTGGCCTCGGCCTCTTTGGCCATTGCATTCGATTGGCAGCAGGTTCTTGGAGATTGGGATCAAGAGCCTACCTCCGACGCTATCGCTAGCAACGACGATGCGCCCTCGTACCGATCCGAACTGCTGAGCTTGCACAAGTCTCTGGTTGAGACCTCCTCGGTTTCTGGGACGGAGCATGATGTGGGAGTTTGGCTTGAGGGGTATCTTGAGAAGAAGGGATATACTACTGCGCGTCAGGAAGTTGAGCCCTTTGAGAATACGCCGGAGGGAAAGCCGAGGTTCAATGTGTTGGCTTGGCGACAGGATGGAAAGAAGACCTTCGATCCTAAGGTCTGTGTGAGCAGTCACATTGACGTTGTTCCGCCGCATATTCCATATGGAATTGATGATGGCGAGGTTACAAAGGAGACTATGATCACCGGCCGGGGCAGCGTGGACGCCAAGGGTAGCGTTGCTGCTCAAATCACTGCAGTTGAGGACCTCGTCGAGCATGGAAAGATCGATCCCCACAAGCTTGTCCTGCTGTTCGTTGTTGGCGAGGAGGTCAAGGGCGACGGTATGCGCCGTTTCAGCGAAGCGATTGAGACCAAGGAGCTTCCATACAGCCTGGACGCTGTTATTTTCGGAGAACCTACGGAGCTCAAGCTTGCTTGTGGACACAAGGGTATGTTGGGCTGCGACGTTACCACAAAAGGTTTCCCTGGCCACAGTGGTTACCCATGGCTCGGCAAGTCAGCCAACGAGCTCATGATTCGAGCATTCGCTAAAGTCCTCGACACCGACCTTGGTAGCAGTGAGCTGTTTGGTAACACCACTGTTAACATTGGTCGATTCCATGGTGGTGTGGCGTCCAATGTCATTCCTGAGGAGGCCAAGGTTGGACTGGCTGTGCGAGTTGCGAGCGGAAAGCAGGCTGATGGACATGTTGTTGTTCATGACAAGATCCAGGCCATCTTTGACGAGGTTGACAAGGACGCTTTCACTTTCGACTGCACCCACGGGTACGGACCTGTGGAAGCAAACTGCGATGTCGATGGTATGTAAACCGAACTCTTGTGAGAGCGTCGCTAACATGTTCAGGTTTTGAGAAAATCACCGTCAACTACGGAACTGACATTCCCAACCTCAAGGGTGACCACACGAGGTACCTGTACGGCCCGGGAAATATTCTTGTTGCACATGGCGCGAGGGAGAACTTGACTGTTGCTGATCTTGAAACTGCCGTTGAAGGATACCAAAAGCTGATTCTTCATGCGTTGAAGCAATAAGTAGAAACCCAAATTTCCGCTGCTCTAGTCTAGTTGGGTATGATAGCCCGCTCAAATGAAATGACATCGTAAAGTTGACTTATGCACCTGTGATCTTTGCCCATCGCTCAGGCAGGATCTTGCTGAAGTCAAAGTTGCCATCAGGTCCCTTCTCAATGGCGCCCTTCTCAGTGACCACGGCGTCGATGAGTTCGGCGGGAGTGACATCAAAAGCAGGGTTCCATACGTTGATTCGCTGATCAGCGGTGGCAACGCGGACCTTGCTGCTCTCGTCCACTGTGCCATCGGGCTTGATCACAGCTCCTGTGACCTGTGTAAGCTCTTCCTTCTTTCTCTCCTCAATCTTGATACCATCACCAGTCTCGGTCTCAAGGTCGATGCTAGTGGTAGGAGCAGCGACAATAAATTTGATGCCGTGATGCTTGGCGAGAACAGCAAGTTGGTATGTACCAATCTTGTTAGCTGTGTCACCATTGCGAACAACACGGTCAGCGCCGACAATGACAGCGGCAATGTTCTTTTCTTGCTTTCGGTTGCGGAAAAGTGAAGCAGCCATTGAGTCAGTGATAAGAGTGCTGGGAATGTTCTCAAAGACCAACTCGAAAGCAGTGAGTCTGCTTCCTTGGTTGTAAGGTCGAGTCTCAGTGCAGAAGGCGTGTTGAAGAAGGTCCTTGGACTGAAGAGTTCGAATTATTCCCAAAGCAGTACCGTGGCCAGATGTTGCAAGTGAACCAGTGTTGCAGTGGGTAAGGACTGAGACCTTCTGGTCAGGAGAAGCACCTGCCTGAGCTCGTAGCCACTCAGCTCCATGGTCACCGATGGAGAGGTTGGTCTGAAGATCCTTCTGGAAGATCTTCTCTGCCTCTTCGATGAAAGCTGTGATAATCTGTTCCTTAGTGGCAGTGCTCCCAACCGCCCTTATCGTAGACTTGAGCTGGTTAATAGCGTTGGTCAAGTCGACAGCTGTAGGCCGGCTTTCTTTGAGATAATCAAGAGCTTCCTCGATTTGAGAAATGGTATCTTCAGCGTTTGAAGCTGTGATACTTCCGTTGTGGAGTTCAACGGCCAGTCCAAGTGCTGCTACGATGGCAATAGCTGGTGCACCTCGCACTCGCATAGTTGCGATGCTGTCGAACGCCTCTGTTCTGTTGGAGACATCATCGTAGTGAAACTCGTGAGGAAGGCGGAGTTGATCGAGGACCTGGAGTTGGCCCCGAGTGTACTTGACAGCCTTAAGAGAAGACATGATGAGGCTCAAGATTTGGGTTAGAAACGGCTTGAAATGAGAGAAATGAAGAAGTTAATACGCTTATTAGTCGCAATTCCTTCACAAAATGTTGCCCCTCCAAGATTCTGCCGCCACCCCGCCGTCAAAATGAAAATAGCGTCATAATGCCCAACCAATCATGAAACGCACGTGCTCTCACCGCCTGGGACCGGACAAATGCCGCTTCCGGCGCATGGAGATGAGCTAAGGAAGGTACCTCTACGTCAACAGGGGTCTCCAATCATTATCCACTGGAGCTCGTTCGGGACAGCTTTAGCGGTTCAATACCATCTCGATTGAGATACCTTCACTGTCCTTGCACAAACAGCAATGACAAGTGCGCATTCGAGCTGTTTGCCATGGAACAGCCATTCTCGACGTCAAAAGTGACTGGTAAGTCTTGAGCTTCTTATGATGTTTATTCCCTGTAAACCTTCAGCCTCCCTTGAGATGTCCGCTAACACGACACCTTGTCGCAAGTCGAGTACTTCGATCCTCACGATGTTTATAAACTCCTCGCCCCTGGGCTGATTCCTCGTTTACCGTTGCGAAATTTGAACTGGCAATCGCATGCTGGACCTCTACGATCGATAGATACACTTCACGTTGAGCTCCTTCAGGGGGATGACCCTGGATCAACTTCTTCTCCTCATACCCTTCGACGATCAGGAAGCACGGTCGATGATGGCTTTCAACAACAGAACTTTGGCGGCCAGGCGTCTTCAGCTGATCAGATAGACACCCAGTCTTTGCCTTCGAGGGCCATTGGAAGTCAACGACGACATCAAATTCCTGGTCTGCGACGGACACCGTATCTTAAGGTACTCCTAGTGAGATGCGACGACAATGAAACATACAAAACCTCCGTTCGTGCCGAGATTCGAGAATGGATCAAGACCCAAATACCTTCATCAGGCAACCCGAAGCGAAATAGCAAACAAGAGAAGCACGATGCGTTCGATTACTTGATTCTACACGTGGTGCTCCCCAATACGGTAGCGTCGACGCAGCCGAGGACGAGCTCTCGCTCGCAGGATACTTCAGAGAAGTCGACTCCACGATGGCGCACCGGTTCAACACCGCTGCTCGAGAAGCTCCGTACAGACTTTTCTGGCCTTGGAAAGACGGCACCAGACCGAGTTGCACAGATCAGAATTGGAATCAATGATCTTCCGTACGATCAGCTACCGAGAGTGGTTCCCGCTGTGCCGACGGGATATTCAGAAGATGAGCATGATGCCGAAAATGCTTGGGCGGAGCTCATTGCCAAGCTCAAGAGTCTTATTCTCACCTCATTCGATTTGCGCGTGACACAGTATGAAGAGGATATCAAAGAAAAAGACGGTCAACGAAGTTTACCAGGATGGAACTTTTGCACTTTCTTTATCCTCAAAGAAGGCTTGGCAAGAGGCTTTGAGAGTGTCGGTCTTGTTGAGGACGCCTTGGTGGGATATGACGAGCTTAGTGTTGGACTTGACTCTGTTGTCAATGAGCAAGCTGATGAAGGGTCACCAACGAGACACGGAGGTGCAATGCTCAGCTATACTGAAGAGCTCAAGGAGATTGTCAAAACCGCTCTTGCCAAAGCACCTGGCGGAAACACAGAAGACGAAGAGGCTGTGGATCTTCAATCGAATGAGACTATCAAGGAGCAATTTGATGAAATACCCATCAGTGCTACCAAGAAGGCTTACAGAGACAAGATCCTAGCCAACGATGTCTCAGTTTTTGACTTCCGTTGCTATATCTTTGCGCGACAAATGGCATTGCTCTTGCGGCTTGGAAATGCCTGGTCATCACGAGATGATCTGCTCGACAAGCTAAAGGAGCAACAGGACTCTGTCTTGCACGGAGTTGCTCCTCTGGCACCTCCCCCCAAACATACTGAGGAGACAGAAAATTTGGCAAGTCTTGGTGAAATATGCCGAAGGACTTTACAGTTCATCCCGGCAGTATCGCAGATTATGCGACGAGACATTTTAACTGCTGTGGCATCTGATAAGTCTGATGAGGATGATTCTCCTATCGATCCCAATCTGTCTGAAGTCATTGACAATGTGGTCGCGTCATTCGCATTCTCAGTTGCTCAACAGATCCTTGCGCAAACAGCATCAAAATCTCTACCTATCCCCCCTCAACCCTTGCTCCCCCTCAAAGCCAGGAGCAAAAGTCCTCCATCCCTGAACCCAAGACTATGATGCACCCTGCCCGAACCACATCTCTTCATGTGTCAACAGGCCCAGCACCTGGGACTCGTCCCCCACTAAGCCCAGGTGTATTCCCAGGCCCGGGTATGCCAAAGACCAGCAATGATCAGGAATCACAATTTCTCAAAGCAGGTCTTGAAGATCTGGCCGCTAGACGCGCCGAGCTTTATATGCTGTCACGGAGCATTCTTGATGGCTTGGGTAAGAAGCGTGGATGGAGTGATGGCTGGAAAGAGGCGCCCATTATCGCAGAAGCTGAGGCAGACTTTGAAGAAATCAGTCTGGATGATCAGCCTGCTGGAAGTGGTACTTCAGAGGAAATTCCACCATTGGATGCTGGCGTCAATAGCAATCTCCTCCAGACGGCTATCGACAACCCAGAGAACTTTTACCGTCTGTATGAGATTCTTACAGATAAGGCGCTTCGACACTATACTGTTGCAAACCATGATCATGCGGTGCAGGCAAGCATGGCAGATCTTGCTGTGCTCAATTTTTATCTCAAGGAGTACGGTACTGCTGCTTCCTACTTTTACCGAGCAACGCCATTCTTCGGCGAGAGTGGTTGGACCTCACTCGAGTTGTCTATGCTTGTCATGTATCTCCACTGTCTTCGCGAGATGAAGTCAAAGGATGATTATGTACGTGTTGCTCTCAAGCTATTGACCAAGTCTTGTGCGGCTGAAAAGGAGAGGTTAGAGCAACGCTCAAAACGAGCTTCAAGGGTCGGTAAGCCTGAACCTGCGGATGCAATGTCTATGAAGGGAGTCGTGGGTAACTTGTTTGACCTGGCTTCGTCGTTGTCTTCGCAGGTCAAGGTGCACCTATCGAACTTCTTTACAAACATTGAGCTTGCAGGTGCTCCCGAGTATTTTGATAAGGAGGATAAATGCTCCTTGACCATCAATCTGTGGTGTTTGTTGCCGGACGACATTAAGTTGGACGGAATAGACGTGCGAGCCACAGCTTCTGAGGCTGGACCAACTAAAGAGTTGCATTTCTCGAGAAAGGGAGACATCGTACTACAGCCTGGCCAAAACAGCATTACAGTTGAATGCACAGTAAGTGCCTATACTCATTATAAAAGATGATGCTAACAACTTCAGTCTGTTATCCCCGGAAAATACAAGATAGATCATCTTGGACTTTTCTCGAGCAATCTCTTCCTTCACTTTGAACGCGACATCAACCAACCACCTCCACAAACTACTGATATCTTCAAACATCCCGAAGTCGTCATTTTCCACCGAGAGGGTGCGCTTGATGTGCAGCTTGTAGCAACAAGGCATACTTCCCTAGACAAGAACAACACATTAGACTTCACTCTCAACCCAGGCTGGAACTCAATCAAGAGTTGCGAGATCCGTATCAAGCCCACTACTGGTGGCTTGCGGATGTTAACCCTTGAAGCTCAAGTTATTGACTCAGATGTCGAGTTTGCAAAGAAGCCCGAGTCGGGTGGTATTATCTACTTCAACGAGATTGCCGCTGATTCAACCGTCATTTTACGATTCCCTTACTCGGTTGAGCATGATATCGCTGATGTGTCTGCTAAGGTCGACGTCGCGTACACACTCGAGTCGGGTCAAAAGTACACGTTTGCCAAGTCGATAATCATTCCCATCTCTCTGGCACTGGGTGTCAATGTGCAAGATGTCTTCAAGCACAATGCACTTTACTCACGGTTCAATGTGTCTACAGCGAGCCACAGTCCTCTACGGCTATACAAGAGTGAACTAATACCCTCGGATTTGTTCGAATCTGAGTTTGGCGTTCCTCCTGCTGATACAACTATGGTGTTTTCAAAACAACCGGCAACACTGCTTTACCGCATCAAAAGGAAGACCAATGTTAGGTCGAGTAAACGAGCAGCGAGGACTATGTATCTGAAGCTCTATTACAACATTCTCCAGACAGAGATCGAGGAGGCGCTTGTTGAGTCTATCTTTGACGCTCTTGACGATCCTTCTTTGGCATCGTTTTCGAAGCTCATCACATCGCTGGTTGTGAGAGAAGCCAAGGCCCTGCAACCCATTGACCTCGAGCGAGCTGCACTTCTCGGTGCAGTACCTACCGCCTTTCTGGCTGACGTTCCTTGGGATAAGTACTTTGCTGGCATTGGACGAGTACCTGGAACGCAAGTGGATGCAACAGAGAAGATCTCAACTGCTATCAGGGAATGGCAAGCCTCCAATCCTCAGATCCAAATCTCAGCAGCGCAGCCTGACAACCCCTGCACACTTCTCATCCCGGTTGAGATACCTTCACTGCCTATCCTGCATACAGCAGATATCGAGCTGCAAACTCCAGTAACGGAATTGATGGAGCAGAAACCTGGTGCTGTCCCAACTGTGGCTGTTAACCAGATGCTTCCAGCCACACTGCATCTTAGGTGGACGCAGATCTGGGACACTGAGATGCAGCACAAGAAGGATATGGAGTATAGTTACGAAGTCGCTGCCGCAGGAGATACATGGCTTCTCGGTGGCCGCCGAAAGGGCCACTTTGTTATCCCAGGTTCAAAGCGTGAGCCTCTATCCTCAACATCCGACACGGAAGCCGAGATTCCACTCATCATGATTCCCCTTCGAGAGGGTTGGCTGCCATATCCTGGTATTGAGATTCGGGAGGTCAAGGATGGAGTAGAGAATCAGGCTCAGACTTGTGAAGTGGACTTTAGGAACTTAGGAGAGTCGATACGAGCTGTGGGTGAGAGGAAGGGTGTGACGGTTAGCTTAGATGCGAGCGGACCTGGAGGAGGACCGTTGGTGTTGGAGAGTGAAGAGCCCAAGAGGGAAAGGGGGAGGGTAGTTGCGTAGATATATGTGTATAATAATGAGAGTCATTTCGAATTGGAATCATATCAGCGTTGCCTTAAAACTTCCATCCAGCTACGCCCATCAAGTGAGGTCACAGTTACCAAAAGGAGAGTGCACGAGCAGGGCCAGCCAATGACAATCAAGCGGCCCGACCCCAGATTCTAGCTCTAATCCTACTACCAGGCAAAAGACACGGTATACCAATAGATCGAGGAAGCAAAAACAGAGGATTCAACTGTCTGAGACAGCTGGGGTAACGATGCCCCGTACTGGAATCGAACCAGTGATCTTCGCATTACGAGTGCGACGCCTTACCACTTGGCCAACGGGGCCGGGGCGTGTCGTCCTCTTGTTGGCATGCTCGCTTAGTTTTGGTGTTTATATTTGTGATGGGAATAGTGTTTTGGTGTCTTTGAGACTGCTAGAGCCTGCTTGAGTTGATGTTGCAAGGAGAAACCGGTACTGGGTGTGGTTTCGAGCGGCTGAAAGATCTGGCGGGTGTGGAATAGCAAGCTGGGTTGTGTCAACGTTGTGAAAAAGGCTCTTTGGCTGGTATACCTAGATACAGGCTGTAAGTTGTTTCGGAAATGGAGGGAAAACATGCTCTGGGCCGCTTCATTATGAGATGCTGCCATTAGGATGACGCCTTGAACCGTGAAGAATGAGAAAGAGAATGCTGTAAAGTCGTGAGAAAAATACGAATGTTGGAATGCGAAGGAAATCGTTTGTTTTCGGTTTGATGTTCTGGCGCTGGTGAAGAAAACCCGGCATTGTAGGACAAAAGTTTTTCTCACCTGCCAGTGGCTGCCACGGCTTTGCCACTTACTTACAAGTCATGTTCCCGCATGACCTTCAAACACTATTCCCTTTACTAGGTACCATTTAACTGTTGGTTCTTGTACTTGTATTTCCCTTCTTAAATTGCTCGTTTGGACTTGATTGACTTACATAATTTCTACGCAGCAGCATTTCCGCCTCAGCTCTAGCCAAGTGATGAAGCCCAGCGCCTTGGACATCGTAATAGCGAGTTTGGCCTCGATATGACATCCAATATGATATTAATAGGTAGAAAATACGCATGATACCATATTAGAACGCAATGTGAGACTCGTTCACAACTTCCTGCTATAGTGACGAAGAAGACAACACCAAAGAGCAAAATTGTCATTACCTTGCACAAACAAGAGCCTCATGAGATGTAGTTAGCAACAAACAGGCCAATCCTTAAGGCTTACTCAGGCCCGAGTGTGTATCAGCCGAAAGAGCCAGCGGTTTAGCGCATTTCTATGCGTCGACGTCGAATCCCCCGTCAATCATCTGCACAATCAGTTCAAGTAAAAGGACGCAGCTGCTGATATCTACAACAGGGGGCTCAAACTTGTACTGATTAATGGTTTATCCCCCCTCAACGATCGCTACGTGAGAGAAGTAAACATTCGAAACAGAAAATACAACCTAGGCCTCCGACTCTCTTGGAGATTATACCTACGGAGCTGCCAATGTCAGTATCAAGATAATCCGAACTCGACATCACTCTCTTAGTTCACTGGAACTCACAGTTTCAGACAGCCATCATCGAAGCGGAAGCCCGGGCTGCTTATTATTTTGAGAACGACTCCATGTTGAATGGCCTGGGCGTCGACGTCTCTCCCTTCGAATGTCCAGGATCGAAGTTCTTTGCCAGGTTGTTAATCAGAATGAGCAAAGGATTTGCAAGAGGTCTATCGAGATAGACGCAGAATACCAACGACTTAATCGAGGAAGTTTCTCTTCTCGACCTCATCTAATCAGCGAATGAACATTTCTACTCTCTTAATCCTACCCGAACCCAACCGTCCAGCGTTTAGTATGTCACGACAAAATATTGGCGAGTTGAGACAGGGAATTTAACAACGCAGATCTGAAGCATACGAACGCCAGGACCAGATTGTCTATACAGGTGGTAACGTCATGCCAGGGCTGCAATTCTGTTTGCCGATTTTGTTTTGCCAGCTGGTGCCTACGCCTTTCCAAGCTGGGTCTTCCAAACCAACGCTTGATTCAATGAGCAAGATAACAGTTTGTTTATATTTATATCCCGCGGCCAATCCATCATAGACCCCCAAGATTGTTGTTAGGGCTCAGCCATTGTCACAGTTTCCTCCATCTATTGCTTTTCGTACTGTACCTACTAGAAAGGAATTACTTCTCCCATTTGGTTTCGTCCGAGAGATAGTCGATGGATATCACTCACACGCTCTCAGAGTCTGCTAGTGGTGTTATTAGTGGTGATGGTGAACAGGAGCCCCAGAACACCACTGACACAGCGGACGAACTCGAGTCTCACTTTGCCCACTCTTTGTCGCCATTTCGGACTCCAAATCAGCATGATTTATATGCTTCATTCTTCTGTCTAACAGACGCGACAAGAGTTCCTCCAGACATGATTACGAAATGTCTTGCATCGAGAGAGTCGGCGTCTGAAGGTAAATCTTTAGAGCCATAGGGTGTTCGGTTTGTTGTCGCTTGCAAGGGTAGACGCCCAGGCTGTTGGTCTGGAGGTGGGACACTGTATTGTCGCTGTTGAGGTTGCTGCATTGCGAGGCCTGACTGCTCATAGAGTCTTTCTGTGGTGTTTGTGGTGTCTGAGCCTGGGCACATACATAAAAGAATTATGTGTCAGCACCGTCCTCGTGGCCTGGTGAGCAACGACACGATACGTCCTTGGTATTTTGGATCTGTACACGAGATCATGTACTATATTCCCACGACGTATGGTACTGCTCATTACGGAGCCAGAATCCTATAGTGGCTGAAAATAGCTTTCGCTGTTTTGGAAAGGCCTTCTCATGGTTTATCTCGGAACATACCATATAAGTCGCCACGAAACACTTTCCAAATACTTCATACTGCTCAAGAAATTGTGTCATGGTCTATCAGGCCCCGATTTCGCACCATACCCGTCACTGAAGGGCCATACGCCACCCTGGGTGTTATTAATGGGCTGGTATGAAAGGCCAATACAGCGCTCCCCCGACTTGTTCACGGAGCTCTGAAGCCCGCCGCCGATGAACTCATGATGAAAGAATGGATTGAGCACGATGCACAGGAAGGATGCAAGTCGCTGTTAGGAGGATATGTGATGTCGACGGATGCGTTTGAGAACCAATTCTCCCAATCAAGGTTCGTCGATTGTAGCAGCGTTTCCATTTCTATAGGATCATTGATTAGAGATGGCAAGGGGTTTTGGTGAAGTGACTCTGGTATTGCAGCCTCTAGGGTGTTTTCTGCTCGCCGTCTTAGACCACAGGATCTATGCGGAGTAGCCTTCAGATGGAATTGAGGAACCCGATTTATGAAATGGATGGTGGTTTTAGTATTTAGTGTATTAATGGGTATGATTCTGTTGAATACGTATCCACGGGAGTCAAGTCCCAGACTTATTGTCGCTCAAGTTTGCGGACAAAGACACAATCCAGAGTCGTCTTTAATTAAAGAAATATTTTATCTCTGGCAATGCTTAGGCTCTCGTCGAAATTCTGACTATCAGTTTTTAACAAAATGGTATTAGATCAATACAAGCTTCTCTGAAACTGCCTGTCTTGTGTCTATAAAATAACAGGACGTTCCCATTGGTCAATAAACTATAGTAGATTCGAGTCTTCTTGCACGGCAGACTTCAAAAGGGTATTAAAGAACACAATTATGATACATATGAACAAGGAGAAAAGAACCAGTTTCTCAAACTCATTTATTAGAGCGCAATATTAGTACATCAGCTGGGGTTAAGTGATATTGTCATTGTAGCTAGAGGCTTGGGCTGGTGTCAGCAATATAGCCTTGAGATATAGGTAGTTCGCCGAAATATCTAGCGTGGTATAGCTTTGACCTAAACTTCTCAGCTGATCAATATAATAGCTAGTCTATCCATATCTACTTTTCAGCTGTCATGCTATTGCATTATATTGATTTTCATTCTTGCCACCAGCTAAGCAAGGGAACTAACTAGGTCGTCTATCTAAGACAATGCCGTCAATTTTCGGCTTCGCATCAATACTCACCTCACCGATGGATGCATCATCCCTGTCACTCCCAAACCTCAACACCATCCTTCCAACATTTTTTCTCGCTCCGACATAGAAGGCTTCGTTCGCCGGTACAGCCGTCCAAATGGCCGGCAACGGCATCAAACTTTTTTTTTTATCAGCAGCCACAAACGCCGAATACGCAAAAGCAAATTCCAGAAGAACTCTCTTCTCCACACCCGGAAACAACACGGCAACTAATGGAAAAATTCTAGATGCACCAGCAACGGGTGGATAAAACACCTGGGCCCCAGTGTGGAGACCGCCTTGGTGATGGGATCCATGGATGCACTAATGTATGAAGGGACATACCCGGTCTATCCATCTTGCAGTTTACAGAATATCAGTGTATGAACGGGGCTAGTTCAGTTTAAGGCGAATCCAATGGTGGAGATGTTAATATCACAAAGTATCAACCCGGAATATATATTAAATCTCGATTTTATTGACTCCTCAACTCAGGGCATTGCATTGGTATCATTCTGCAAAGGCAAAGGCAAAGAATAAGACACTTCACTCAAAAACAATGATGATACTCTTTTTATGAACCTCACTCCGTGCCCCCTGGCAGATAGATGTCAGTAACCCATACCCATCACTCCACTCTGAGCTTCTCTCTATAGAAGCTACAGTAATCAAGCCTTATAATAATACCATGGTACAATACAAAAACACCAGACATTCATCCTAGTCCTTGTATGCTGCAATCTCAAACGCCAAACCAATGCGCAAAGAAAGGGTACAGTAACCCCGACAAGACGTAGCGCAATGCAGGTGATGCAATATGATGCAAAACCGACAAATCCAAAGCTCCAGTGTACTCCCACCGTGCGATGATCCATCCATCATGAGGGATCGATCCCATCTGCTCCCGGTTTCATAATGCGTTAATGTACAATGAAATGCAAATGTAATGTTTTTTTCTCTGCCCTAAGAGGTAGAGTTCAAGAAACTGCGCTGTCAAGGCGCGGGTATCATGCCCACACAGGGCCCTAAAAAGTCGCGAATCCCAAGTATAATGTCGAGTTCTTCTAAAGTGTTGGCGTAGATGTAGTCTCATCTAGCCGGTCGAATCGGTGTATGGTGGTTGTGGATGTAAAGCGAAGACATTGTGTTTGATGTCTTGAGGCAGACTTATTTCTTGCGTTGGCTACTCGTCGCTGTGATCTTGCTAGTGCTCATCAAGTCGCCAATGTACTTTTGCAAGAACTTGTTGTTGTTATCAAGCTTGTCGTGTTCTTCGCGAACGGCTTCAATGCGGTTAAAGATTGTTAGAAGAGAGTCCTGTAATGCCTTGGCGTGTCTTTTAAGAGTCAGCGATAGCTCAGAGTGAATTGATCAATGGGCAAAACCATACCTTCTCATTTCTTCTCGCGCAGCCTTTCCAATCCTATCAAGGTCCTCACTCGTTCTCCTGGGGCTCATTGCCCTGACGTCATCCGGGCCAAAGTCAGGCTCGAGAGGACCAACTGCTGAGCTGTCGCGAGGGACAACTAGAGGGCCGCTGCTTTTCCGTTGCGGTAGGCCAGGTCGGACAGGGACGGGCTGATGAATAATGGGTTCGTTGTTCTCCTCAGGGCTCGATGATGTGGAGGAATCTGATCGTGCGATTGCATGAGGGTGCTCTGCAGGAGCATTTGGGAGTTCGTTGACTGCCATTATAGTATAGTATGTGGGTGAAGAGGTGGTTGTCGCTCGATTCAAATAACTCGTAATATGTCGTAACTTGTCGCACAGAATATACGTTATTGCGACATCCACAATCGTGACGACACAGATAGCAGTAAGTAAGGGGCGCCAAAAGTCAACCTGAAGAGTTGACTCAATGAATTAATAGTATGTCGGTGTAGCTGTCCCAAGAGTCGCGTGAACTCGTCGAGGGGAGTTGTGGAGAGGGGCAAGTCGAGACCAAATAGTTCCACGTGGTTTAAAGGTCTCGAAGTCGGAGCATGTACGCTTGCGAGGGAGGTAACGATTTCGGATCCACTAAGGGTGTGATGAGGCTGGATCGTGTTCTAGAGGGGGTTTAGAAGGCGGAGTTGGCACGCGGAGAGGCCGATTAGTCTAGCTGCAAATGAACTCGAATCTTGATCGCGATTGAAATGGTGGCTTCGGTAGCGGTAGATAAGATTCGCAAACGCTTGTGTTTTGAGGGTATCGTGGGTTTGGTGGCTTCAGTCGTGAATTATGATGTCGAAACGGGAGGAATGGGTGTGATTGAGTGAGGGTGTTATAGTTTAGTCGTCGGAGCTGAAGATGCTGGCGGCAGGTGGCGGTCAGAGAATACTAGCCTACTTTGCTAAAGAATCGAAGCAGGTGGTGGAAAGGTTTTGTTGAATTGCGGAGGTAAAGACCCTGCAAAAGCGAGCGGGAATGTCAGCAGATGAAGGGAACGAAGAGTAAGAATTGATTTGTTTAATGGCAGGGGCAGCATGCGAAAATAAAAGGCAATGTAATATAGAGCAGCAACGTCACATTCAAGGATAAATGCAGGTGCGTAGGAGTTAGTGAACAAGAGGGGATAACTAACAGTAACAGATTGGAAGATGAATAATAATCAAGTGAAGATAGAATAATGATAACTGATAAAAAGAAGAATAAAGAAGACCAACCAAAAAAGTTAAAAGTTAAATTGAAAGAATATGACGAATAAGTCAGAATGACCAATCTCGGCAGTGGCAATATATTCCAAGGCGCAAACAATTATGAAAGTCCAGGAGGCAATAGTTCGGCCAACGGTTGCGGACAGGGCAAGGCAGGAAGGACCCTTCTTTTGAAATGGCAACAGCGAGCGATGGCAATGGCGAGACAGGGCAGGTCGGGTTCGGAGTGGAAGCGGAAGGTGGCAGGTGCTAGATGACAGGAAGGAAGAACCCGGCCAGCAGAAAAGAAGGAGCGAACCCAGAACAGAAAAGGAAGAGACAAAAGAGGGGAAGGGGATGGACGAAATGGGGATGGGAATGTTAAAGTGGATTTCTCGTCAATTTGATAATTTCGCTGGACCTCAAGCTGAGGGTCATCACTACTTCACTAGGCGTCGGGATATTTTTCTAGTTCTCTCTCTACTGTATGTACGGCGACAGTACCTACAGTGTGCCACTGGGGGTTCGCAGCAGGCACAGACACGAGGAGCAGGTACCACTTAATGCTCCGTAGGGCCAGGAAAATCGGCAGTCGAATAATAATGGGCTCTAGAAGAAGAAAAAGAGAGAGAAGCGGGCAGCTACAGTATCATCGTGTCTCCCAAGGATGAGGATGGGACGAGACCCTTGGAAAGATACAATGGACTTGGGGGGGGCCCAAATAAGGAAAGTGACGACAGAACAGGGAGTCATGATACTTGAGATCGACGCCCCTCGGTACAGCAAAGACCATCCTGGGACAAGTGTTTTATCGCATTAAATTATATGGGACTGTACCTATGCGGGTATCTGTCATCGGGTATCCTGACCCAGGCATTCAATGTCGCGCTACAGCAGGAAACAGCATCCTTGGATTGGATGACAGTGGCACCAGCGTTCTCCCACGCGACTCAACAGTCCCAAATGGAAGGAAGCTTATGGAAGCTCACCTCACTGGCTGTCCTCCGCTGGGTGCAGAGGTACGTACAACTCCTCCACAGAAACACTGACCTCATGCCGCATCCAATATTGAGATGTTCATTTTCAACACCACGAGCTTCGCAATACACGAACGTCGTTATTAAAGGAAATCAAGAAAACCCCTCACTCTAAGTATTACCGTGCGTGCTCTTTATTGATACAACCACTTTCACAATGTCAATCAAATCACCCTGCCTAATTTGAAAAACAAACAAACGCCCCCGCCGCTAGGTAGGCCAAGAGTTTAGACGACCACAGGGAAACGACCCGAGCCTCAGAAACCCCCAAGGCCAAGCCTCCTCGTGAGAAGCCTGACAGAATTTGGCCGATCAGCACTCAGTCGTGACGCAATTGCTGGCCCTTGCAGAGCACGGTTGAGGCCCGCTTCCGTAGGTCGGATCCCTGCAATAGACACTCGAATGCCTATCAGCTAGCCAGCCTCGGAGGGTTTTAGAGGGTTCGGGGGACTTTCAGCGGGGAGGCGGCCTTCTAAATTTCAGGGTATGTCCACTATGACAGCCGTTGCTGGGCTCACGACAGCACGAGCAGTTGTCTTCTCTGACTGCGAATAAACTTTCCTCTCTTTCTTCTTGTTAGTCAGAGATCGTCGGTTATTCTCTTCGCGCCAACCATCCCATCTTTGATATACTCTCGTGATTGGGTTTGAGTTGGCCGTTTTCCATTATTTTGGACCCTCCAAGTGCCCACCGAGACTCACCAAAAAGATGCTGTTGCAGGTTGAGCGCAGCTGCGACAGAATGTCTAATACCGACCACTCTATTATGATACAGTGTCTATTACTGTCTATTCGTTGGATTGATCCTTGAGCGGTGTCGGTCAGAGCGACGAGTTCGGTACTGATTTGCAACTCTTGTGACTGACTTGCAAATCTTTGTCTGAATTGTCACTCGAAGAAACCCTTCTGGTACATCGCTCAAAGATCATTGCCAGTCAACGACTTAGCTGATCGTCTTTGCAACTCCTGCCAAACCCAACAAGTCGGAATGACAAGGAAGAAAAGCGGCCAAGGATATTCTCGGGTATCGAATTGGCTGTACCTGGACTTACACCACACACTCGGGTTCTACAACTCTCTTGGCTGCAAATTCAGCCTCTTTTGATCCTATAGTTCATCGATGCTTTACAGCTTTGGCTTGCATAACAGTCTGATCTCTCCCGCAGTGCGTTAAGCCATCAATCTGCGTCCTTCATCCCTTTCACCCACTGGTTGTGGGGTTACATTTCACTCCGCCCTCGGAAACACAAGGCGCCGTCCAGCAGCAAGGGTCCAGGTACCCCCTTCAACTAGTCTGATGTCATGGATCTGCATTCTGCCGCGTCAACTTCCCTACAAGGTCCCAAGGTATCAGGTCTTGCAGGCTCAAGGGCGAAACACGAACCAATATCACACAGTACAGTATTCTCTAAAGATCAACGGTCAACGAAACGGTCACCGTCTTTCGAAACCTCCAATCACTGCCTATCACTCTCACTTTCCAGGAACGCACAGTCCAAGACGGTCACCTTTGCCGCAAGTTTTTCGCGCCCCTCTGATAATGATCATCAGCTCTTTGACTAGGTCCGCAAATCGCAATCTTCTCGTCATTCCTCGCACCGTCCCAGCGTCTATACTAGGGTGTTGGTGTCGTTATGGAAGAAACGTGGAAGAAAAGTGGTTCACGGTTGTTAACCGACTGACAGCGACAGGATATTTCATCCTTGACCCATCTCCTGTCGTTTAGGCAGACTGGTGTTCTCGCCTGGATGTTCCCCATGACAAGGTCGTAGTGAAATGCCGGACCTGTCAGAAGTGAAGTCATCGTGAGAGGTCTCCCAAGCCAAGAACTTGAGGCAACAGCGATACGCTCAATGTCACAGCACCTTTTGGTCTCGACAGTGGTCTCATTCTCATAAGATCATATTGTTTTTTCAACGTCATTTTTCCCCAAGTTTTCGCCCGCGAGCTGACTGACTATTGCTCGGAGACACTTATTCGGCCGAGCGGTTGTTTTATAGGGGTCCCTATATCGCTACCGATAAATATGGGTGCATGGGGGTCAAACCTGTCAAGGTCGTGTTGAACCCGTTGGGCAGCGATTCGGTTGTCAAACTCGCGAGCCTCAATGGTAAGTGACAGGTAGGATTATTCGCTTCGTTCCCCTCCAAGCCCTCTTTTCTCTTTGAATGTGCTCAATGAGGATGTTCACGATAATCCGGAGAGAAAAATAAAAACGCCGACGACCCAACAACTTGTGGTTCCTAAGCACAGATTACAGTCTGGTTTTGTCGGCGTCATTGAAACGTGCTTCCAGTGGACGAAAGTACTTTGATCAACGTCCTGCGTGCCTTTGATTTTGTCCTCAACTGATGCCGATCCTCTTCTTTTCGTTCGCTGTTTGTCCCACAACTTGGAGTTCATCTCGGAAATCCTTCTCCATTTCTGTCAAAAGGTCCACCCATGGTCGGCTCTTGGCAATCCCGCCCCGCTCACACTTCTTGGCCCCATCCCCGTGAGAAGAGAGCGTCAATCTAGCGGTGGACGATAGGTCCTCGAGGGGAGAAGCAGTCACTGTCACTGTGACAAGAGATGCAGACCAACGTGGTGAGCCTTGTCTCAGCCCCGGAGCTGAAGCTCAGTCTGATCGGGTGGCTGACGCCGGTTATCTTGGTTCCCGTCGATGGGTTTCAGCAGTTGAACTTTCACCAATGCCACAATTCCAATGATTTGCACTCATCATTGTTGCGCTTTCAGTCTCGGCCAGCGCCCCTTTGACGATGCAACGTTTATCAGTTGTCGGTCAACGTGTACACAACTGATGATCTTAACACAGAGCATAGCGTCCTCGACACCCCCCTTGACTTGATATGCACACTTTGACAAGCACCCCGCTCTGCCCCAGTACTGGTACTACAGTTGACTGGAAACACCAACCAGATGTTCGTGAACTGTAGAAGGCGTTATCGGCATCCAAGACTTTGGATACATGTTTCAGGAACTATGGATCATTGGAAACATTGTCTCAAATGCTCGTGACGATGCTGTACGACCATATCGATGAGCTTTTCTTTTCTTTTTACGAGCTTTGGCTGTTGTGCAACCCTCTCCCCGCTCCTCCAGCACCGTAAGTGACAATCTCTTGCGATGTTATCCGTCCCCCGTCTTACTTGGCTCATCAAGTGACTCTGAGCCGTCGGATCGGCGGGCTGCGTTTACGGTTTAACTCTACCGACGCAAGACGATCTTAAGGACGTGTTTGAGACTGAGAGGAATGCCTCGAGCATTTTCGAGCTGTCACCATGTCTGATTAGCCGTGTTATATCCCTTGACACTAGCCAACATCTGCCACGACATGAAACAACTCATACTAAACATGGGTTTTGATTGCCGCCCCCATATATCGATTGGCATTCGTCAATATCCATCGCTTCAGATGCAACTCAATATCGAGCTCTAGTTTCCCCATGACCTCTTTGAGCTTGATGCAAGAGTCCTAGTGGGCGTTTAGAGTCACCAATGCCTCGTGAGCGCAGATCTTAATCCTGCATATCTCACCGTGATTCTTATCAATTCTGCGCATAGCCTTTGGCAACGGCAGGAGTCTGCTTGTTGTGCATTATTAGCTCAAACGGTTGCATTCAAGCGGATGCACTCTGCCTAGGTAAGCTGCAGGCTCCCTTGACGGGGTCAGCACCGTTCCCATTGGAAACGCTTCTAGACTATGTCGAAGTAACTTGTCTCTTGAAGAGCCAAGCTATGATGGTAATTTCGATTGCCTTTCCAAGGTAATCATGGAGGCTTGCTCTCTTTGCAGGAGGTTGAGACAATAACGTTGCTGCATTTGTCATGGTCAGCTTACTAATGATATCATTGCGTTCTCGTCATTCAAGGCAATGGCTATGTTTCTGGAGGATTTAAGGCTGTGTCAGTCGATGCTGAGCCTTCGTGCGACAGTATCGATCACCTGTCTGGATATCATTCACAATGGAACAGTTTGAATTTCACCCCGCTACCACATCCTTCAATCGTCTTTGGTCACCTATCGAGCCGGGCGTCGATGAACTAGTCCTCAACCAGGACTCGCAGACAGGCAGACGTACAACATTACAGCGATGGCAGCCTGGTGCCCGCAATCAGCAGGACATTTTTATCCACGACTACGTTGAGGAGATTTTCATGGTTGAGGGTGATTTGTACGACCAGAATCTGCAGCAGGGTTGGGAGAAGGGCGCGTATGCGTACCGAAAGCCCGGAATGCGACATGGTCCTTTCAAGAGTGAGGGCGGATGTTTGATGTTTATTGTCTGTATCCCCGTGGATGCGAATGGTAAAGAGGCTGGGGATAGAGTCTGACGGGTAACTGCATTATTCCCGTTAGGATTTTTGTATCCTGCAGCTCAAATGGTCTCTGCTGTGCTGTGCATGCGGAGGGTTTCCGTGAGTCAATATGGGTCGGGATGGTATCGGAAGGGAGGAGGTTTAGGGCCGGGGCCGAAGTCCGTGTTAGGTTCTCGGGCTTAAGAGTGAGACTGCACAGGTCGCTTTACTGTGAAGGCAGTCAGTTTTGTGCTTTAATGGAAATCAATTCATACCGGACAGGTATCACATGCGCAATTTGTCGTGTTGAATCTCAATTTCTGGTTCTGAGGTGCTTGATGGGAATCGTAGGCAGATCAAGTAGGACGTGTATGGTATGTATTGAGCGACAGGGTCTCATATTATACTGATAAGAAGGCTTACACAATAGATCTATCTAATTCATACGATCTTTTCGATCTTTTATACTTGAACGCCTCCTAAACAGATATTGAGACAAGTCTGGGAGGCATACAATGTGGGCCCGAGAGTTCGGTCGTGGTATATCGGCCTCGGTGATATCAGCTCAACACCAACATCTTTCCCAATCTCAATTACCGTATTCAGCTCGTAATTAAATCTCTGTTGACTCATACCTCACGTATATAAGGAAGATAATCCTTCTGACATCAAACTATCATCATCAGCTTCATCGTCAACTTCCAGCACCATGGCACCGTCCCCAACAGCCCTCCAAGCCCTAGAGGCAAGTCCTCGCGTCCACGATCTCCTCGCCCGCCTACACGCCGAATCAGAAGCTCAAGAGAAAACCCTGTCTCAAAGCTGGTTCTACTTCAAATACCTCTTTGGCTTCTACTTCACCGGTAAAACATGGTCTACATCCGCAGACGTCCACATGAGCGATAAGTTCGTCGCTTTAGAGCAAGATAAATGTCTTTTCATGTATCTCCTCGCTCGCAGTATGAATGCGAAAAACATCGTTGAGGCGGGAACCAGTTTTGGTATTTCGACGATGTATCTTGCTTTGGCAGTGGGACAGAATATTAATGCTATGAGAGCGAGGGGTGAGAAAGTTACGGGGAAGGTTGTTGCTACAGAGTGGGAGAGTAGTAAGGCTGAGAGGGCGAGAAAACATTGGAGTGAGGCGGGTGAAGAGGTTGAGCCATGGGTTGAGTTGAGGGAGGGTGATTTGAGAGAGACTCTTTCGGAGGAGGGTATGCCTGAGGAGATTGATATGATGCTCCTTGATAGTAAGTCCAAAGAGCCTCAATTTATGACGAAATGCTAATGTTGAACAGCTTGGATACCAATGGCACTTCCAGCTCTAGAGATCATCAAGCCTCGTCTGAAGAGGGGTGCTATTATTCTGGCTGATAACACTAAGATGGCTAAGGCGCTGTATAAAGAGTTTTTGGATTATATTCACGATCCAAAGAATGGATTCAAGACGACTACTACGGCTTATAGTGGTGGACTTGAGATGATTGTTTATCTGCCTTGATGTAGGTCTGAAGACAGGATGGGTTCGTGATTGGGAGTTGAGAATAAGATGGCAGAAGTTGAGATCCAAAAGCTATATAGAGTTTATCTGTTATACAAAGTGTTTTAAATACATCCGAGACTTGTAAGAGCTTAATAATATGTGTGAACCTCCCATTATAGTGAAGTGTCGAGACGGGATGCCAGTCTCCAAGTATACCAAAGATGAGCCCCAAGACCAATGAGGTTTAAGTGAATACACATGGCATGAGAAGTCCTGAATCGCTTCTTGATAACCTCCATCGTAGAACTCGGTCCTTCCACCGTCTTCCCATCCAAAGTCCCTATCTCATCAGCCTTTATTCACCACACAAGCAACGAAGTAACTTACCCTGATCAACACGATCCAACATCAACTGTCTCGTCCTCGGTCCAAACACCATAAGATTAAGCCCCGAGACAAAACCAGATACTGCAAATGGTATCCAATTGCTCTTATGCTCGATAAGTGAGAGAGCACCGTAAGGTGGTAGTGTTATGGCTGTGAGGAAGAGTAACAGAGCTTGACCTTGGAAGAAAATGGGGAAGAGGTTCTTTTGGAGGTTGACGTATGGAGTTCGTGGGAGGTGTTTGAAGGCGACTTTTGTGACGATGAAGGTTTGGTAGAGTTGGGAGCCGAGAAGGGTTGAGAAGGAGAGGAGGTGGACTGGTGCGACGAGTGTTGTTACAATGGCCATTTTGCTGTATGATGAGTTACTTTACAAGTCTTGGTCTGTTTGTAATGTAATACAAATGTTGAATGGTATTTGGAAGTGGCGTTGGGCGTTTCTTATACTTGAGGTTGAGGTGTCGTTGATTGGTGTAGGTTAGATCCGAAGGCATTCGGCAGTTAAGCTGATGTTTGAGATACAGCGTCATGTAGAGTGGCATTCGTAATCACCCAGTACTGGTTTGAGCATGTAGATACTGCAGAAGAATAGCATGATAATATTTTTCAATAACTGAATTCTCGGTCCCTGTCATGGAAGTAGAGAGGCAATGAAACAATAAACCATGTAACTAGACTGACCTCAATGAGTACATGAAACACACGTCCTTCATTCATAACTCATCATAGCAGTATATCTTCTTCTACAACTATATATTTTTATGCATTTTATTCCGTGAGCCCATTGTAGCAGTCTACCAGGTCCTCCAGCTCAGGATATGCCCCGACCGAAAGCGCCGGCCGGCTCTTAACCCCGGACCGGACATCAAGACCCACTCCAATATCCGGACCCGTTCGGCAGCAGAAGATTTCTTCGGAATCATGGCCTAGGTGAGACAAAAGAGTAAACATTTATCACGCCATACGGTCTATAGAGAAGTTCTTGCACATTTCACGCATGATGACCATCAGAACCTGTTTCACTTACAGAAGCTAAGGATAGCGCAAAAAGAAAGGTCTCGGAGGGAGTCGAACCCTCGCTGGCGGAATCAGAATCCGCAGTCATAACCGTTAGACCACGAAACCTGAGTGTATGGCAACTTTGTGAATGCCAGCAGTTCATTTTGCTCACTATAGATTGCTATTGAGAGATGGATATTGTTATTGAGAGCCAGACAATGCATAAAGTTCTGCTTCTCCAACAGTCTCATTCTTGTAGAGTATGTTTTAAAGCCATTGCCATTCAGAGCAAGCAAAGATTGAAATCACTTCATCTATGGCTGAGGTATATCTTCAACGAATGTATGCCGGAAGCAAGACTATCACTCAGTCCACATCAAACGCAAACCCAACAAACAAAGAAATTGCATAATCCATAAACATATAAATCGTATCCTCATCAGTCACCTAAGCATCAATGATCTCAAAGTTGACGAGAAGCGAGCATTGCGTCTCATGCCCCTTGAGATCCAACATCCGAACAAATCTCCATCCAGGCTCAACATAAAGCAATCTCACCGCCGCAACCGCAAACATCGGGTTCCTCGTCCAACTATCATCACTCTTGATGAGCATGCGCAGGAAAGTCAACTCATTCTCCTCATACTCCCATGTTAGAGTCTCGTCCCAAAGAGGTTCCGTTGGGGGCGGGTTTGGTCCTCGGTGGAGAAATTCAAGCTTGTGCTGCTTATACGGCTCTGTCTTGCGCTTGGGAGGATCGCCTTTGATGTTATCAGGGTGGTACAGCGTGCATGTGAGGTAAGGCTTGATGGAGTCTGCTTCTGAGTCGCCGTGTAGAGGAATATCTGTTGCGCCTGCAACGTGAAGACGAAGACGCTTGCTGCGGCCTGTACTCAATCTCCCATTCCCACCGGCGCGTAGAGCAGCGGGCTTGAGAACGTAACCATCCGTACCGCTGAAGAGAGCTTCGTTGAGTTGGTTACTGGTACCAAAATTTTGCAAATTCAGAGCACAAATCTGAGCACCGATTCCCCAATAAGGAACGGGCTTTAGATTGGTGGATGAGATTCGCGTGCCCTTGGGATAAACGCGCATGAGATGGTGGGCGTTGTGTCGCGCGATGTGTGTTGCGTGCTCTGGGAGATGAGATGCCAGCCCTGATTCAGATACGTTGATAAGATGGTGGTGAGGGCCGTTGGCGAGAGATCCCTCTTCGAACCACGAGTTGTCCATTGGCTTGACAGACTGCGCATAAACACCCAGCTCAGCGAGCTCAGGAATGATGATCGAAGGCTCCTCCTTCTTTCTCTTATCCTTGTACTCCTTTCGCGCAGCCTTTTCCTCCGAGTCATCCTCCGAGTCATCCGAGTTGCTATCACTGCTGGAAGGCTCATCCGTGAAGTGATACTCAACAATAACAGCAATCTTCGCGCCAAGATCCTCCAACGTAACGTGTTGATCTGAACCAGCTTGTTCCTCATGACCAATATGTCTAACAGCCTTGCTCAAAAGTCGGTCTCCAAAGACATCCTGCATAATATTGACAAGACGCATCTGACCGTAAGCATCGCAGTGGTTCTCCAGCGAAAGAAGAATAGGCGAGGCTCTGAAGCCATACTTTTGCGCATCAACTGCTTCTTGATCCGCAGAGTTTCGAATCGTCTCACACACGAGACGAAACGAAATGTTGGATACTAGAGTATAGCCATGTGTGACTTTGGGCTCATCTCTATCATCGCTATTATCCCACGCATCAATCTCAACACATCTCGCCCCCGTCTTAATCGCACTCTCATACGCAGTCGCGCACGAAGACCCATAAAGCTGATGCGCCATAAGATACGTATTATGGCTCGAGCTGATAAAGTACTCCGGTAGCGGATGCGATCTGTCCGTGAGTTCAGCCGGTACGCGAATATGCGGTTTGCTAACGAGTTCTAAAAGCTCACGCGACGATTCCTCAGAATCAATCTTCGCTTCCTTTTTAGAGAGCATTTTCTCTTTGACGAGGAATTCTCGTAGGGCGTTGCTGACTCTGAGATCGGTTACCATGCGACGGGCGCTGTGGCCGCCGCCTGCGACGGTGTTGTTGTCGATCTCCTCGCCGAAGTCTTCATCGTCGATGCGGCGGTTTTTGGAGGAGAAGGGGTTGAGGTCGCCGATGCGGGTTGCGAGTTCTGAAGCCATGACGTGTGAAGATGGAGGAGTGAAGTGAAGTGAAGTGAGGTGAGGTGAGGTGAGGTGAGGTGAGGTGAGGTGAGGTGAGGTGAGGTGAGGTGAGGGGCAGCTGAGGGGGAGCTTTCAGCTATAGCTACAGCTACAGCTGGAATGATTGAGGTGTAGAGCAGAGTATGTAATCAGATCATTTGATCAATAGTGACAGTGAAAAGAAACAAGAGTTATATGTCGTATGGAGTCATCATGGTTTAAATCAAGAATCAATATAAAGATGATGGGATGCACTGCCACGATCGTAAAATGTCACGTCTTGGCTTTTCTCACTTGTTTGTATTCTCCGCATCAAACACCAAGAATGAGGCGCCAAGCATAACCTCACTAGCCAAGCCATTTCTTCACCAAAAATCCAAGACATGGATGTGCCAATATCTACGGCATCTGAAGCCGAGTTGGCACAGCTTTAATGGGCCGTTATTTGCTGCATCGTGTCTCTTTGTGGATACCACAAGAGCTTCGCCACAAAATGTCAATGTCCAAGCTCTTGGGGTTATGGTCTTGTCGTATTATCTGCGACTATGTTAGATGGCAGAAGTCTGAAAACGCCTTACATTATCTTGAATTTAGCCTCTTGATCTTACCTAATTTTCATAAATTTAGCAATGAAAAAAGTACAGTATTATTTGTCAACTCGAAATAAGGTGCAGCGCTGTGCTGCATTAAGACTTTTGGCATGTGACCGACGAAGTGATTCCCCAAATCATATCCCTCCAAATAACCACAGACTCAATACACTATCCGAATCCTCAAGATCGAAAGAAAACATCATACTGCTTTTCCGAAACACGCGCTGGCATATGTTGATGCCCAATAACACCCCTCGCCCTCTGTCTTCTTACATCCTTATCACCCAAGCAAACCCAGTAGCCAGTCCGAGGTTGGCATTTTGCCAATGGCCTCCAGTGTCGTTCCACCTAACCAGTCTCGTGCCTCTGCTTCACTGTCCAGCCCTGTCGAAGAGCAAGACTTCTTTGTACAGCATACGTGCTTGTGGGATAGGCGATCGAGAAGTCGACATGTGGTTTGAGGTAAGGCACCATTTCATCGACTTTCCAGGTGATATTGCACCGAACAAGTTCGATTCGCTCCTTTGTCGAGTATTGATGCTCGCTGTTTTGTCCATACGATTTAGGTATCATATCTCCCTGTAGGGAAATATGAAGTTTCTTGATGTTAAGGAAAAGCCTGGGAATGGCCTTGAGAAACTGCCTGAAAGTCTCGATATCGCTCAAAGGAGGGGCGGCCCTAAATTCTTCACTGATGTCTGGCAAGATCCATGGTGTGAAATCCCAAATGATTTCGACAGATGTGATGGCATCGAGTCGCTGTTGTTGGAAGAAGTCATGTATGTTCAGAACCATCGCTTTGCTTGCGGTATGAAAAGTGTTCGTAGCGTATAGTACCTGGATCCCTTCACGATAACTACATTGTAGTATTAGCGAGGACCTTGAAAAACGGACCTGAGTACTTACGCTTGCTTGCAGGAGAGGAGCCATCCCATGGCGCCAACGGAGCACTTCTTGGGCCCTTCTCCAGGCCAGTGCTCGCATTGTGGGTGAAACCCGTTTCGACCGTTCCATCCATAGACACACTCATCGTCACATGGCTGAGGATCGTACCCTGGTCCGCGCGAGTCTATGATACCAGGCGGCGGAAGTCGATGGCAGACGGAGCTTTGCCATCTCCAGTCCTTTTTCGGGTGCTTTGACCAGTCAACAACAAGAAGGCCGGGATACACATGGCAGTTCTCGCGAGAAGTAGTGCCATACTATGGCAGTTGTCGAAGACCACCATGACGCTTAGAGTCTTCCAAGATTGGGTGACTGCAAATGAGATCCACATGAACTGTGCGGTCACCGAATGCAAAGCGCAAGATTCGCATGCGAATTTCAGTTGGAAGTCGTTGAAAAAATGCGCCGTTTGCCTTGACAGTTGCGAGTGTGACAGACTGCGGTGGCTCTGGAGTGAGCAGCCGTCGAGGTTGTCCATTATGGGACGATGGCAGAGGAGGCGTGTTTAAATTCAAGATCCCAGGAGGTATGGGATATCTTCTCATCATATTGGGCGAAAATGGATTTCATTTGAGAGGAGAGGAGGAGAGGAGAGAAGGGAGTCGAGAGATGAAAGAGGAGCGCTGTTGTTGTTTTGGAGCAGGGGCTCAGAGGAAGGTGCGAGTATGTAAAAGATATTGGAAAGAACTATTGAGGTACCAGTTTTAGCCTCATTTTAAGGAAGCTTGATATTCATAATTATCTTGATAGATTGTGAAGGGCTCTTGTAGTTTGCGTACAGTTTCCGATAAATCAATAAAAAGCTTGGGAAGGAGATCATCGTCCTTCATCTTCTCTCGTCTCCAGGGTATCTCAAGCTCATAAATGGCAGCCTTGCGCACCAGGCATCAAGGCACCAAAACATTAGCCCCACTATCCTCACGACGCGTAGAAAAAGAAAAATCTCGAATTTTTATTTTATCTTCCTTTCTCTTTTCTCTCCAATTCAAAATTGAACAACGCAAAAAACCACGTTCATGTTTCTCTACATATAATTGATGCGAGGTGCGTCGAAAGACCTGCGCCCAAGACCACCGATTCAGAGGAACACAGAATGGAGAGAAAAGCGAACAATCTTGGGTGCGGTGCTTCCCTCGACGATGGGGAGGAGCGCAATGATTGAACGTACATACTTTACTTTGATATAGTATCTACTTGTGATGAATGACCTGCTGATGGGGGTCAGGGTCTGTGAATGTTTGAAGAGCCGACTGTAAATATCGACGTTGATGATGTCGGGATGATCAACGTAAGATGTACCTGTACTGCATGACATGCACACAACAATGCACTGTATCTACGAAGCTACGGTCTGTATGTCTTGATATTAGTCAATGGCACTGAGGCTGAAGAATCGCTTGAAAAGTATCGGTTGTCTGTCCTACAGAGATCCCAGGTCCAGCCAATAGTGTCAAACTCTGCACTTCGTCGCTACAAGACTTGACGCAACACCCAGCAAGAAGTTATGCTTGCTATGCTACTCACATCACACAAGAAACAAGAATATTGAGACAATCAGTTGAATTCAGGGAACTGTTTCGAGCTATCCTAGCCATGCCTATTGACTCATGCCAAAAGCAGAATCGCATATAAAAAAAGCAGCAGACTCAATCATCCACTACCGTTATCCAGAAATAGAGTACAGCAATATTAAGCTGCAGAGAAGACAATGGAGGAACTCGTCCCCCGCATGGCCTATCCACCTGTTCATTTTGTCTCTGTTGTTTTTCGAGCGCTTTTTTTGCTAATATTTGCAGGTAAAGAGTGACGAAAATATCACCGATGGGTACCGTAAAGCAAACGATCGGAGTCAAAGTCATCGACACCTGAACAAGTTAGAAGATGCATCATATACCAGAGATGGTAGACTTACTTATTCCTCGGGCATATCGGTAATGCTGCGAGCTGCTGCCTTGATAGCAATGAGATCTCGCTTAGCCGCAAAGTTCTCAGCCTTGAAGTCCCGAGTATCATAGTGAGAGTCAGGACCTCCAGGACCAGTAGCACCATCATCACCATCGACGGCATCGAGAACTGCCTCAGCAGCGCGCTTGGCCTTCCAGCAAGGTTGTCCTCGCCACATGCACCAGCGCTTATCCTCCTGAAGAGTCTTGAGATCACGCTTGGCGGTAGCGTTGGGAGCGGCATCGGGGAAGAAGTCCTCGAGCTCGAGGCTCTTGAAGTACTCCTCGGGACTACCACGGGCAGAGAGGGCGATCAGGTTGGCGAGTTCGACGATGGAGCGCTTGGCCTTGTGGGCGGCATCGCGGGGAAGATGAGCTGTGCTGGGTGCGTCGGCGGATCGGGTGTCGAGGGATCGAGTTGCGTGGAGAGCATTGGAGAGAGCTTGGCCGGCATCACGCTTGGCTTTCCAGCATGGCTGTCCTCGCCACATACACCAGGGCTCTGGAGCAGCGTCGCGCTTGGCCTTCCAGCAGGGCTGACCTCGCCACAAGCACCATCTAGGTTCGTTCTCAGCCTGGGGAGCGGCCTCACGGGTCTTAAGCTTCATCTTCTCCTTCCAGCAGGGCTGTCCACGCCATGTGCACCATGGCATAGGCTCAGCGACAGGGTCGGGTTTAGGGGCAGCAACAGGTTCAGGAACAGCATCGCGTTTAGCCATTCTCATCTTCTCCTTCCAACAAGGTTGTCCGCGCCAGGTACACCAAGGCATAAGCTCAGCGACAGGGTCGGGTTGAGGGGCAGCGACGGGCTCGGGCTCACGCTTGGCCATCCTCATCTTCTCCTTCCAGCAAGGCTGTCCGCGCCAGGTACACCAGGGCATAGGTTCAGCAACAGGGTCGGGTTGAGGGGCAGCGACGGGCTCGGGCTCACGCTTGGCCATCCTCATCTTCTCCTTCCAGCAAGGCTGTCCGCGCCAGGTACACCAGGGCATAGGTTCAGCAACAGGATCAGGCTGAGGAGCGGCGACAGGTTCGGCGATAGCCTCACGCTTAGCCATCTTCTCCTTCCAGCAGGGTTGGCCCCTCCAGGTGCACCAGGGCATGGGGTCGGCGACAGGGTCGGGTTGGGGAGCAGCAACTGGTTCAGGGATAGCCTCGCGTTTGGCCATCTTCTCCTTCCAGCATGGCTGTCCACGCCAAGTGCACCAAGGCATAGGATCAGCGACGGGGTCAGGTTGAGGAGCTGCAACAGGTTTGGGAATAGCTTCACGCTTGGCCTTCATCTTTTCCTTCCAACAGGGCTGTCCACGCCAAGTACACCAGGGCATCGGATCAGCGACAGGATCGGGCTGAGGCTCAGGGACGGCATCACGCTTCTGAGGACCACAGAAGTGCTCACGGCCAGCCTTGCAGATGGCATCGGCATTCTTGTCGCCCTTTCCAACAAGCTCCTCGCATGGCTTGCCCTTGTAGTCGAGGTTGCAGAAAGGGGTGAAGAAATCCGGGCCGAAGTTGTCGATGGCGGACGGAGGAGGTGCCGCGAGTGCGGCTCCGGCCACCGCGGCCAGAGTAACGAAGGAGTATTTCATCCCAGGAGCTGTGTTTCAGAAGTGAGTGTTTCGAAGTGTAAAAGTTGTTAAAAGTGAGTGGTACTCGTAAAAGAGTTGTCGTGTATCAAAGGTGTTGAGATATCGTTGTCCTTCTTTCGATGGGAACGAGTCTGAAGGAGAAAAGGGAGTATTTATGAAGGAATTGAGTAGTTCTTTATAGATATCGAGTTCAATGTTCATAATAGAGATTGAGAAATTGGCCATCTTGGGAGAAAGGGAATTCGCCCGTGCATACACACACTTCTCTGGCTGTGGTGTTGTAAGGCTTCTATTGAGGTCTATTGACGCTTTGCGGGGCCAATAAGCCCCCTCGCTCTTCGGTTTGAACAGTAACAGTCAATGCGAGATTTCTATTCCGAATAGACTCAGTTCAAAGACGATCAAAGACGGGACAAGCCACGAGGTGTAAGTAAAAGATATCAAAGCATTCTCTAGGGAAGTGTGAGTAGCTTTGCGGCGTATTCACAGATGTCATTGCGTAGACTATCATCTAAACTACTCCTAGTCTGAACTCCGAGAACCATATGTGACATTTCCAACTCACTCACCTCGCTTTTTACTTGCCAGACGAGAATGCACGAGAAGATTAATCTTGGCGGACGGGATACCGTTGGTCCATGCGAGATTGCGGGTTATTTGGCTATTGACATCTGTCAGTGCTTAGTGAGGTTCTATTGACACCCAAAAAGGGTAAGGGGGCGGTTGTAGCCCACAAACGGTGAGAGAAGATGAAACAAACCTACTTTCTCTTTGAGGAGTGGATTGAAAGAGTTTAGAAGCGTTCGAGAAAGAAAAATGCTTAATATGGATTAAGTGGTACTTGCTTGCTATTTATGACTGATATTAAGGTTAAGGGGCGACCTCGTTCATCACCACCTAACGAACTTCGAGATATCGCAAGTTCATGGGCAGATGTTGAAGAAGTATATCACGGTAATAATCCAATGTGTACATATAGTAAATAAAGTGCTGATATGACGACGCAGGTACTTGATATCCTGGTCGTCTGCCAGTGTCAAGCATTGCGGCGTCCACCCCTGACAGCAACCAATTATCTACCAACTATAGTGGATCTCAAAAGGCCATATTCCTGATATCTATGAGAGACTTGTCAGGGATGGCAAAAGCACTGACGGTGAAAGAGTGCCGAGACTGTTCCGCCTCTTGTAAACGCCACTCCTATGTGACCACGCCAACATCACAAGCACATGAGTAGTCTCTTTGGCCATGATCAAAGCCTTATTCGAACACATGTAAGTCTCCGCATTACGTTCTTTGTTATGAGGCGCTGAGAAGGTTTTCGGTTGACTCAAAATGGGTCTCAATAGATTCAGGGGTGATGGCCTTGACCTCTCAAAGAGAGGCAACTTCACCTGGGCAAAGCCCACTAACTGCTCTATGTGTTCTTCACTTCCTAGGATCCCAGTTCTTATCCACCTGATCCAACAAGCCCTTCTTCCCCAACACCTTCGACCCCAGTATCTTCTCAAGACTAATCAACTTGAAGCTCGCCTCAGCACTGGTCTTTCCATTGGGCAGTTGGTTCGCATCATCATGCACAACTACCAACCCATGAGGGAAATCCTTGTTCAGAGCCGTTCCCACAGCTGTTATACCATCTGTGTTGGACACGGGGTCGATTTGACCATCTGATGACTCTACGAGTGTAAAGGTGGTAACGTACTCGTGAGGAGAGGCTCGGCGGTAGACGTTGTATGCGCTGACTCCTTGGCATGATACTAGGATGAAACCCTCCGTGGGCTTGGAGCCGTAGACGAGGGTTACGCCTTCAACGTCGCCGTAGAGTTTACCATCGCCGACTTTGCCGATTACTACACCCTTGTCTTTTGAATCAGGCTCTGCATCGTATCGCCACAGGGCAGAAGGCTCTTCGCCAAGGAAGATCCAGCCGTTTTCTTCGTCGGCGACACAGCCCTCGACTTGTCCACCACTACCGCCTTGGAACTCTCGTACAAGCTTCGTCTTGAGTTCTCCTTGAGATGTGGAAGTGAGTTCGTACTGAAGATATCGTGCTGACTTCTCGTTGACAAAGAGATATTGCTTTCCTGTCTTGGGTGACTTGTAGGTACACGAGCCGTAGACCTTGTAGTCGTCAACGACCGGGTGGATGCCGCCGGGGATGTTGGTCAGTGTGCCGTTGGGCAGCATCTCGAAAAGACTTGACTTGATCGTTAGCTAACTTCCTACAACAGAATGGACGTAACATACCAGAGTGTATCATCAGCTCGACATGCAGCAAAAGCCAAGTCAACCTTTCGATTGCCCGCCTTGAAGCCATAAATCATATCAACATTGTTTGGTTCACCAGCCGTGAAAGACTGAAGAAGATTACCAGCCAAGTCAAACACACCGAGACCAGCCTCTTTTCCAGATTTCATCGTCGTGACGATTCGAGACTTTTCCGGACCCTCAGGTGAGATCCAAATGGCAGGATCATCGCCGTCACCAAGACGAGACTCAGTCTCGTAGGTTGGCTCAACGAGAAGAAACGAGCAGTGAAGACCACCCCATCCCTTGTCGCATTTGCACTCGTTAGGTCCAACACACTTTCCATGACCAGAGCACTTGTCAGTGCATGTAAAGCTCCCGCAGGTGCTTCCAGAGAAACCAGCGAAGCATTCGCATTTGTTCTTCTTGTCCCTGATACAGTAGCCGTTGCCTCCGCAAGTTTTACAGATTGGCTCAGTCTTGGTATCTGTCTTTACTTTTCTGGGGTCGTACTTGGTGTTGACCTCAATCTTCAGCTCCTTCAAAGCGTTCTCGAGGGATGAGACAGCGAAACCATTGACGTCCTCTGACTCGATGGCGTATGTTAGAGCACCGGCAGGGTACTTGCTCGTAGCATCTTGGTAGATGTTCAGACCCTGAACTTCAATGTCTTCTTGTCCAGTCAAGGATAGTGTGCCCTTGAGTTTGAAAGAGTGATCATAGACAGCGACTTTGTCGGTTTGTGCGACAAACAAGTAGTCTGAGCCCTTCTTGGGAACATAGACGGCCAAGCCGGTCACATCATCTTCTGCCTTGCCAATCTTGATGATCTTAGGCGCTTTTGTTGACTCTTCGAGTGAAAAGGCATAAACGTTCTTGTCGTCATCTGTAGAGATGTACATGCGAGACTCGGACCGTGAAACGGCACATCCCGATGTTTCGAAGTCAGTTGGGAAAGTTTGGATCTAATAACAGATTAGCAAACATTCCCACCGTTTTGTTCTTAATGGAAACGTACCTGGACAAACTCAAATGACTTCTTTGTCTCTTGAAGGAGAAGCTGAACTGCCAGTCCCTTTCCAAACAGGTAGACATAATCGTTTCCAGCAGGACTCTTCCAACTGCACAGCGCAGACCAATCTCCTAGAACGTTAGAGTCTGCATCTTTGATCTGTTTAAACTTTGGCATTTCATAAGCGCGAACAACAGAATCTGGTTGAGCGACAGTGACGAGAATATCCTTCTTGTTGACATCGTACACTGTGGTGACAAGCTTGCTGCGTCCAGGTGTTTTCGCAGCGACTTCTTTCAAAGGAGCCTTTGAGTTGAGATCATAGACGTGAAACCCTCCCTTATCAGGCCCTCCATCATTCCCAATTAATAGAGGATTCTGATCAGAGTAGTAAACAGCAGTCCAATCAGACTCAACTTCGCTGGTGTAAGCAGAAACAGCAACGTCTACGTCAACTGCCTTGACGAAACATATCTGAAAAACAACAGCCAATAGGCCAAAGAGAGTTGAACCAACCATGATTGCCAGAATACTCTTCCTCTGCAGAAAAGAGCAATCTCTACTTTTGACCGCCATCCTTTTTATATGATCTTCTTTCAAGGCACGTGCTACGCTCAATTGGTCACTTATGCCGATGGATGGTAATAGCTGAAATGTCCTGCCAATTTAGTCCAGAGCGACATTGAATCCTACACCGAGCACTGTTGTTTCGGGAGGTGAAACGATACTCGTGTTGCGAAGGTGTAGTTCTATTGGGCGGGACAAGGATTAAGAATTCGAGGGGTTTATTAGCGGGCATGGTTGTCGTACAACTCTATTCATGACAGAGATGTTATGATGGTGAGGGAAATATGATGAGGCTGGACAAAATAAAGTAAATAAGCTTAATTAACTCTATGGCTTTATTCTAGTGCTCTGTTGGACGAATTTTGTACCTGAATTCTTCTCGGCTTTATTGCTGTTTCCTTTAGACCTCCTGTTTATGCAACGCTGTTTCGAAACGTCGATCCTAGCTTAAAGAGCATTATAACGGCTTTTATGAGAAACAAAGTTTTCCTATAAACGGAACCTCGGCCGTTACCATAAGATCTTCACTTAACATTAGAAATTGTGACCAGATAAAGTCAGTCTTCAGAGCCCCTCTTCAGGCCCGTCGCTAGAGTATCCGCTAAACCCTGAGCTGCTATTGACAATGGACCAGATCGATGAGTCTGCACTTCTTCCGCAAAGCTTACACGGCCCTTATGCCAGTGAAGCCAATTCTCTGCTCTAGCTCCTCCATTAGCTCGAAATAGTCCTACACTCAGATCAACTACAGTTGCATCAGAAATATATCGCCAAAATACTGTTGCGCCGCATCCTCCACAGAAGTGACGGACAGCCCCTTGCGAAGATTGATATGCCTTCAAGGCACCCGGTGGTGCATTCTCAAAGTCCAGAGGAAATTCTGATTGTGATTCTGAGCCATCTGTAGAAGTGATGGAGATGTTCGCTCGGGGGACAAAGGCCCAAGTCTGTATTTCGAAACCAGATGCTAGACGACAAGATTCACAGGCGCAGGTTCCAGCGAGGTATTTATCTCCTTGAATCCACCACTTTTCATCTGATGGGTTTAATGCGATAGACTTATCAGTAGAATAGTAAGGATGCGTTAGGTCAGGGTATGCGCGATGCGGCAAATAGCTGGCCTCGTTCGGACGTGAGATGCGAAGATGTATAGCTTCACACGCACAGAGTGCATCGAGATGCTTCGGGTTCGGTGTAAATGACACCGAATGCGAACGATCTGAGATATTTTGCTGCGTCTCGAGAGGAAGCCACATCGAAGCACCTCCATCGATAGTGTCTTCAACTTTTTGATGCGTCGTATATCTCACCCTCGCACTGGAATCATCGCTTCTTGTGATAACACCTGTGGCAACTCCCCACCTCAACTCGCCGTCTTGATCTTTGTATGATTGATATATATGGCACCCACATGTCGAGCAGAAATACCGGCACGAACTATCGGGGGCCTCAAAGACACTCAGTTTCTCAAAAGATCTCGGTTTCTCGGTCGGAAGATAAGATGTAAAGAGCAAGCCAGTCGAATAACGGCAGAGATTGCAGTGGCATAGAGGGAGCTCAGAAACCATCTCGGTCTCCGAAGTCTCTCCCACATGCCGAGAAATACTCCCACAGAGACACGTTATCCAATGCATCGTTGCAAAAGTCTAACATTTTAGTCAATGAAAAGAAGGGCACATGATAGTGCTTATGGCTTAAACACGTGTCAAAGTGTATTGATGACGACACCGGAGAACCCCAGATTCTGCAGACGCTGAATAATATGAATTGTCTGCGCCGATATAGGAGCTTAGCACGATCCGAATAAGGAAATAAAACGAAAAACACTTGAATTCCTTCGTTACTACATGTAATTAGTTGTTTGTGAAGAGGCCTTTCTCGGACTCTTACATATATTGAACAAGCTCCATTGAGATGCGTACATCCGTTCGGGGCCCCGCACCGGCATTTGATTCGGGATGGTAACAATATGAACGAGATCGGATAAAGGAACAACCGTTTGGACTAAATATATATATAAGTCTCGACGATTTCTCAAAATGCCAAGCCTGTATCTTTAATAACATCCTTTTCATTGGCCCTACAAAGATTCAATTGGTTTGAACATCATGGCTAACACCAAAGACTTGCAAATCGCCATCATGGGCGCCGGCATGGGCGGGCTTGGAGCTGCCCTAGCCTTAGCCAAACGAGGTTTTAAACACATTGATGTTTATGAGACTGCCAGTAGCCTTGGTTTCGTTGGAGCTGGCATTCAAATGGCTCCTAACATGGGGAGAATTCTTGATAGGTTAGGATGCTGGGATGATATCGAGAAGGAAGCTACTTGTGTAGCTGGGAGCAGTATTCGACGTAAGTCTACATATCCCAAGGCTTTGGAGCATATACTGACTTTTTACAGAGGGGGCAACTAATGTTGAGCTCGCTCATGTTGATATGCCCGATATCAAGGGAAAATACGGTTACTCGCACCTCTGTGGCCATCGATCTTCCCTGGCAGGTCATCTATACGAAGCTTGCAAGAAAGAGAGCGCCATTACCTTTCACTTCGCAACAGGCTTGATTGAAGTTGAGAGCTTCGCTCCTAAAGTTACCTTCAAACTCCAGCCCAGAGATGGAGAGGCATTCACTCGCGAAGCTGATATTCTCCTCGGCGCAGACGGTATCAAGAGTGTAACTCGGTCTCAGCTCCTCCAACAAGTCAACGCCACGCCTGAAGAGGCAGAAACCGGTCAAGCTGCCTACCGTATCATGCTCAAGCGAGAAGATATGGCTCATGATCCTGAACTATTGGCCCTCATTGATAGCGACGAGGTTGTAAGATGGGTGGGAGAGAAGCGACACATTATCGCATACTCTATCGCCAATAAGTCCATTTACAACCTTTCGACTGTCCAGCCAGATGATAACTTTGCATCCGCTCCTTCAATCACCTACACAACCAAGGGATCCAAGAAGGTTATGCTGCAAGTGTTTGAGACGTTCTGTCCTCTCGTACAGAAGATGCTCAACCTGGTTCCTGAAGGAGAAGTCTGCGAGTGGCGACTAAGGATGTACAGGCCGCTTCCTACATGGACTCAAGGATCAGTGGCTTTATTAGGAGATGCTTGTCACCCAACACTTCCACATCTTAGCCAAGGAGCTGCAATGGCTATCGAGGACGGTTCAACAATCGCCGAGGTTCTATCCCTTGCCCCTGATACTCAGCCTGAGACTATTGCCAAGTGCTTGAAGGTGTATGAGCAATCTCGAAAGGAATGGACGTCAAACCTCGTCGAAATGGCATATATGTCTGGTCGAACACTGCATTTGGGTGAAGGAAAAGCAAAGGAGGAGAGAGATAGGATGTTCAAGGAACACAAGACCAGTGGTTCGGTTCCTGATAAGTGGACGTCTCCGGATGTACAAAAGATGATTTACACGAATGATTGTGTCGCAAAGGTTAGGTCCGAATTTGAGACAGCCTTTGCCGCAGCATAGTATCATATCAGTTTTGGCTTGGCAATCAGACACCTGGAGACAAATTTACGTATTGAGACTGAATATTATGAAATTATAAGTCGTACTTTATCGAGGAAACAAAGAAACACATAACATAGAATCAGAGCTCTGTAGTCGAAAGATCCCCAACGCCGTGAAATAGAAAACCCTTTCCAGTTGCTGATGCGCCACGCTGCGCTTCCGATCCCTCCATTTGTCTGCATGTCCGCTATCGGCGGTGGTATCGAGTCGCAGTATCGGCATTTAGAAGAGGCAGTCCAAACAGCAGCAGCACGCCAGACCAGCGAGAAGACCAGTCATGATACCGCCACCAGCACCACCGCCTCCTCTCTGATCATCTTGAGGATAGTAGCCCTGAGGAGGAGGCTGTCCGTATGGGCCTTGCTGAGGAGGATAGGGACCCTGGCCGGCGGGAAAGGGACCTTGTTGCTGGTTGTAGTAGCCCATCTGAGGAGGACCTTGTTGATAGTAGCCTTGCTGCTGGCCGCCCTGTTGGTATGGATCTTGCTGGTAGCCGCCGTATGTAGGCTGAGGGGCACCTGGGGGAGGGCCGTAGGCGGGAGGTTCCTCTTGCTTGAAAGCCATGGTGTGATGGTTTGCGACAGAAAAGGAGGTAGATATGGGGTATCGCGCGCAAAGTATCGAGATATGTGGGCGAAAGAAATAGCTATCGCCAAGAGAAAAGACGAGAAGTGAGGATGGAATGGAAGAGTGAAAGAGAGAAAGTGGATGTGAAGGAATACAAAAGGAAAAAAGAACAGCGTCGGATAGTGAGGAGAAGTGCCCAAAGCCAAGCTCGTAGTAGATTGTTTTTGGCGTTGGTGCCAAAGTCAGTCTCAAGCTCCCTCCCTCCTCTTCTCCCCGTATCCTCTCACATGGCCTCTGCGCGCTTCGGAACGCCACAGAGACCGCGTTGCTCCATTACGTGGACCGGATTGGGCCTCTTTCAGCTGCGCCACGCTTGGCTCGATAGGTTGAGCGCCTGTCCCTTGGCGTTTTGACAAGTTCATCTCATCTCCCAACGAGGAGACCTCTCAAGGATACTTACCGAGTCACAGAATTGTATCAGTTCTTGACACATGTCGAACAATCGTTCTAACTCTTATCAAATCATTTTATACGAGTGAGTATTTGCTTCACATGCGGCTCTGAAACAAACCCCAACTTCCAACGTGTTGCACGAGTTCAGCTGCGCCACACATCCATCCTCCGTGTTCGAATCCTCTCATGCCGCTTTTCCGTTTAACCAGTGGCAATCTCCATGATGATTCAATTCAAATCGTATCGATGGCATGATCCCACGTAACAAAACTATCGAGCCTCAGGTTGAGATTCCTCAAAGTAACGTAACCAAATTACACCTTTAATCATCAATTCATGCTTTCGACGACCGGATCGGATAAAGTTGGCCCTGTGGCTAGTGCACATCATGTGATTCGACCATCCATCGCCTCGAGCAGCTGTGGCTTGACTTCTGCCCCACCAGTGCTCAAACCGCCGCACCACGAAAAAGTGAATAAATTCAACTATCACTAAAACCCCACGACCACGAAGTGACGCCTGGACGAGCCACGACGACGCATCCCTACGGCACCGCGAGACCTATACAGAATCCCTGACCAAATCGCACGGATACGCTCGATTCAAAATGGCTGCCGCCGTAGCGAACCAGCCCAAGTGAGTTGCTCTGCTCTCCTTGACTGGGGTGTTATATCGATATCCTTTGACTAACCCCACCATTCAAAAACAGGCACGACTGGGCCGACGACGACGATATCGAGGAGACCTCCACCGATCTCCCCGAGCCTCAGACCATCTCCAACAAGGATGGAACAAAGACCATCATCACATTCCGTTACGATGACGACGGCCGAAAGGTCAAGACCACCCGCCGAATTCGCTTCACCACCCACACTGAGACCGTAAACCCCCGCGTCGCCGACCGAAAAACCTGGCCCAAGTTCGGCCTCAGCGCAAAGGACCCCCCCGGCCCTGCTCCCGACACCACCTCCGTCGGCGAGAACATCATCTTCCGACCAAGCGTCAACTGGCGAAAGGCCGAGAAGGATGAGTCCACCGATGCCAACGCCCAGTCCATGAAGGACAAGCTCAAGGACAAGCAAGTCAAGTGCCGTATTTGCAACGGTCAGCATTTCACTGCCAGGTGTCCTTACAAGGATACCATGGCGCCCATTGGAGAGACCGGCGCTGCGGATGTCGCTGCTGGTATGGGAGACGAGCCTTCTGCTGTTGGTGCGGCTGCCGGTGCCAAGAAGGGTTCATATGTTCCTCCTGCTCTGCGTGGAGACAGGGGAGCTGGCGAGAGAATGGGATCCAAGTTCGGCGAGAGGGACGACTTTGCTACACTGCGTGTCACCAACGTAAGTGCCGTCATGCCGCCCCTCTACATATTCATACTGACAATGTCTAGGTCTCCGAGATGGCAGAGGAGCAAGAGCTGCGCGACATGTTCGAGCGCTTCGGCCGCGTCACCCGAGTATTCCTTGCCAAGGACCGAGAAACCGGCATGGCCAAGGGCTTCGCGTTCATCAGCTTCGCAGACCGGGGCGATGCCGTCAAGGCCTGTGCGAAGATGGACGGATTTGGTTTCAAGCATCTCATTCTGCGGGTGGAGTTTGCCAAGAAGGCTCAGTAAGGCTGATGTTTCGATCTTGTCATGGGTTAGTTAGGGGGCACGTCACGCACGGTAATGCATCGATCGGTTGCGGGGATTTTTTAAAAATTATTTGTTTCAACCTCATGATTTCATGACCTTAGGATATGGGCCTGGAGTGGGACAAAAGTGAACTTTGGTCTTTTTGTGATATGAGGTATGATGTGAAGATAGGGGGAGACAGCGCAAATCAAGATTTGTTACATGAGTGGTCTTTGAGAGTGGGCAGCATGTGCTTAGGGGGTTACTTGATAGGGGATGAGAGGATACAGTGACTAGCCGCTTTCCAAAACAAAGTCTTCACAATCCCTTCCTCTTGCAAAACGGGTGTCGTTCCTATTTCTTAGGGGCCGTCCTTGGATAGATCCTTACGGGTGGGCTGTAAACTAACAGATGAGCGCATGGCAATACACCAAATGCTTGCCACAGTTTTAGTCTGGCTGTCTGCTGATAGCCAAGGACAGTTATTTTAAATAAAAAAACAGCTCTGAACATGCCCGAGCTCCATATCTTTCACTAGAGGGTGTAGCTTCATAGTGTTATGCGGCTCCGGTGATAGCCAAGTCAGTCGAGATTCAGCGCCTCTGCATGCCATCAGCGGGCTAGGCATACAATTATCTATCAAACCCAGTACAATGAGATACAGGATCTGTGGTAAAGGATTTGTTGTTATACTGCTTAGAAAGGGGGGTCTTATGGTGATATCCTATGGTGGGAAAAGTACCATTGATCTCTTTTCGTCTTTCTGGTGCTCATCCTTATAAGATCTTTATAAAGGAGAAATTACCATGATCTCGGCTTATTACTACATCAATTTAGCTATTAAATGGTTTAGACGTAACAGACTCGGGCAGTTCCGTCGTTACGTGTTGTTCGTTAAGCCTTGGGCCATGAACCAACGGCGAAGATCAGGTCGATGCCGAAAGCAAAGTACTTCCAGAGATACTCTGCTCTCGTTCCATAGCCTCTCTAAATTATATCCTTAAATCATAGTCAAAACATGGATAGAAATCTCTCTTCTAATCAAGGTGTTAGAGGAGAAGTCTCAAAATCCTGGGATGGCCTAGGATTCCAGAAATGCATTTTCTGATAGGGAGAGAGACATATTCAATGAGGAATAGATTTTGAAGCACATCGCAGAAACACATAGAAACCGAAAGATGAAATAAATATCCTTCTTCCATATTAACCGCCTGTCAACCCGAGGTCTCTAAGACACGAGGTTAGCTCAGTCGCAAACAAGCAAGGGTCAGACAATGCGGGATATACTCGTGCACTTACATGCCAACGGGGCTCCTTCGGCTTTCCATTATGGGAATTAGAACAGGCCACGAACGTTATGACGATTGGTCTTTTTTCATCTCAACAGATTTGACTAGCTTGTAGAGCAAGGGTCGTGTAGTTCGAGACCCTGAATATTTCATGACTAGGACGGATATTCGATGCTTGTTTGACAGATATTCCCGATTCAGGGTGAAGGTCTTGTGATCAAGCTAGAAAACCTGAAGAATATTTTAATTCATTCTCAAGGTTATGATGAACGGGTGAGTCATTCCTGTACGTGGATTCTTCAAAGATGGTTTTTTAACGTGAGGGTGTTGAAGAGCCATACCCTCAGCATCTCTCTGTGTAATTGGAAACCGAGTAAGTGAACCTTTGTGATGGAAGAACAACCAAACCACTTTGCCTTCGGGCAAGCTCTTAGAATGGCCCCTACACTAAGGAATGTTCGAACAGAGAAAAGTTCAGCATTAGGGCAATAGTTTTTTTTGCTCTGAACTTTACCATATAAGAGCTTACAGTTCAGCTCCGCCGCTCTCATCATTCGGGGATACTCTAGCTCGAAGAGAAATTATCACTTCCCTGACAGCTTTCTACGAGGAAATATGTTCATAATGTTGTGCTTATCCTCGTTCTTGTATCCTAGTCTCGCCAGGCTTCTTGAGTCTCCCTTTGCTTAGGTGTTTTTGTCCATGGAAAAACACCTAAATAAACTACCGCTTTAACCCCTTGTAATAGCTGTAATAGTAAGACCCTAGAAGCAGTTCTAATTTTCCATTTTGTTGGGAGAAACCGTCTAGGATGTTTTGTCGTTTCTTACTTGAGCCAGATTTGCATGTGATTGTACCCCACACTTAGACTAAAGGGCCAGGGTTTATTGACTATCCGAGTGAAAGAAATGAGGGCTCAACGGAGAAAAGCCACGCATCAGATCGTCCACTTCAGAGTGAGAGCTCAGAAGAGGTCGAGCTACTCGCTTCCGATGCCCCCCACCCCGTTGTGGGGTTTCTCGCCGTGGTACCTATCGGGAGGCGTCCTCCATCACGGAGCCGGACACCGGTTACAGTCCATGAGGGAGCGGCATGGCAAACGGGTAGAATCGGTAGAGAAGTGTTTCTTCTGACGTTTGAAGAGTATTTCATACACACAGTTTCACTTCTTTGGCTATTTAAGTACACAGCACGGCTTGAGCAAGTGCTGACTTTTGTAATACCATTCTTTGTCGCTGCAGTTCTCAAGATGCAGTAACCAAAGAAATAAAGCACGCGACTCAATGAGTGGGGGAAGATGATGGAAGCTCAGAGTCCCCGCCGTACCGTCACTTTCGGCCATGCTACCGTAGCCCCGCGCACACTTGCACTGGATGATCATGGTATGGATGGAAGTAGCCCGGTAATCACAGTGGGTTTAGCGCTCTTGTCGCGGCGCAAATGTAAAATGGACGCCCCAATTCAAGCCTCAATGCACTGTAGAAAGGCAAGTCCGTGACTGGCCCTGTTAATTGCACATGTTCGTTTGAACGGGACGGAAGGTGCTACTGGGCTGGTTTCACGAACTGGACACTTCCCAACTTCTCGTCAAATTCGTCATTTTTCTCCTTTCTTCATCATTTTCCTTCACTTGTACATGAGTTACTGTTCCATCAAACAGGCTCAAACAGCATCCTCCCATACGCCGCTTTCAGACCTCGCACCAATCAGTAGCTTCATGCATGTTGCTCTCATTCTCCATCGCTCGCTGGAAATCGACACTCAATCCCCTGCTATATCGCTCCTCTCTTTCACTTATGGAGCCGCAGCTCCAGACCCAGACCAGGAACTAGACCAGGAACTAGCTTAAGCCAGGGCTTAAACAGCCGGTCCAGCGATTGATAGCTCCTAACCAGGTGACCCCGTCCCTAACGTCTAAGCCAGCGGAGCCCTGACGTCGTTTCAAACTCCCGCCGCAACCCTCCCAACAGCCGACTATTAACTTCTTCCATTCCGATTTCTCTCATCTTCCCTTTTATTTCAACCTTCGTTCTTTTTGTCATTCTGGCATTCAACTTGCCAGTACCTTGTCGCCTGTCTTGGATATCACTCGTCTTGCTCATACCATCCTCTTACTGCTGAAATATCGCCAGTCATGAGTACTGCCGCCGATCTGCCTGCCAGCGGCCCTGGGCTTCGGCAACGGCAATCTGGGGTTGATCCTCCTGCCCAGCAAGACAAGCCTCAAGCAGAACAAGGGCATAGCCGCCAGTCATCTGATGTGCCTTCCCCATCTGATAAGTCTAGTAAGACCTATGGTCGAACCCCAGACGGCACAGGTATGTACATTCCATTAAGGTTGTTGTGGTGGTGTGTTGCGTCGGTGCGTCTTTGGCTGACTGTCACATGTAGTCTTTGTCGTACCCACAACCCATGATATGGTTTCTCAACTTTTGGATCCTCGACAACCCAAGAACCTCTCTGATGCAATTGTCTTGACAATTCTGGGCCTTCATATCTTAGCTGCTTATTTCCTGCCATCTAGCTCGAAACGCATCGTTTTCGCTGCTGTCTTCCTGTTCTGGCGAGCTTGTTACAACATCGGCATTGGTGTACTCCTCCAGATTCAGTCAAATCACCGTCGTCTTGTCACTTGGGCTCGGCGCTGGAAGCTCTTCGAGAATCCTTCAACAGGCAAAAACCCGCGACCATGGCTCTACAAGCTACTAAAGAACGAACTCGAGACAAAGATCCCGGAGGACTATGAATTCGAGAAGGCCCCCATTGAGTACAATACTTGGTTGGTCTTCCGAAGGGTTGTTGATTTGATCCTCATGTGTGATTTCGTGTCGTACTGCCTGTTCGCCATCGTCTGTGGTCACACCCCTGAAGGCGAGAATCCTTTGATCGGTTTCTCCCGCTGGGCTGTTGGCATCACCCTAATCGGCTTCAATCTCTGGGTGAAACTCGACGCCCACCGTGTTGTGAAAGACTTTGCCTGGTACTGGGGAGACTTTTTCTATCTCATCGACCAAGACTTGACCTTTGACGGTGTCTTCGAGATGGCTCCTCACCCCATGTACTCGATCGGATATGCTGGTTACTACGGTATTTCCATGATGGCTGCCAGCTATGAGGTTCTCTTCATCTCGATCCTCGCTCACCTGGCACAATTCGCTTTCCTCGTGATTGTCGAGAACCCGCATATTGAGAAGACCTACAACCCTCCTCCTCCTCGCAAGCGAACCGTTTCCGGGGGTCAAAGTGATGCCATACCCACTGATATGAAATCGCTTGAAAGTGCATTCGATCAACAGACGCTTACGCCCGCCCAAAAAGACGAGCCGGCTCCCGTCCACAATCTCGTTGGTTTAAGCAATCTTGACTTGTTCCGCGTCCCTGACTTTGCCGTCATTCTTATGCCGTTCTATGTAGCCGTTCTCACTCTTGTGACACCTTCAACTGCTGCATGGCAGGCGGCTTTCGTGTTTCACGCTTTAGCCTGGCGTGTTTGGTATCATCTCGGCCTAGGTCTTATTCTCGACCAACAGTCTAAGAACAAGATGTGGACGCGCCACTTCCTTAAATTTGGCGAGAGTGCTGGTGAAGCCTGGCGTCAATGGAAGGGCCTCCACCACATCAGCATGATCATGTGTAACACTGCATTTGTCGCCGCTTGCTGGAAGATGTACTCGCCACCCGAAGATTGGGCTTATGGCCTGGTCCTGCTCAAGCATGTTCTTGGTGCTAGTCTCGTTGCCCTTCAGTTGTGGACCGCATTCAGTGTCTATGATTCTCTCGGCGAGTTTGGCTGGTTCTGTGGCGATTTCTTCTTTGATCAACAGGCTAAATTGACTTACAAGTCTATTTACCGGTTCCTGAACAACCCTGACCGGTTCTTCGGAACGGCTGCAGTGTGGGGTGCCGCACTCATTACATGGAGTCGATCCATTTTCCTCATGGCCCTGTTCACTCAGATCCTGACTGTCTTCTACATCTCGTACATCGAGCGACCCCACATGCAAAAGATCTATGGTCGCAGCCTTCGTCAAGAAGCGGGCCTGACCAAGTTCATTAAGAAATCATTGCCTCCTCCTGTCAAAGGATGGCAAGAGAGTGTCGACAAGGTGTTGGATGACACCAGCCAATTCGTTGAGGACTTTATCGATACCGCTCGACCTAAATTCGCAGCAGGTGTTAAGACCATCGTGCGCGATACTTCGGCTCTTTTCAACATGGCTCCCGCACGACTCACCATTACAAGAATTGCTCCTGATCTAGAAGGCCGTGACCCCAAGTTCTACTCGCTTTCTGTAGAGGGTACTCCTGTTAACCATGCACCTATCATCGAGAAGTACACTGGAAAGGAGAGTTTGACAGGCCGGTTCCCTAAGCCCGTTAAGACCATGGCTTTTGAATATGGAGCGCCTCTTCGAGTGAAGTGGAGGGCCCCTGCCAACCACAGCAAGAAAGATTGGATTGGTCTTTACATGGTTACCGACAATCGTTCAAGGGAAACGACTGAGGTATCTTCTTTGGGACGATGGGCACCTACGAACGCTGGCTCTTATGATGCCTTGACTGCTGATGTTAGCATTGTGGTTGAAGAGCATCCAGTGACCCCAACTGAGATCACAGAAACCGATCTGGTCGAAGGTGAAGTTGTGTTTGAAGGTGACAAGTTATGGTGGACACAGGGTGTATTCGAGTTCAGATACCACCACAACGGACACCATCATGCTATGGCGATCTCAGAACCTTTCGAGATTCGAATCAGCAAGTTTGATGAAGAGGATGTCGACCTTGGTGCCAAGGGCTTGTACGAGCAAGCCGTTGAGGCAGCCCTTCTTCCTGTTGTTCAGAACTGCCTGGACCGTGATCCAGACATTGCACCTAACCAGCCTGAGGAGCCTTTTGGAGGCCATGTTGAGCGCGACACGAAATATGCCAAGAGGATTGTCTACGCCATTCGGGAAATGTTTGGCATTGAGTTTGCACCACCTGTCGTCGCTGCAGATGGAAGTGTTCGTAAACTTGCTTGGAGAATATGCAACGCTAAGGAAGTTCTGGTATGTACAACATCAACTACGAGGTTACTCAAAGCTAACAGTTTACTAGGCTCCATACAGCATGTCTTTATCAAGAGGAACTACAACGCCTGCAATTCAGGACTTCCCTTCAGAAAAGGCCTAGTTGAGAGAAAGAAAATGGTTGGAGATGTTGGTGACAGAAGTTTTTGTACAGATGGTATGGGGTGAGGTGTTGGTTGGAGTGCTTTTGAGATACCAAAAATGAAGCAAGAGGATACTAAAAATAAGAAATAGTTATAACTTGTAGAACACTCCCATAATACTTCGATCGTGATGGATGGAGTAATGACATTGCTATTCCTGGCCGCATGAAAAGATCAATGCAGGCACGTTGATCCTTCGTCCAAGCATACTAGAGGGTGGCAGAAAACTTCAGACTCAAGTTCAAAGTGACAAAAAGACTTAGACAATATTTTAAAATCTTAGGGGAGTTTATAATAGACTTAGCTTCCTCTTTAACCCGTTTATTTTCTTACCTTGATGCTAGGTCATAAGTCTTCTGGCGCCCAGAGGGCATGGTATGATTTATAGTGTCACCAGTATAAACAATCATCCAATACATCAAAGTACCACCGAGCATGCAGTCAACTGAAACTGTTTCTGAAACAAATCGCTTCCCGTGCAAGGACGTTGGAAGCTGAACTCTAAATCAAGCTTTAGCGGCAACACTAGATCTATCTGGTGATACTTGCATGCAATACGAAGTCATCACAGTGTCACCCTGATCTGCACGGCTACTGTAGTGTATTCCTTCAGAGCCTAAGGATCAATCTCACTTCTGCATCTTCACCTCCAGTTTGTTTTCTTAGCAGAATTGTTGTCCTTCACTTTGATCTCTCCTCTGATCGGCATCGCTGTCTCACCCATGCTCTCACACCTGGTTTGATAGCTTGCGGCTAGTGCGGTGAAGCTACGTCAGCTCTAACAACTCTGTCATAATCTTCAACTTGCCACAACATTGTGCATCAACTGGAGACAATGAAGTTCTTCGGCCGTCAGAGACTCTCAAAGAACCCCTTTCGGGATAACAGCACAACACTTCTCGTCTCAACACTCCTTCTCGCCGCGCCTATCACTGTGTTGTTGCTCCATTGTGTATATCAAACTTACTATCGCAGAGGCGCGCACTGGAGTCACAGCCATGATATTCTTGAATCAGGTACTCACCATGAGCCAGATGTGTTGTTGTATGTTGCGTCCTACAGTGGACTTGTCACGACGTTGAATCTCTCGCTTGCTGAGTATCGAGATAAGCCTGTGAAGCTTGAAGCATTGTCCACAACGGATGGATGTGCTGGAAGCCCTTCATGGCTTACACTCGACTGGTATAACGGAGTGCTGTATTGCACTGACGAAGGACTTAAGGATGGGAAGCATGGATCGTTGGTATCCTTCGCAACACGTGAGAACGGCACTTTGACGCCTCTGGCGAAGACGTCCACAGTTCTTGGTCCTGTGAGTGCGGTCATGTATGGCGAGTGGAATTACGGGCTGGCAGTAGCCCATTAGTATGTATTCTCCTTCGAACCTTAAGGTTCAGCATCAAACGGCTGACGTTTTTCCAGTGGCGGTTCGGCATTTACAACTTGGGACATTCAAGATCCGGCAAATCTCACATCGCTGAATGTCCAACAGTTCAGCCTTCCCGAGCCTGGTCCGGACCCTTCAAGACAGGACGCATCTCATCCCCATGCTGCAGTCGTTGATCCGACCAAACGATTCATTCTTGTACCTGATCTGGGAGCAGATCTGATTCATATATACGGCGTTGGTTTCGAGGGTCTGGGCCTGTCCAAGCTTGATCCATTGGCCATTGCCCCGGGCGGCGGGCCCCGACATATTGCCTTCGTAGTCAAGGAGACCAAGACATTCATGTACCTTGTCACCGAGCTGGCCAACACCATTATCGGCTATGAGGTCGTATATGGTGGCGAGTTTATCAGGTTCAAGGAAATATGGAACAGTGGCATCCATGGAGAAGGCAAAGATGTGCCACAAGGCGCTGCTGCTGCTGAAATTGTCGTATCTGTAAGTGTGTTCATAACCCTTGAGCAACGTTCATTCTAACTTTTGAACAAAGCCGGACAGAGAGTTCTTGATCATCTCGTCTCGGAATGAAAGCACTCTCGAAGTTCCAAACTTTGACGCCAGTAACAGTACTATAACATCCGATCCGCTAGTCAGTTTCAAAATTGACTCGGATACTGGGCATCTCATCCTGCAACAAGACGTCCCATGTGGAGGCAGGTTTCCTCGTCACTTTTCTATCAACAAAGCGGGAACGTTGGTTGCAGTGGCTCTTCAAAATGATAGCCGTGTGGTCATCATTGAGAGGGATGCCGAAACTGGAATGATGGGTGATTTCGTCGCCTATGCAGAGCTGGAAGGTGAAGTTACAGCCGTGATCTTCTACGAGTGACCATGAGCTTCGCCGCTTGAAGAAGGATGCCTCGCAGCTTCTTTGGCTCCGTCCTGCGTCATCTCGTGCATCTGTCTCCTGGTGTCTCTCCGTGCAACTGACGTTACTGAGAATGAGAGAGCTTAATGGCGTATGGCCATCCGTCCACAATACCTGAAACTTATGGGTATCGTCTTATTTCGCAGGACCAACTCATACGCAGACAGTATCAGCCTTGAATGCCTTGATTTGTGGTTTCGGATTGACGGCTGCTAGATCCGAAGAGGCTGTGGGTTGCAGAATCAGGGACACTTTTTGGATGCCCGTTATTCACTTGATTGGTGATGGGCTCCCACAACTGCTCGATCGTGTTGTTGTGACGCAGGGGATGATGCGAAGCACACTACATTAGCGTGTAGGTTGTTGTGTCTTTCATGCAGCGACCTCGGAGAACATGAGAGACTGTCAGTCCATCAGGCCTGGACGACAAGACTGTTGCTCTTGAGCGGGTGCAATCCTTGCCGGAGTCGTATCGGGCATTGAATCTCCCGGATGCCCGAAAAGGGAATCGAGGGGACTGTGGATTTGGAGATCAGGTCGCAGCCTGGTAATAAGGCTCAAAGTGATGGCCAGGGTGTTGAAGACCCTGAAGATGTTGTTGATGTGGGTAGCGGCACGGCTCCTTGGCAACTCGATCCTCTAAATGCTTGAGCAGCTCGTTATAAAGCTTACTAGGCAGGCCTGATGTACATATGGGATTATCAACATCATCTATTTGAGTTCTGACAGGAAATGTGTCTTGCGACTTGAAGACATCGTCTACCCGAGTGTTTGGATATGTTCAAGCCATGACCCGAACCGATGGGTTTCTGTCTGTGCCGTGCTGTCGTCTGGAGTCTCTGGACATGGTAGATTAACGCGAGCGTTAATTAGCCGGAAGATCCATCAAACAACCTTGCCAGCAGTGTTCCGTAAGTGGACAAAACGTGCCACACCTTTAAGCTTCCCCGCAGGTTGACAGTCGTCTCGAGATGGGCACCCCAGACCGGAGCAGGCTAAAACCGAACCCCAGGTTGGTCACGGGCTGAGATTTGGATTGGACTGGGCTGCGAGGCTCCAACGGAAGAGCACTCCTATTCGGGCCGTTACATGGGTCGGGCGCATGAGCGCTTGTCATGATGGGCGAGGCCGAGCGACGGTGCGTCTGGGCAAGGCAATGGTATACTGTAAGTAAGTCAGTGTAAGCATTAGGAAAGCTGAGACCAGATTTCGATTTCAAAGCCACGTTTATTAGAAACAAAGGTCTGTGCGTCATAATATATCGGATGAGCCGGAGATCGGTATTTGAAATATTATTCTATATCAAAATCGCCGAGTGAGGATGTGGAATTCTGAGTGAGCATCAAGTCCTTTTGGGTTGAAAGATTTGCAGACCCCATGGTCATGAGCGAGAGGTCCGGGTGTCATCCGAGACAGTCAATCACTTGCTACAGTTAAGACCTCTCTCCTCTCGTGGCGATTCTAACCCCGCTAGGGTCTAGAACCATTCATTACCTTGACGGTGACGGTACGGTTGTCTGTCAAATCGTGGTAGAGATGCATTATTCGGGGGTTCATTATGCCACCATTTGGAGGAGACGTATCTATATGATGGCGCACTCGGCAATAAGAGGATCGTATTATGTCAAATAACAACGGTAAAGAGAAGATTGCAATGTGATCACATCGTTAAACTCAAGGATGAAGCATGATATTGTTGTGTTTTAGTTCCAGGTGCATGTCAAGCAGTGAAGTGAAAGAACTGGGATATCTATTAGCTTCTCCCATGCGTTCCTTCCTTATTACTCTTGATATTGCTGCAAGGGCAGTACGGCAAGCACAACATGGGACGACATTTCCGCTCTTTCCCCAAAGCTTCCAGCGCAGTATGTACCTGAAATCCACATACGAAGCAACAACACATTTAACCTGCACCTCGATCATGGAACACTTACCAACTTTGGACAACAAAAAATGCGTCAACAACCCCAATCTCAGAGAAGAAATTGAACCTCATCCTCCAGAAATCGCTTCTCCACACGCAAACGGTCTTGCTGCAAGGATTCCCACCAATCCCCCTCAACAACCGCCCACCTCCATCCCAACCTTATCCCTGTCGTGGCGGTTTAAACGAGAACAACTGGCTTGAGCCACCCAATCCTCTGGGGAACAATTGAGTTGATGCTTGCGAACGCTTCAGGAAGGCCAGGACAGCGTGACGGACCAGCTCTATTCTCACAGTGCACTACAGAGCAGCGTAGCTACTATGGACTTCCCCAGATTATCTGCTGCTGACACTCTGAGACTCCAGATTTGGAAGCGAATCGCCATCGTACCAAGAAACAAAACGTACGCCACCACCACTTTAAGCAAAACTGCCCCCGAGACAAGTCATTTCGGATTTTGCTCGACATATCATGCCATGCCTTAAATCAACTTCTCAGGCACCTCGACCGCGGAACTGAGTACATACATGTTGACCGGGTCTATCCATTGTTGGACACTCTCTTCGGCCGACTCTGTTGGGCCAATAAACGAGAAGTCCCCCAGGTCGACTCTCTACCTTTCTCACCTAGTCTCTCCCGCCCGTTTCTCCACCACCCTCTTCCGAGTTCCACCGCCCGCCGACCCAGGGTCCGGGGTTAAGTCCAAGTGCAGCTACAGAACAACGGGGACTCGGAGACCCTTGTCCTGGCTCTTCCCCCATACATAACCATTTACTCCTCCATTTCGGTCGCAGGAAAGGACGCCTCTTTCAACGTTCAGTGTCTCAAGAGAATTTCGGTGTTCTTATTGTGAGGCTGACGTTCTTCAATTGTCTGGCGGAACGACCAAACCGCGAATCAACTTTGAAGGAAACCAGTCGCTCTTCACCAGCTCAACTTCAACAAAGCTCTGAAACGTGAGCTTGGTCGCATCATCTGATGCTCATCTCACCATTCTCGAGCATCTATCTACCTTGCTACATAATGCTATTTTGCTGAAAGAACTTTTCGAAGTCGTACGCATCATTGCTTTGTTCACGCCGCTACACCAACTCAACTAGAACTTATTCTCGAGGCCGTTCCTCGATCCCGCTTCATTTTTGACGCCAACCTATCATCATGTCCGCCTCATCGACAGGCGAATCCCTTCATTCAATCTCTCTCAACTCAGCGCGACCATTCACGGTTCCTGCACGCGACAGCTTTTCTCTCGAACTTCCGATATCTTCACTTACAGCAATGTCGGCCGACGCCTCGCTCAAGTCCCCTGTCGGCTACAAAAACCAGCGCACGCCCAGTTTCAGTAGGGAGGGCATACTAAGTGCATCTCAAAAATCTCGACATCTTTCGCAGTCATCTGACAACAGACCTGACAACATGTCCAATGGCGCGCAAAAGGTCTCAAGCGATGAAGGCTCGAACCCACTCAAAAGGAGGAATACCGAAACGGGCGTCGATTACCCCCGCCGTAGGGCCACTATTGCTGTGCGTCACTACACCATTTTTATTTCATTTACTTCTATCATTTCCGCTTTCGTATACTGACACCTACTAGTGCGAGGTTTGCCGCTCAAGGAAATCCCGTTGCGATGGCACGAAACCAAAGTGCAAGCTCTGTACAGAGCTTGGTGCTGAATGCATTTATCGGGAGCCAGGCATTAAGCTTGACGCTGGTGACAAGCTGATCTTGGAGCGTCTCAACCGCATTGAAAATCTCCTTCAGATGAATATGGTGAACACAACAGCAAATGGACTAAACCTAACTGACAACTCGCCTGGTATGAGCAATGGCACGGGGCTTGATGGAGACAACATGATGCTGTCGGCCAACGCTGCCTCTTTTGGCTCTATCCCCAATGGTGGATTTGGGACTTGGTCCGCCCAACCGACCGGAACCAATATTTCTACGATGCCTAAAGTCCACACTAATGCCACTATGCATTTACTACAATGGCCTTTGATTCGAGATTTAGTCTCGCGACCATGCGATCCCCAGATTTTACTACAATTGGAAATGGCACGAGAACCACTCCACACTCTGACTAAAACCCCATGTGTGGACTTGTCGAATACTCAGGCTTACATCGAGGCCTATTTTGAGAGAGTTAATATTTGGTATGCTTGCGTCAACCCGTATACCTGGAGGAGTCAATATCGTACAGCCTTGTCCAACGGTTTCAGAGAGGGACCGGAGAGTTGTATCGTGCTTCTTGTTCTTGCTCTGGGCCAGGCAAGCTTGCATGGCAGCATTTCGAGAATCCTGCCACAGGAAGACCCCCCTGGGCTTCAATACTTTACAGCAGCGTGGTCGCTGCTTCCAGGATTGATGACTGCCAACAGTGTGGTAGCGGCACAATGTCATCTCCTTGCTGCTGCTTATCACTTTTACCTTGTCCGCCCTATGGAGGCATGGAACCTGCTTTGCACGACAAGCACGAAACTACAACTCCTTCTGATGGCCCCAAGCCGTATCCCTAGCCACCAGCGAGAGCTCGTGGAGCGAATCTACTGGAATGCGTTGCTTTTTGAGAGCGATCTTCTTGCGGAACTCGACCTGCCTCATTCAGGGGTAGTACAATTTGAAGAGAACGTTGGCTTGCCTTGTGGATTTGAGGGAGATGAGTCAGAACAGGTCGGTCGAGACGAGCTTTGGTACTTCCTTGCAGAGATTGCTCTACGTCGGCTGTTGAATAGAGTGAGCCAGCTCATCTATTCTAAAGACTCGATTGCATCAACAACAAGTCTGGATCCTGTGGTTGCGGAGCTTGATTACCAACTGAGCCAATGGTACGAGAGTCTACCACTGCCCCTGCAATTCCCTTTCACACGAAATGCGCTGCAAGATCCGGTTCAAACCGTCCTTCGACTTCGATTCTTTGCTTGTCGCACCATTATATATCGGCCATACATTCTAGCAGTGCTAGACAACGAGCAAGCAGTATTAGATCCTGCTGTGCGGGAGAACTGCCATAAGTGCTTGGAGGCTTCTATTCGACAACTCGAACATATTCACGAACAGTGGGTCTCTTTGTTTCAGGAATAAAGTATTCGATTGCTAACAGGGACCCAGTCATGCCGGCCATATGCCATACATCTGGCAAGGTGCTCTATCGATAGTCTCCCAAACTCTACTCATCATGGGTGCCAGCATGTCGCCGTCGTTGCTTAGCATTCTGCTAACCTTGGTGCCTCACCGTGAGGCGTTGGACCAAATGATTAATGATGTTGTGTTAGAAGTTGAACGATATGCAACTCTGGCCCCTAGCTTGAGTCTGTCCTCAGAAATTCTCAAGGAGGCAGAGGTGAGAAGACGCGCGTTCCTCGGTACTCCGTAGGTGCCGGTCGATCTGTGTCAGATTGATAGATGGCACTCATAACGAATGCGACAAAGCTACTTCGTCATCAGCTCTGACGTACTATTCTATTACTTCGACTTCAGACCGCGGCGTTATTCAATAGTAGCGCCGCCCCTTACTCCCATACGACCAAGATACGCCTCATGGGTGCAATTGCTACCCCAAGAAACTAGGTGGGCTGGATGTCGCCCCGAGAAGAGTGCTCTGGGGTGATATCCTGGGGTGCAGCGTCGAGGAATATGTCTTTATTGGTTGGGTGTTGAGCCTAACACGGTTCTGCGGGCCGCGTGGCCGGGTTTTCCCAATACACTGGCTTCCATGGATACTTCAACGATCTTACTATCAGGATCTCGGATTGATGTAATGTAGATCATGCATAAGCTAGTCGCTAGTGCTAGCTGGAGGTTCCCTGGGGGAAATGGCGTACAGATTTCTCACCTCTGATTAACCATCAAAGAACATGATGACGTCTCTTATGATAGCATCTATACCCATTTGTTTAATTGTACAATATTAAGAAGATGAAGATAAGCAAGAAATCTTCGGACTGTCAACCTATGAAATTGATTTGTCTGCCAAGATTAATTCTCACCTCAGTGTTGATGACGATTTTGCAGTGATGTAGCCCAATACTCGACGGACCTTTCATGCAGGAAGAAGAGGTAGAATGCAGCGAATTGTATCTACTCTTCATGACAGTCATGATGTAATAGATATCTTACTTGCGTAGAAGTGCATGAATGAGATGGTGACACCAGGTCCTAACCATAAGACTCATACGTAGTCGTCACATCCTCGCAAGGATAACGATGCTAACTATAAGGGGTGCAAAAGACCCTGCAGATTGCTAAAGAAGTCAAAATCAGAAGAAAACAAAGCCCATTGGGAGATCGGCAGGAACGCCGTCATATCCCGTAATGGCCGCTCCGTTCCGATGAGGCCCGTTATGGCTGCCCGGACCGGGCCGAGTTTTAATGACCCACATGAAGAAATCGCCGGTATGATGAAGTCCGGAAGTGTATTGTATGAACCCCACGCGGGAACGGAAGACGGTTTTAAAGTCATAGAGTTTCGGGTGAGGTTTTAGGACTGAGTTAATGGATGATGTTAGTGGGGGGCTAATGAGCTGCTGCGAACTTGCTACTTGATCTCATGATGTTCTGTCTTGGGCTGTCTGGGGATGAAGGTAAGATCTTGCCACAGTGATGTTATTTCTCTGGTGAATATCAGAAACAGGCAATGATAGATATTGCCTGCATAAAATATACAGCACTTGCATTTCTTGAACATAACATCAGTGGGCAATGGATATCTGGGGTTCATGTGCTCTGTGTAATGTTATGTCTCAGTTAGCTCAGCCACGTGACATCACACCGACAAAAACTGATCATCCACAGTCTCATCTTTTCTTGCTTTGGATACCAGCCACCCACGAAGTATCGTTGGACAAGAGAATTCTTGCCCGTCAAACTCGTATGATTCTGGCTCGTACGGTGTTATGCTGTGAAGCACATATGACTTTATAACGCAGGGTCTCCTCTGAACTCAACATCAGTCGTTACGGGGTCTAAGAGCAAAAGGACAGGCCTGGTCTACATAACCCAACCCCCCTGGCCATTTCAGAACCCACCCACGCGGGGGAGGGGCATTTTGATTCGTTTCTAGATGCCTGATGCGTTAGGTGATGTGAGGTAACTGGCCATTAAACCACGCCCAAACTTGGTCTGCCGCGTTATCCTGTGGAAGCATAGCATCCATAACAAGCTACAGAGAGTGCTGAGGAATGTTACTCAAGGTCTACATATGGAGATTGTCTGTGTTACTCTCCTCTTTTCCTCTCCGACTTTTTGATATTTCGTTCATCTTCTCTTCTTTCTACTTTTGCCTTTTTCCTTGGTTCATCTACTAGTTCGTTGAGGCCCATCGAGAGACAACGTCGTCTCGCGGCCCAACTTGTAAGGCACCAGAAGGAGAACCACACACATCCAATCCTTTTCCATTCTCTACCTCTCGCCCCAACTTCCGACTCGACTCGACCTCGACGTGACGCTGCAAGCTGCGGTTGCCATGCATGATCAGCCCCCAGACTCCAATCAACTTTGGGGGGTGCAATTGCTCACGCAGCGTGGACTTCGTTGAGTGGCTCGACCGCTCGTCACCACGACTATTTTGGCCCTTGCCCGTTGCATTCCGACATATAAACTAGTCCAGCCTAGGACACCAACTCTCACGTCCAGCGCGCTGAGCTGTGCTGTTGCTGTGCTGTGCCGTGTTCCCTTCTGGGTCCTGCAGGAGTCCATCCCTCTCAGAAAAAATGAGGCTAGGATACGATCGAGACGTCGCTGATGGAGAGGCCCGACTTCCACTCGTGCGTCGCAGGCCCCTCCGCCCTGAATCTCACGATTGGTACGGCCCTAGTGACGTCGTGCCCTATAACCAGTACCCAATGCCCCATCGGACACGAATCGACGAACTACAAAGGCCCAACGGAAGGACACCCAGGGGATATTCCAGGAGTATGAGTCTCGATGCATACCCGCCTACAATGCCCATGCCGCCAGCACACCTGATGCGTGCCTCAACAGATGTTTACAAGAAACGCCCTCAGTTCTCGGTATATGAAGCAGACGAAGATGAGGACGATGATGAACGCTGGCCGGCTATGAAACCACGGGGTAGACATCCGGAGCCCGCGAGGCCTCGGCAGGTGGTCCGAAGACGGAGAGAGCCTACGCCCGAGTCGACACCCCCGACAGATAGTGAAAGCGAGAGTGAGAGTGAGAGCGAGGAGGAAAGTGACGATCAGAACCAGATAGAGGTTGTGGTGGAAGAACCAGAGGAGAAACATAAACACCATCATCGTCGACACCGTCGATCACCCAGCCCAGACGATTATCTCAGTTCACCAGATGAAAAGAGAACGCCACGGAGGAGAAATCGGATGCCATCGCCATCGACCTCGGACGAAATAGAAATAAGATATCGACAGGCTTCTTCTGAAAGAGGCTCGCCGGACCGCAGACCTGCTCTGAGACGAGAGATCAGCGATACACCCAGATACAGTCTCCCCACAAGATTCAATAGTGTACTTGGTGCTTCTCGGCCACCCGTGGCTTCCAGAAGGTAAGTTCAATGCAATTGATTCTTACGAACAAGACTAATTAAGGATCAGAACTGCCAAGGTGGTTGAGTCTCGTGAATTAGTTCGTGAAGGCCGCCCGCGGAGACTACCTATAGCTACAATTGAAACTGTTGAAGTCTCTAGGGAGTCTTCACGACGTCCCCCAAGCATAGCCCGCAGCGGATTTGGATCATCCAGAAACTCATCCCCAGACCGACCCCGTTTAATGTGAGTGGCATGAATCACATTGCGGTGATCAATTGCTAACAGTCATACTACAGCCGTGATTGTAAAGGCTGTTTAGACGAGGTCCCTGCCTCTAAATGCCCCAAACTTGATTGCGGCCATCGTATGTGCCACAGCTGTCTGAAGAGGCGGTTCAAGCAATCAATGACAGAAGCTGAACATATGCCGCCAACATGCTGCACCGATGCCCACATTGGTCTGGAGCATGTTGACAAGCTTTTTGATTCTACGTTCAAAAGAATATGGAACAAGAAGTTTGTCGAGTACTCCCTCAGGAACAGGCTCTATTGTCCGTCACGACGATGCGGTGAATGGATTCGACCAGCTGATATTTACCGCGATCGCGAGACAGGACGCAAAGCTGCTCGTTGTGATCGGTGCAACACTAAAGTTTGTGTTGCCTGTAATGGCAGGTGGCATTTTGCGAGCAAGTGTCCTAGGGATGAAGAGACGGCGAGGTTTCTTGAGTATGTCAGAGTTGAGGGGCAGAAGAGATGCTATAGATGCGGTGCTTCAGCTCAGCTCCGAGAGGGCGACAATCATGCACTATGGTAAGGACAGCCTTTGATACTTTACACGGTCTTTTCTAACATGTACAGTCGGTGTGGTGCCGAATTTTGCGTCGTGTGTGGAGAGAAACCCAAGAGATGCGAATGTCCATGGTTCGACCCTGATGCTCCCGAATCCGATCACGAGCAAGAGGTTACACATCGAGGCGAGATTCAAGTCTTCCGTGAAGATAGCACTGAAGAAGAATCTCGTGTTGCTCGACGGCCACGAAAAGCTAAACCCTCACGGCCCCCGATTTACGATGAAGAAGCTATTATGCGTCAACAACAGGAGGAACGTGACGATGAATTGGTCCGCAGATCACACTACCATGGCAAAGACTACGAATACGATATTGGAGGTGCTCCAGAAATACCTAGGTCTAGCGATCCTTACTCAGGCGATAGTCCTCGCCGTGTAGGTCGTAGAGTCGTCGGTGCGCCTCCATCATCACCAAGCCGAGCAGAGTTCGAAAGAGGCACCCCCAGAAGCGGAGGATACTACGGCGGACGAATGGACAGACGCCATGCCGAAGACCGTTACGTTCCGGACTCTCCAGGCATGCGACCTCCACCAATGGGAATGCCACCTCCCGTCATAGAGGAAGGATACCGCGGAGGTATAGGACCTCTCATCGTCGAGCGTGATCCAAACACTTACGACGACGACGATTCGTACTACAGCCACAGCTCGCGCAGTCGAAAGGGTACGCGACGCAGCGAGAATCGAAAGTCTTCCGAGCTCGCCGGTCTCGGTCCACGGACCCCGGGATTGAACCGGATCGACGTCTGGCGGACGTTTGTTGAGCCCGGCGATCCCGAGGGAGAGATAGCCGCTGCAGCTGCCGTGACTGCATGAAGTTTGAGCGATAACGAAACGATTTTTTATACGTTTTGATCTCGAGCAAGATTGATAGATTGTCTTTTTGTACGATAGGCTTTCTTCTTTATTTGTCTAGGGTTTAATTTTGGTGGGAACTCTTGTCGCATGGGATGTTACGCAAAGGCCAACAGAACTCTCTAGACGCATGGCATGTCATGGTATGGTATGATGATGGTAGGAGCATAAGCACAAGCGTGCGTGAGCATCGGGGTCTGAGAAGGATGAGACTTTCTGTCATCTAGCCTTGATATTTCTTCATAAATTATGCATTCTTCTGGCCCCCACAACTGCCACGGCATTACGGTTGAGGTGCATATTTGACTTGGCTTATATTCCGAGCTTTGTGATAAAGCTGCCGTGCGTATTTATTTCCGCGGAAGACGTGTACTTACTTCGTAGACCTGCGTATGCGTATTGGACCATACACGGCTTCGATGAAACAAGGCTTTTTAGCAGTTGATTATCTCGCCGCTGGACAGCACCCGAATCCCGTTGTCCAAAAGCCTCTGTGGCGGCCGTTCCCAGTTTAGAACCTTATCACCCCTTGCCCACACATCCTGCCGCCTCTCATACCAGTTGTCCACGGTGAGGGTGGACGTCTGCCCTTGTACAGTTTTTAAAGAAATGGTCTTCTGCGGTGGCTTAGGCATGGCCGGCCACTCAATGGGCCTTGGAACGTGGCCTGGACGAAAGTCTCCTTCCCTTCGTTCCCGCCATTCTTGCAACATAAGCTGATATGATTCAACTGAATGGTCTAGCTTTACTTCCGGGTGCTTTACCCACTTTAACCCCAGGTTGTCGATGTTTTGATCTTCGTGCGGCATGCTCCGGAGACTATCATCTTGAGTAATAATCTCGTAGGTGGTGAATATAACGCCCTTGACATCATTCCGGTCTTCGACGTAACTCTCGCCCTCTCCAGGTGAAGGACAGTTGATGCGGGCCGCAAAGTTGAAATCAAAGAGCATGATAGAGTCTTTCGGCTCGTCAATCAAGAGGTTTCGTGGAGCAATATCTTGGTGCGCGATGCCATGGTCGAGGTTCAAATCGTCTACGACCTTTATAAGTTGCTGTAGCCACTTGAGTTTGAAAACGCGCGACTTGTTCTCCTCTAGATTGCGGCCAGGCACGTAGTTGCTAGTAAATCCTACCACGCGACACTCGAGCTCGTCAACGACGACGCGGTCAAACGGAACGATATTTGGGTGGTGTGGGAGACGCATCCATAAATTCATCTCCTTCCAAGACATCTGCGCATACTGCCACAAGAAGTAGTATTTGAAGACGACCTCCCAAGGGTCAGCTTCATCACAGGACGAGATATTCAAGATCAGGACCTAGATATCACCTTTTTAGCAGGTCCCTTTATACATGGAGAGTATACAACCAGGTCCGCGTCAGGACCAAGCCTTTCGAGTTCCTGAAGTTTGTCCCGCCGCACAGTCTGAACTCCTTCTGGGAGACAGGCATCGTGAAGGGATGGATAGTGTACACAGCAGGTCGAATCGTTTTTCGAATCTGTATATGTCGAGATGATCTCACCGTTATGCGATACATATATTCTGTGAATATCGTGAGATAGTTGATCGCTATGGCGGCTGAAATGTTCAATGGCAAGACTCTCATCGTCCTGCTCCCCGTTCATAGTTACCGAAACAACCCGTCTCTGATCCCAATCGACAAGATGCCAAGTACTCGGTCCACCAACTGGGATATCACCGCTTAGAGAAAAATACTTAGAATCATCGTCAATCATGTTGCTATATTCTTGGGCATTGGAGGCGTCAAGATGTAAGAGGAATGAGGCAAGGCAGATATGAATGTGTCGTGAGATGCATGGCTCGATTATCTTAGTCAGCCAGGGCAGCTCTTTTGGTACCCAAGTGGTGTACAAAGGACTACGTACTTCATTGTAATAGTAATTATATTGTTAAAACAACTTGACTCGCTTCTAAGGGTCTAAATGAATGAAGTCATCAAGAACTTAATATCAAGGAACGGAATGGAGTAGCGCTCTCGTTCAAGATGACCGCGTAATGTGGAATGAGAAAGCCCAACAGAATTCAGTTGGTCCAATGCAAGCAGCTGATCACTAAACTAAAGTTACCTACAGCACCTCACTCAGCGGGAAGCTCGGGCCCCTGTAACTCCGTGGGTAGGCATGCTGGGCCCCTAAAACAACTGCCCCGCCATAGGAGTGATGTCGACGGTCAGCACTGATTGGCCCCCATTGTTCTCTAATGACCGGTGTCGACGGAGCGAGATTGGAGGACACCACAGAAACAAGGGCGAGCTTACCGTCATTGTACATACAATTACACTGCATGTGCTCCATGTTTTGTTTCTAGACCCTTTTTCTGTCTGTGTCTCTGCCTTTCTTGTATTTCTGTGCTTTTTCTACGGTCACCACTATTTACGAACTCGGCTCCCTCGGTTGAGGTCCCCTTTCACCGGCATCTTTCTTTAAATCAACTATTCATTCTTCTTGTTCCTGCGATAGTCGGGCTTGGGTTTCGAAACAGATACCAAAGGCATGGTGACGTCAAAACTTACCGTCTAGTTACCCTACCTTCGAATGCCTATAAGCTTAATCGAGCACGTGCAGTTTCGAACTACTACCAACCTCTTGTCCCACGACGACTTGACATCCGCCTGCGCGCTGCGACGAGATGCTTCTACTACATCAAGTCGGCAGCCTCAAGACAGGCGAAGTCGTTCGCTATACTATAACATACATACCCTCTCAAGACCGGATCCTGCCGTCACCTGAGAAGCTCTTCCTGCGCGTGCGCAACACCTCGGCCATCGCTCTCCGAGCCGCTTTCGTCCACGGACCGTATACTCTTTCCGCAGCCGCTTACCCCGCTGCGTTCAACCCCAACGAGAAATTCGAATATCCTGAGCGCTATGGAGTTCCAGAGTTTGAGCCCATGGTCAAGGCGGGTGGTTCTTGGGAGTGTGAGCTTGTGGTTCCGGTTACAATCCGACAGAGTGCTGGGTTAGGAAGTCATGGGGGTTTTGGAAAGGCGCCAGAGCATAATCATGAAAGCGCCAGTTGGATCGTTGAGGTTTCTTCGCAGATTCTGTTCTCGACTTCTGCTGCTGTTGGGTATGAGGTTGTGCTGGCTCGTGACAAGAAGTCCTTGAGCCTTAGCAACTCAAGTCCTGTTGTCGGTGGACAATCTCAAGTTCCTCAGCCCGGAAAGGTTAGCGACTACCAACAAGGTGTGGAGGCCAAAGAAGGACATCATCCTGCGCAACCTCGAGGCGTCTTTTCTCGCGCGATACAACTCAAGGTCGAAGATACTGCAGCATTGTGGAATACCCCCAGACTTCCAGGCTGGGATGACAAGGGAGAAGGGCGCGCTGAAAAGCGTTCAGGTCCAGATCAGCATGTAGAAAGTGTTGTAAAGACTGGCGATCCCGAAACGAAAGGCGATGAATCAAAACCAGAGAGCCCCAAAAAGAAACAGAAAAAGGTCCACATGGTGGTTCTGACACATGGTCTGCACAGCAATCTTGGCGCAGATATGCTCTTCATGAAAGAGAGCATTGATGCAGCTGTCAAGCAAGCCAAGATCGATGCCAAGGCACGGCGGGCCCGGGAACGTGCCGCGAGGAAACAATCAGGCAATGGTCTTGTCGAATCAGATTCTCACGATACAAAGGACATGGACAAAGTGGAGGGTGAAGATGATGAGGACGATGATGATGAAGAGGTTATTGTTCGTGGTTATTCAGGCAACTCGACGAAAACTGAACGAGGAATTAAGTATCTCGGGAAGAGGCTCGCTAGATACGTGCTGTCCATGACATACCCAGATCAACCATTCCTACCGACAGGGAAAGGAATGACGGATGCTGTAACTCATCCTTTCGATAAGAACGATCCCCAGCAGAAAGCAGTACACAAACACAGTACTATTCATCTCGGCAAGGATGGAGCACATCTTCACAAGGCGGAGCGTCCATACAAGATTACCAGCATAAGTTTCATTGCTCACTCTCTAGGTGGTCTTGTTCAGACTTACGCCATTGCATATATACAAAAACACTCACCGCAGTTCTTCGATCTCATCAAGCCGATCAACTTTGTTGCTTTGGCTACACCATTCCTGGGTTTGAGCAACGAAAACCCTTTATACGTCAAGTTTGCTCTGGACTCTGGTCTCGTTGGCAGGACAGGAAAGGATCTTGGTCTGACATGGAGAGCGCCGACACTTGCAAGGAGTGGTTGGGGTGCTATTGTGGGAAACCTGGGTGAGACGGCGCATAAGAAGGTTTATGGGGAGACGCAACCTGAGTCGAAACCGCTTCTGAGAATCCTACCTACGGGTCCTGCGCATACCGCGTTGAAGAAGTTCCGCAACAGGACTGTATACTCCAATGTGGTCAATGACGGTATCGTCCCGCTTCGCACAAGTTGTCTTTTATTCCTGGACTGGCAGGGACTCGGGCGTGTTGAGAAAGCTCGACGAGATGCTGGCTTGGTCGAAACAGTCGTTGGATTCGGATGGGCTGAGTTGACAGGTACGAATCAGGCTCGTCAGAAGCAACTTGGAAACGGCTCAGCAGGACAGTCTGGTACTTCATCTCCTCAAACTCACGAAAACATGCGCGAGGTTCCCCAGCCACCCAGCACGGCTATGGTTGATGATGATAGAGCGAGTCTACGTTCTGTGGCAACGCCGTATGGCGACGAGGTACCGTCTGACTCTGCTGATTCAACCAACAGCGGTCCATTGGCAGGATTCTTCAATTTCTTCAAGAGCAATGAACCTCCCAAGCCTCCGAATGTGTCCCAGAGGCAGAAGAAGATATACTCCAAGAGTCAAACTCTCAAGCTTGATGAATTAGCCGATGGGAGTGGTGATACTGCTTCTGAGACTGCTTCAGCTAAACAGTCCAAGGTTACAACAGGTCATGAGGGCGAAGATGAGATGACTGCTCCTCCAAGAACGACTATCTTTGAATCAGCAGGTGATCTGCTCAACCCCAAGGTACCGGATGTTGAGTACTTGATCGATCCATCTAAGCGGCCGCGAACTATCTTCCACGATCGAGTCTATCACCCAGCCGATATACCAGGTCCTCCTTTGAAGAGGCGCCCTACGACACTGATCAGAAGGAAGACTGGCCAACGACAGAACTCAATAGGACAGGCCTCTACCAGCAGCGCGGATTCGTCGCCTTATCCTCATGTGAATCATGAGGACAGTTCATTGTCAGCTAAAGACTACGATGATACAGCGAACACGAATCCTGATAAAGATATCCATGAAGTCATCGACACTTCGAACATGCGAGTTGAGGAGAAGATTGCAAGAGCCTACCATAAGGACCTGTCTTGGAGGAAGGTTCTCGTCAAGGTTGAGCCCGATGCTCACAACAACGTTCTGGTCCGCCGCATGTTTGCCAACGCGTATGGCTGGCCTGTCATCAAGCACTTAGTCGATGCCCACTTCAGCGACTCGGCGGCCTCTCGTCTTCGCGACGAGGACGAACACAATCGCGAGCGGGCCCGTAACATGAACGAGCCTCCTGACGAGCACGGAGCCGAGCTCAAGAAGAGTCGAGACAACTTGGCAAGTATGACTCGAACAGATAGTGAGTCTCGGGAAGCTATGGATAAAGTATCGGATCTTCCGAAGTCACAGCAGTCTCAAAGAGGGAGCGATGCATCAACGCACCAGCGGCCAAAGACGGAACGTGCGGACTCTGTGACGTGGAGCGAGCGAGACTGGCACGATAGTGACTGTGATAGTGATCTTGATTTTGGAGGAGATCTGCCTGCGCCAACGTCCCCATCGGCGCTTCATCAGCAGGACAAGGGCAAGGAGGCGCAGGGGCCGTCGGGCGGGTGGAACTGGGCGGAGAAGATTGTGGGCAAGGGAGCTTCACGGGCGAAGAGTCCCGTGCATGGAGCTAAAGATGAATAAGTCTGGGCTTTTAAAGGTGTCATTGTATTGTACGACTATGGATTAAGAAGAGATGGAGATCATACAGGATAGAAGGCGTTGAAGCGCAGCAGTCGATACCACGGCAATGAATCTAGAGATAACTGATCAATACAAGAAATACCAATTCGAATACGTGTCCTGGAACTTTGTCCGTGAAAGCTCAAGATTCGAAAAGATTTAGCTCGGAGCTTGAAGAAGCAAGGCTGTAGGTCTCAGTTCCAATGTCTCAGGTACCAAACATCTGGGAGCACTAATCGAGCGATTGTAGCACCAAAAAGGTAAGCCGGGGCTTGAGTCAAAAAAATCTCCATGATGCGAACTATGGGGAAGTAGGCAGACAGATTCTGTAGGCTAAAGAAGTGAAGAGTCGCCCTGCATAAAGAGGCTTTTGGGAGGTGTTCGTTATGGGATGTCAGAGCGTTGGGATCGAGATCTATTTTGAGACATGGCTTGAGTGATGATGGTCTTTTTCAGGGGAATTCGAGTTGTTCGATTGTGTGAAGTCTGGTTATCTGAAAGATTTGCTTGTTGGTGAATGTGCATGTTCAACAAGGGACATCTAATAAGGTTCAGCATGGGTTCACTCTTATAAAAGAACCCTTGAAGTTAATTCAAGGACCCATGATACAAAAAGCAACCGTTATTCTGTACCCACAGCATAACGAAGATGCAAAAACGTCAAAAATAAGGTATAACAGCGGAATCTAACCGCCAATGTTGGACGAACAGGGAATCGAACCCTGGACCACTCCCAGATTATTCGGATGAATTATGCTAAGGGAGTATTATACCACTAAACCATTCGCCCGAGGAATTGATGCTGTAGAGAGCAGGAAATGCGTACTATGTCGGTGGTTTGTGAGAATTGGTGATAGTGTTGGTTCATGGTGGGGTGGGGTTGATAGGTGAAGTGGCATAAGTGGGGGGCTGAATCGTGCAGGTTGAATCTCTTGGCCACGGCAGTGCATTCAGAAGATACAGAATTGACAGATGGTGTTGTATTATATAAAGAAAAAGAAGCTGTTACAGTGATGATAAAACTGTACTGTCCTATCATGTATCCTCGTGGTATAAAGAATACATGTAAATCAAGAGTTGATGCACGTGTAAATCAAGTATTAATCTATTCTCCAACCATGACGACCATGTGCGTCACCGTCCATTTCTCTCTGGGGGCCTCCAATTCCAACCCGATCCAAGCAAGCTCCAGCTCCAGCTCCAGCAAACTCCAAGTTCTGGAGCTCACTAGAAAAAAAATCATCGTCGTCAGCTTCGCCACGGTTCTAGCCTTTCTCTCTCATAGAATCCCTGTGCAACTCCTCCCAACCAAAGTTGTTGAGCAGGAGGCAACAATTCCTCTGCTAGTCACTTTTTCTTCACCGGCTTCTTTTCTATCCGTGCGGTCTTGCCATAAAGATTTATATTACAGGCGTCATGCTACGATAGTTTACTGTGCTGGTTCTACGATTCTTCTTACGATTTGCTCGGCTGAGCTTTTTACTCTGACATAACTTCCTCTGGCGCATTGCAGCTGCGACTATCAAGATGATGAGATTATACCTCCTACCGCTGTCGACGCGGCGAACACTCCTCTATGCGAAACGACTCGAAGCAAATACTGCGCCACAAGGTAGAACATATGTTGACAAGGGCACTGCCTGGGCAGCCAAGACGTGGGCGCAATGGGAGAAGATGGAGTCTGGCTGGAAGCGCAAGGTCGTCGACTACGGGAACTACGCCTTTCGTCGCATCCCATATGAGGAATGGGGTTTGAAGTCTGTACCGCCTCTGTCGGTAAGACGGCGTGGGAAGGAGATTGAGATGAAGGAAAAGGTCGACTTGTGCTTCCCGAGCTCTGTGATACCGCCGAACAAGGCGGAGGGCATTCTCAAGACCCTTGCGACTGAACGTCAGGCGCTGCACAAAAAGAGGCTTGTTTGGTGTATTGTCGGCATGCCGATTACTATTCCATTTGCGCTCGTACCCATGTGAGTATCTTGTTTGCTTTTTTCTCGAACCGCTGACTAACAGACTCCAGCATCCCTAACTTGCCCTTCTTCTACCTCGTCTACAGAGCATGGTCACACGGTAGAGCCATCTCAGGTGGAAAGCATCTCCAATGGCTCCTCGAGAACAAGCTCCTACGCTTAGCTCCCTCTGAGAAACTCGACCAGCTTTACGCACTACATGCCCCACCAGCCGAAGAGCCGGACAATAAGGAACGTACCCTTCTTACACAAAAGGAAGTCCAAACGTTCTCAGACACTCTTGATATGCCGGCTCTTGAAGTGGAGCTTGAAAGGGCTATATGGCAGGTCGAACAAGCCGTTCAAGACCCAGATAGTCAGAGTCCACCTAAAGAGAGTTCGCCTGGTGTAGCTGCCGAGAAACCAGGATCCACTGAAAAGGTGGACAAGAAAGATCAATGAGAAGAATCACGTATGAGTTTCTTTACGTTAGACGATGTATGATACCTATGTACTGAGCCAGGAGTGTATTTTGGTACGGTTAAAGAAATGGTTGGTTGTATTTGTATTAGACTGGTGTGAATACCTAGGAAAAGGCAGAGGCAGAGGCAGAGGCAAAGGAAAAATAGGCGTGAGTACGCGGGTATATCTATAGAAAAGGTCCTCTCCCCAACGCGCCGCGCCTAATAAATGTTGGCGTAGTATTACAATCGCAATTATCATAAAATTCATGGCTTTTCGTTTCTCTTGGCCCTTCTGTGCAAGTCATAATGTCTCAGCTGCTCTGAGCATATCGCGGACCTTGAGAGCGGGGAGAAGGCCGACGAGACCCATGGCGAGCAGCATGCGTCTTGTCCTGAGACATGTGAGATCTGGAAGACGGATGCTGCTGGCGATTCGGTGAGCGTCGGAGAGTGAGAAGTTGAGGCCGAGGTTCTTGAGGCTGGGCATTGAAGACAGACAGTTCTAGAGATGTGTTAGATACAATTCTTGAGAGATATGCTGAGGAAGAACTTACTCGGCTCTTTGGTGGTGATTTATATCCCATGATAGCAGCTTCAGCGTATTCATACTGAGCAACCTGAGCACTCAGAACATGTCCTCTCCAAGCATCCGCTGCCTTTACGCGGAGGAGTCGTTGAGTGAGAGTGTGTGATCCAGGAGGTCCTCGTCGACCCTGTCTACTTCTTCTTCGGCGCACAATGCGTCCTGAAGCCGTGGCATATTTGTTCTCAGGTCCATGGTTCGTAGGGTTGAGAGGAGATGGAAAGACTGGGGCGTACGAAGACGCATCTTGATAGGTACAGGCGACCATTGTTGTTGTTGTTTGTTTGATGGTATTCAGTATTTCGTCTGAAGGAAAGAGAAGAGAGGAATTCTCAGAGGGAGACCAAGCTATGGAATATTACTCTTGAGGGAGATGTAAAAGAACGAGGGATGGTGATACTATCTGCAAAAGAGGATTCTCTCGAATCCTTATATTCAATTCCTCTGTAGTAAAACTGACACTAGTGCCATCACTCTATCCTCCCCAAGCCATGTAATTAGAGAAAAAATGATCTCCAGGGGCTGGACGGTCCAATACTATCAGAGTAAAACATCGATGTTCTGGATTAGAGGAATGCTCTCTGCGCGTATAAGTCGCGACCCTTGAGAAGATCGAAAAGGTCTCCACCAACAAAATGGTTCGGATGTGGAGGCTCAAAACTCCTCGTCAGGTACAGAAAGTGAGCTGCAGCGACTCAGATGATCAGACATGGAGCACTAGAAAAAGCAAGGAGACGTGCAGACAAAAAAGGAGTCTCTCGGGCTTTGAAGAGAAACTACTGCAAGTCACAGAAAGGATAAAAAAGAGACTAAGAGATTGTGACGAGACAGACACCAACGGGCGAGACATGAGGATCCTCTGTGTGTGTGGGAGTGGAGAGGCTCGTGTCTTCTTCATCCCTTGATATCGTGGGCGGGGGGCAGAAACAGAGACCTGACCTGATAAACTGCCAATATTATTGGCTTTTCTCCCTCAATTGCTAAACTCTACGGCTCGACAAACCCCTTCAGTTGAAAGAATATATCCATTCTATCCATTGTGAGAAAGGTCGATGGGGAACTAGACAATAAGACTGTGGGAACGTGGTCGATGATCTCAGCTAACGAGGGGGAATACAATGATCGATCCATATTATCGGCCCGCGTGCTACTAACAACAAGACCTGAACTTTACGCGTCGAGGGACGTGTCAGTCAAAATAAAGATCGTTTAAGCTGAGTTAGCCCAGAATATTAGTTGGTTGGTTAGTTACTACAAGATAGATAGTTCAAAAGCTGAAAGGGCATCATTGTTCCATCTAAGTTAGTCCTAAGCGAGTGAGTGACCAAGACCTGTCCGTCCGTCTCCAACGCCGAGCCTTCCCCTCCCCCTCCTTCTGATCAAGTCCAATTCTGGCTTGAATTGTCCGATCCGATCTGATCTTATTACTGTATTACCCAATGTGATGCAAAAGTCGTACTCTGAAAAAATTAAACCATGAGGTCCTCAAGACGACACCTGAAATAAAAATTGGCATCGTCTTACTCTATCGTGTTTCTACCTCACGAGATGAAAGTAGCTTCGGTAAAGATGGTGCCCTCCTCGACGATCTCCTCATCTCCAATCTTCAGCTTCAGGGAGAGCTTGGGATGGTACTATAGATTTTATAGTCAGCAAGGGGGTTAAGTTCAACCAGTCTTTCGGAAATTAAAAAACTGTACCTGATAGATGTATGGCTTTGTGCCAGCTGCAGCTGCGACAATGGTCTTGACGAAGCCGGGGACTTCGGCCATGACGTCAACTCGATCAACCCTCTCTCCGAGAGATCCCTCAACTGAGGCCTCGACGGCTTTTCCGTCCTTGGTCTTTCCGGCCCATGTGTATTTGGCGTCGCTCGGTTCAGGCCAGTCATTCTCCGAATCCTTCTTAACTTGAGTATGAGTGGCCGCGTTGTCGACGCCGCCGATGATAATCTCGCCATCCTTGACGATACCACCCACGTTAACGAGGGTAGAGCCGTACGAGGGAGTGCTGGTGAACTCCATCAGGACAGCTGAATAGGTGGGACCCTGGAAGTTAAGAAAGTTCCATCGAGATGCGGCGTGGTGCGGCTTCATGCCCTGGAGGGCGTAAGCGAAAAAGGCCTTGCCCTTAAAATCCATGGGGCCATCCTTTGTGGTGATAGTACCCTCGGAAACACAACGAGGCCAGAAGGCGTGTCGCATAGATCCCCATGGGTTCTCGAGGTCGGTGCCGTACAGGGTTGTTCCTGTGGTTCCGGCTTGGAAACCAGGTGTAGAGCGGGTGATCTTGAGGTTGACGATGGCGTTGGGGTCGTTCATGCTCTTGATGGTGTAGTAGGTGCCATCCTCGGACAGCTCGACCGCGCAGTCATCGGCGTAGAAACTCGTCTTATCCTCGTTGAAGTCATGGTTGTTGAGGGGTGTAGAGGCCCAGAGGTGGGGCTTGGAAGGGTCTGAGTTGAAGACCTTTGCGTTGAATTGGCAGGTTGTTCGGATGCCACTTTGAAAGCATTAGCAGAGCCATGTGATAGTGGAAACTCGTAACATACGCTACATTACTATAGATGAGCTGAGCAAGGGCAATATAACCGTTGTCGCCAAAGACGTAGAAGGTATGTGTCTCAACAGAAGTAGAGTCCATAGCCTGCCACTTTAGGTCATTTCGAGAGATCTCGGTGTAGGGAGTCTTCTCAGCCTCTGTAGCGACAGACTTGATGGCAGAGGGGCCATAGATAGGCTCCTGAGTGCCGGCGACATTGGCCAGTCTATAGCGGTCAGTATTTTTACATGAAGCTCTCCAGGGTCCATCTCAGTGGTGGGGTCAAGCAGGATCTGAAGGGGAGACTCGAAAACGTACTGTTGCTTGGCCCAGTTGAACATGATGAGTTATATGAAGGTGTTTGTATGTGTAAGAGGGAGAGAGAAACAGAAAGTGGAATGTGCTTCGAATGAGGTTGATGGGATGATGGGTCGAGAAATTAAGGAAATGCTGGGGACGTCGTTAATTAACCCAAGGCTGGCTACGGCATGGATTGGATACTAGAGCTGCAGTCCCAAATATCGATGTCACTTTCACACCGCTGGGCCTGGTTTTCTGTGGCGCCTGGTTTTCCCCTGGGTGATGGAGGGGTACTTGAAGGATATTGTGGCTGGTGTCAAATCGATGATGTGGGGAATGACGTGTGTTGAGCATAAACGCGTAGCAAGACGCGTCTATTCTTACAGTTGTACTTGCTACAGTACAGTGTCTTATATGCATGTTACACTGCTGTAGAATATCCTCCTTACAGCATGTTGAGAAACATGAATATGTGCAGTTTTACGCCACGCATGTCATTGAATAGGAGTAACTGCTTATTTAGTGTTGAAGAAACTAATGTACTAATGTAATTCCCGTAGCTTCCGGCATCCACTTATTGTAAATCAGCTCTGACTGGGCTGGTAATCTCATCTCAAAATCATGCCCAAATGGTCCCATGATGCTGAACTTACCCTAGAGATAAACCTGGATTTATAGGAGACATGACAAGCGAAAATTGCTAATGCATCATTCATTCTCGCTGGGTATATAGTTTTGTAATTTCTAATTACTTGTTGTAATTTTTTTTGCCTTATATAATAATTCAATTGGTCGTGTCTCTGTTGTCGTGAGCATGTAACATGTAGACACAACCTCAGGCATAGGACTGCAGCGAATGTGATCACCGAGAGACTCGACTGAGTTCAAATGTCAAAGAGTAATGCATCATCGAAAACGTGTGAGAGGCGTAAGATTTTACTATGAATGGAAACTGTACAAACGGTAGTATAAATTGTCGTGCTTTCTCTATGAACTACGACTTAGTGTAATGCCTCTATATGGATTTAACGATAAGATACAGGATCTGAATCATAATACATAAATCCCAACAACATCGTAGTGATCCCAGATCTACTAGTTTCGGGTATGCAAAGATGAATACGAAATGTTAAAGTTTACCTTACCTTATCCCTCCGCGACAGGGGCAACAAAGAGTAAGGTAAGATTCCACAGGTACTTTGAAGCGACCAATCAGAAGGCGTCTTTAACTATTACCTGTAGTCCAAAACCCTTCGGCCCGTCATCTACTGCAGCGACACTTGGACTTCAGTGCGCGACGCGCTCGGTCACTGGACTTGATTTGACTTCTGATCGCAACCTTCCAATCCAACCTCAAACTTATCTCTTTCCTCATCAGCCCAACCAACGACGTTACCTAAATCTTCCAACTCCACGCCAAATCACCAAATATCGTCTTGCGATCGCCACAAACTCATCAGCCTCATTGCGCCTCAAAGTCATCGACACCTGCACTTGCGCGTCAGTCAAAACTGCCGAGCACCACCATCTTCAATCTTTATCGAGCATTATCGATAACATCCCGCGCGCTTCTCCTATCGATTACCCTACCTTGCTTCAGCCCTGTATCATTTTGCAGGCAATTGTCACAATGGAGGAGGACGGGGCGCAACTTCTGCAGCAGACAGGACTTGATCCTATTTCTCGACCAGACTCTACTTCAACTTCAGCTTCATTACCACACGTATTACCAGGCATTTCAGCCCTTGCTGCTGCCAACGCGGCTACAGAAGCGACATCTCAACTAAGGTACGATGATTCAAGGACTCTGCCTCATCCGTGATAACGATTGCGCGATACTGTCAACTTGCGCTGGAGCCTCCATTCAACCAAAACCCTCCGACACCTCCATTACCAAAAAAAAAAAAAGATTGTTAACTAACCCCTGTCTGTAGAGCATCGGCCGCTCCGTCGCCCGCAATGTATGCCACTGCATCTCCTGCCGCAACGAGTGGGGGATCTGGAAGCACAATGGTAAGGCGCGACCATATTTCATTATCACAATCTTATCAGCACTTCTCCGTATTGCACTTTATGCTGGGTCTACGGCAAACATATGTCATCTCCTGCAATCTTATCTCTCTCGAGCGGATGCATCCTGTCACGTTTTTTGCGGCGCCAGTCCAGTTGGCCTGGCCTTATCGCAGGCTGATTGATACAATCACGTGTCTTATCTCCAACCCTTCCCACACTAAGCCCCTACGGGATGGCCGATGGGTCTCGGGCTTATCTGGCTTATCAAGCGCAGCCAGTTACGTTGCAGCCAAAGAATTTTACTCCATCCTCTTATCGTGGCCGAGATAATAATCATCGCTCTCCCTCCCGCTTTCGCATTGCATTGCATTGTATTCACTTTACACTCAACAACCGGCAAGATGATGGCAACTAACGGATCAACGCAGCCTACCTGCCAAAACTGCAGTACCTCTACAACACCATTATGGCGTCGCGACGAATTCGGTTCGGTTCTGTGCAATGCCTGTGGCTTGTTCCTCAAGCTGCATGGTAGACCCCGGCCAATTTCCCTCAAGACAGACGTTATCAAGAGTCGCAATCGAGTCAAGACAATGCGCCCTGACTTGGCGAACAAGAAAAAGGTTAGTCCAATGCGCTCAGAGGCATTGCGCATCGCTAACGCGGATTAGCAACAACAACAGCAGCAGCAAGCAGCTGCGCAAGGATTCCCTACGACCGATGCAAATGGATTCGACACGACCGGACAGGCTGCCGCCGCCGCCGCACACGCTGCTCAAGCCGCGCGACGAGCCTCCCAGAGATCGAACGGCCATGACGGAGCAGACTCACCAATTTCTCGCACTGGTACTCCCTCTATGTACGCGCATGGCCTGTCCTCCTTCATGGTCGACGACCCTTACCAGACCGGCTTTGTCGCAACAGGGGAAGGTCGCGCGTCATCTCCCACGAACGGGGACCGCAAAATGGACGCGCCACAGACGCATGAGCAGCTTATCGCGCACAACTCAAGCCTGAAGACGCGGGTTAGCGAACTCGAAGTCATCATTGAGCTTTTCCGAGGCCGCCTTAGTCAACTCGAGCAACAAGAAGCTGTCGTTAGAAGCGGACAGCAGTTAGGCCAGTTGCGTTCCCAACTTGAGCAAACACAAGAGAGCGAGGCTCAGCTGCGCCGGCAGCTCGAGGATAGCCATCGACGAGAGAGTAGCCTTAAGCGACGCCTAGATGAACTTGAACTCGAGCTTCAAGCTTTCCAAGAAGCCAACTCGGCCCCCGGAGAGCGACCCGCTAAGAGACCCCGTACCATTGAAGAGCCCACAAGGACCCAAGCAGAAGCAGATATTGAGGCGGCTGCTGAAGCGTTGCTGGCTTCGGAAGCCTCTAGACCGAGTGAGGCTGCTGAGTCTGCCCCTGCTGTGGATGGTCCTGAACCAACTGAGTTGCCACAACCCTCCGAGGGTTCAAAAGAAGGTTCTGTTCCTAAAACCGAGGATGAGATCGAGGCCGCGGACGTTCCGATTGATCCTAACATGCCCGTGATTGGCGATGTTTCTCAACCTGCGGCAGCAGAAGAAACAACGCCAACTGAGGATGTTGAAATCCCTGATGCACATGACGCACCCGAAGCACCTGATGCCGCTGCCACCGCCGATGCCACTCCTGAGGCTACTGAAGGGACAGAAACTCCTGCGCCCGGCACTGCAGCTACATGAGAAAAGTGATGTTGTAAACGTATCAGACTAGTAACGCAATGGACTTGATATGTGCATCAGTCGCTCAAACTGCTACTCCATTTATCATTGATCCAACGCTACTGTCAGATTCATTGCTCGGTGTCTTGGCATCAATTACGACTCATCTTGATTTATACCCCCTGTGCGAGACCTCAGTCGCTCTCGCTTTTTTTTTCTTCATGATATACCTCCTAGCGGCAAGGGCAGCGAGGATTTAGGCGTTTTGGCCTGTTTGTTTCGAAGTGTAAGAGACCATTGAGGAGCATACAAATGTTTTAATGGGACGATGAATGGCGAATGTGAAACTCGGTATACCGATACACGGTACGAGGATTCAGTCTTGGGAGTGTGGGATTTCTCGGATGCAAGAGGAGATGGAGAACATGGTAGTTATCAAAAAGTTTAGCTGCTCTCGCAATGGAAAATAGACCCTGGCTTTGATTCATCACTTATCTGATATGATATCGATAGCATGGCGTTGAAGCATATCGTAGATTGTGATGACCCCAAAGCGTTGAAACCGTTACAGTGGTAATTCGGCCCCCCTGATCTATTCACCTTTATATAATCTCTTACCTTCTATAAATCATTTTCTGCTTCCCTTGACTTCCTGTGTTACCTGTCGTTCAATCTCCTGACAGTGATTGCCAGTGAGTAACTGTCGCAGTCACGTGGTCTAACAAAGATGATACAGAGCAACAGAATAGCACGAGTTCCCCTCCAACCAACAACAGAGAGAACTTACAAACCTGAGAATCACTTAATCCTTCAAAAACTCACTGAAAAGACCTACGCTATTAGGCCTCTTCAATTATAATTGTATATTCATCTTGGTTGAACCACTCTCTAGTCAACTCTCAACTCGACTGGCAAGCAACCACGATATGCCTACAGTCCCCACGCGAGGCGGCCCTCAGGGCACGAGACCCACGTATTCGGGAGGTAAGGTTGTACCTTTCCAGAAGAAAGGTCAAGCGATCCGTGGTGCTTCAGGGAAAACAGTCCTAGGAGGTCGTCGTCACCGGTAAAGTCAATCCCAAAGCTAAACTAAGACAGCTGAAACAAATCCTAACAATCTCATAGTAAGATTCTTCGAGATTCGATTACTGGAGTCAGTAAGTTATACACTGATCTTTCACTAAGGATCACTGCTAACAAGATGATTCAGCTAAGCCCGCTATCCGGTCAGTGAATCATATTCACCTCTATCTACCTGAGACATATGAGCATCGATACTGACACAGTGAAACATAGACGTCTAGCACGTCGCGGAGGTATCAAACGAATTTCAGCTGGAATCTATGATGAGGTCCGAGCTGCATTGAAAGAACGTCTTGAGGCGGTATGCAACATGCCTATACTGCTTTATCTGATCTATACTAATGCCGTTATCAGATCCTCCAGATGTGCGTCATCTATGTCGAATACCGTAATGCCAAGACTGTCACGGTCCACGACGTAAGTTGCTCTGCGCTGGCTGCCACTGCTGAACAGCACCGACTGACATAACAAATAGGTCATTCACAGCCTCGCGCGCTTTGGGAGACCTATCTATGGTTTTGATCCGGATACATACGACGGTCAGAACAAACCCAAGATGTAACGCCCAATCATTTCTACGCATTCGACTTTCTTCATACCCATCATTTGATATGGGCGGTGTCAGGCGTCATATTCGCGCATTGTTTATTAGCATGTTGGTCCAGGTTGGGTGTTTAATACCATGAACATTTGTGGAAGGATATGAAAACAGAAACTGTCATACGGGAAAATGCATATCCTGTTTAGGAGAATCGAAAGATTGATTGATATTGATCATGAGCTGTGCCACAACCTGATAAATTATGAATTTCTGTAAACGAAAGGAATATGGTATGATATGGGGTATCTCAAGTGACAGTACAAGTAGGTACGGTATCAAAAAAATAAAAATAAAGAAAGAGTCGCTCCTCTGACCATTAAATGCTTCCTCCAAGTAGCATCTCACCCCCCTGACCTAGAGTCTATACTCTAGCATGTCCCTCTTCTAGTAGTATCTTTGTAGTTGTTTACTGGTTGTATCTTCTTTCCGTCGATTGTATCGTCTTCTGGGTATTCGTTCAAAGCATTCTTGAAATCTTCTCCTCGTCGTCTTCCATCCCTCATCTCATCATCGTCATCTCGTATAATGGCGTTCTCTTGATGACCAACTCGTCGAAAGGTGTTCCTCATCCCTGGCATGTGTGAAGTGATGGTTGATCAAGCCAACTCATTTATCTCCTCTTCTTAACCAAGTCCCAGTTGGACAAGATACCATCCAAAGCCCTGGTAGCTCGGACCTCGTCACGTCGGAAGGGGGCGTTGAAGATGCCAGGAAGGAGCATGGCGCTGTTGGCGTGCTCTTGAGCGAATCCAACTTCAGCATCCTTTCCACAACGTTCCTTGGTAACACGGACAGCTTCCTGAAGGAGATCCTTTCCAACGCCCTTTCCACGGTAGTTGAGGTTGGTGGTCCACGCGCGAATGACACCTTTGCCTCCTCGGAGAGAAAGCGATCGTCTACGTCTGTGGCTGGAAGTTGGGTTGGGTTCCAGGCGTAGAACAAGGGTTCCGATGATGTCCTGGTTCAGACGAGCAGCCAGCAGGGTATCCTCCTCTCCATCATCAGCACGTAGCCAGTTCCACCGCAAGCGTTCAGCCAAAGAGATATAGCCGTTGGCCAAGTAACGGATACCCATGAGGTAGCTCATGATCACTCCACAAGAAACCGTCATACCAAGTCCTGAGTCACGAGTAACGCCGCCGAAATGGTAAATGGCAGCCAAGGTTGCCGATAGGCCGGCAAGACAAAGCGGGTGGAAAACGAGGTTCAAAGAGGCCCTTTGGCGCATCTGAGCAATAGAGTCGGCAACGAGGCGCATGCCCTCAGCCTTGTCTTGAGGCTTGTCGAGAACCTCGAGAGACAACGGTTCGACGTCATCGTCGTTGTCGAGACCAAAGTATGGCGTGGAAGCTGCAAGCGGAGAGGGAGACGGCGGGACAAAAGAGGAAAAAGGAACAGATGGACCGAATTGCGGGGTGCTGGTGGCTGAAGTCATTGCCGAGTGGAGGACAAGGTTGGCGCGGAGGAATGTGAAGAAAGCTGTAGGTTGCGATGTTAGTCATGGTGTTTTCGTTTACACGTTTTGGATCCGCCAAGGTTTGTTCCCAAGCCGGCCGTATTGAACATGATTCATGACGGAAACATATCCACACAATCTATCATGTCTGGAGCCTGCTGAAGCTACAGAATGAATAGTTCCAGCGCTTGAATGTTGAGTTTGTGACCATCGAGTCAAGGCTGTACGAACTGTCGTGTGCTCAACCTAGTCAAAGGTTGTGACTGGGGTAGGCTTTGATGGTGGCCATAGTAACCAAGCGACAGGGGGCTCTTACACCAGGACAAGGCCCTGAAAGAACAAAGAAGAAAAAAATATATGAGAGATCAAAGAAACTCACCAGCACTGGTCTTCAAAACCGGAACAGCACCAACCCTATCGACAACTGTGCTTGGGTGGCAGGTCCTCAGATCAAGCTCTCGAATAGCAATATGCTGAGGACCTTCCATGGTGGTGTAGGTGGCCATGGTGAGATATGGCGTATTAGACTACCTTAGGTAGGTACTGTAGGTAGAAAAGAAGAATGAGATAAGAGCAGTCGAAGTTTATAGAAGGAAGCCAGCCTTCAGAAACAAAGTGGACTGGGGAAGACAATAAGGGGTATAGTATAATAGTATGATTATAAGGTCGAGATATGATTATGTTTAACAAACAATAGGTGGAGGGAGGAAGAGGGAGACAGGAGAGAAATAGATCGAGACAAGTCTGGGGGAAGAGGAAGAGATTTCAAAGTTTCGAGAAGAGTAGGGTCGTCAGCTCCTGCAAGTCGAAAAATAGGCTTGGGAACGACCCGACGCTCTGGTGGCCGTAGCGTCTTTTTCTTTTTCGAATGCGACACACTCTGCATTAAGATCCTTGCATAGTGCGGCGCTGTCACGGCGTCGAGGCCGGATCCCTGGGCTCTTGGCTCATCCCTGGACTTGTTGGTTGGCGCCTTTGCGCCTCTGTTTCTCTTGTGTGTGTCTGTATCTCGCGAGTTTAGACAGATAAATGGTCTGCTTTGTTCTCTCTAGCGTGGATGCGGGATGGTGGAATCACTAGTAGCTGATTCCAAGCGGGTTTGCACATGTGGTAGTGGTGGTGTTGATGTCGGTCGTGGTTGCGTGACAAGATACGCTATCTTGTCGAGCGATATCAATCATCGTTGGCCTGGGCTCTTGAGAAGGATTCGGTGTAGTGGTGTATTTGCTGCAAAGCACATATGTACTGTGGTTCCGTCACAGTATCTTCACTTTGATAATGATACCTATGCACCCCTCTCTTGCCTTATCTTCGAGATTCACCCAATCATAAAAATATATCTTGTCTCTTGGTCGTACCGTCATGTTCCAAGTTCAGAGCTTCCCACTTCCCCGCCCCGCGTAACTAATCATCAATAACCAACCTCATCAGAGCCGTTGTCTCTCGTCTCGTCTTTTTGTTGAATGACACAACAGGGGGCATTTCAGCCTTCAGCCCCTCATCTCCACTTGGTTCCCAGCAACAAACGACTAGAAGCGGGGAGCCGAGACGACCAGCGGCCCAGAGCATGTTAGTTTATCGTTGGTGCCCTGTAGTCTCATAACGTTCAGGTTGGCCCATGCGAAATCGAAATTCCACGGGCACGCGACGGCCAGTCAATTAAATTTGATTTGATCCTGCCTTGACCATGCTTGGGCCCCAGCTGTTCGCTTTGAAATAAAGGGCTCACCTGGTTCCGGGGCAAGTTATAACGCAGCCGAGTAAGGCATGATTTCAAGGTGTGAGTGGACACACTGATAGCCTGCCTGCGTTGGCTCTAAAACCAACGTCTGCAACCTTCATGTGCTTGAAGCTTTTGACAATCGGGCGATATCGATATCATTGATGTGCAGGTCAAACTTTCATACAGAGGGCAGATAGTAAATCGCCGCTTGGCACCCGGTTTGAACGCGACATGTTCCGTAGCGGCCTTTACAGCTGGATCGTCAGGGGCCTGCGAAATCTGTTCCCAAGAGCTGAGCAGTCTAGACCAGCGACAACGGTGTCTCCTCATCACACTAACCGTGCCGGCGCCGTTGTCTTGACGCCATCTCTCTCATGCGGCAGTAGTCATTTGAGGATCAACCGGCCAATCCAATAGTTCAGGTTGACACGATATATGTCGCTTGGTTCGGCTATCAACATATCGGTGGTTACAGCAAGAGTTGATCGTCCTTGACGTGACGGTTTGAAGCAAGAAACAACGTCGGAGGATGTTCAAACGTGTTCAAAATGGTAATCTTTATGTTGGATCAACTCCACTGCTGACGTATCCAGCATATCCCTGGTTGCGAAAGTTGTTAACGCGCCAGCCAGCCATAACGCACAGAGGGGAAGAAAACCATTCATGACAAGCATCTGCCACCTAAGCGACGGATGTGTGGGGGAACAACCGAGGATGAATTCATCAACGCCGCCTAAGAACACGAATCCTTCGTAGTTACCCACGGTAACCGATTTGTTCGGAATCCTTTGGCCGAAGTTTGTGCTTTTAGCCGCATGGAAGTATGTGATAGCAACTTAGAAGATTTGATAGTTATCGTTCTCTCCCACTTGCCATACTGGCTCTAGTACAGTACGGGGCTCAATGACTTCGTTGACGTTGGTCGTTGATGCTCTCGTCGTTGGGAATATGACGCCCGTTTTCGTTATTGAAACTTTTTGGTTGACTGTGCTCATCCTGGTCTCTGCAGGGTGCAAAATACGACTTTTTCGGTTGTTTCCCAGTCAATATTTAATAGGTCGATGCTTCAGACTTCCAAGAAACCGCCATGAAACGCACGACAGTGAAACTCTTATGGAGCACGGAGCATGAACTCAAAACACTCTTGTCCGCCAACGTGTTTGACGAGTGTCGATCCAACCCCTCAATGTTGCAACGAACCACAACGTTGTTGCTGTAGAATTCGCAGGGATGTTGTAGGGAAGAAGACCCTGAAACTGTAAAAGATCCTTGCGAACAAACGTGATCTTCCGCCAGTCGAAGATGCCTATTGCAAAGGTCGATCGAAACTTTGTGGGATAATGTTGATACTAAAATCGCGAGGGAATAGGCATTTGGGCAAAATCAGTCTGTCTCAATGACGGACAGTACGAATCACAGTATCGGGCGAGTACCTTCCCGCCTTCAGTTTTATCGTGACGGGAAAGAAGCTTCACTGCCAGCTGGTGGTTCCTGCCCGAGAGTCTTGTCAAGCAAATTAGGCAAAGACTGGGCTTGGTACCAAGATATACGAATTAATCCAAGAATTCATTCATCATCTACTTTACATCAAACATAAATCCTTCTTCATGTAAACACCCATACCCAGCTCATCATCTCCTCAATCGATGTCCCAGCACCATACCAGCAAAGGCGATCAATCGATAAGCAGTTCCGATTGCAACCAAAACACCAATGTTGAGCCACTTGCGGTCAAGATGATATCCAGTTGCCTCAGCTGCAATATCGACCTGAAAGAGGTATGCAAAAGGTGCCACAAGCTGCCCAAAGTACAATTCTGCCAACCATGTTGCAGGAGACGCTCGCCAAAGCCACTCCATATGCCAGTCCTTAACAGATGCCAATGGAGGCGCGGAGCCAGAGAGAATACCAGTGATGAGGGCAATCATGGTAGCAAATAGTGGCGCATCTTCACGTCGAACGACCATGCTTACGATACTCGCAAGGCCATAAATGCAGTAGAAGTACAGCAAATTTGTGAGGAATGCAAGACCCCAGTCGATGATGGGTACAGACAACAAGAACAAGGGCACGGTGAAGTGCATGCAACCAAGTGCCATACGGGGAA